CGGTGTTGAGATGAGCATTTTATTTTGTGTTATGACAGTAATGTTACTGCATTGTATTCATAGACCTAGAAAGCTATCAGCAATAGGCCTATATAGTTTTTGTTGTTGAGATTGATCCATGAAACTTAACTGAAATAGTACAATTAAACTTCGAGGATATCAATCTGTCCAGTTAGGGAACATATGCACTTTGAATCAGTGTGACCTGTTTTGGTGAAGCTGCATTGGCATTTACCAGAGAACACCAGAACTGGCAGGTCCACCATTGGTGCCCCGTTCTCTTCACACATGTGAAAGAGTCTGGAGACACCATGGTGGGTCAGTGATGGGCTGGTGAGGCATATTATTGGAGGGTCGCACAGACCTACACCTTGTAGCCAACAGTACCCTGACTGCTGTTAGGTACCGGGATGAAATCCTCAGAGCCGTTACCAGACCTTACGCTGTTGCAGTGGGCCCTGGGGTCCTCTTGGTGCAGGACAATGCCCATCTAATGTGGCCAGAGTGTCTAGGTAGTTCCTGGATGATGAAGGCATTGATGCCACTGACTGGCCCTCAAGTTCCCTACACCTGAATCCAATTGAGAACCTCTGGGACTTTATGTATTGTGCATCTTGCACCACCAAGTAGTGCCACAGTCTGTCCAGGAGGTCACTGATGCCCTGATCCAGGTCTGAGAGGACACCCCCCAGGACATCATCCACTGTCTCATTAGTAGAATGCCCAGATATTGTTGGGGGCCCTACATACTACTGAGTCATAATGAGTTGCTGTGATGAAAGTCATGCAAATTGGGTCAGCCTGTGAAATAAATTTTTTTAAACTTTGATTTTTGTTGTTATTTTGAATCCATTCTTCAATCGGTTGGTGATATTGGTTTCCATTTTTGTTCATTTTGTTCTCAACAAATTATTCAGTGTACAGTAAAGATTTTGAACATTGAACTATTTCGTTCATTGAAATCTGATTTAAGTGTTCCCTTAATTTTTTGAGCAGTGTACATTGAATTCTGGATATTTTCATTTTCTCCATCATCAGCCAGCTCTTAAATCATTAAATAACCTTAATAATACTTATTCTTTAGATAAAAAACAGTTTTCTTCTCAAGGCTGATCTACCTGGCTTACATGTGGTGTCAGCCATTTTGACATATGTGCTATCTACAGGCTTTATCCACAGTACATTTTTCAATGCCAAAAGGGTGTAAGTGCACTTACGCCCTTTTGGCACCAACTGGCTTAGCATGTTCAGTGTTAAGTATTTAGGTTTTTAATCAATATCTCCAAATTGATTAAGAATTCACTTGTTTATATATATATATATATATATATATTTTGTTTTATTGTTTTTTGGGTATTATTGTCTTTACACTTGTTAAAGCACTTTGTAACTTATTTTTGAAAAGTGCTCTACAAATGAAGATTATTATTATTATTATATATATACACTGTATATGTCAAATGACAGCTCTTGATGAGCTTTTTCTATTGCCATCTCCATTTCGCCTAAAATGTCACTTACACCCCTAACAGAATACAAAAGATAATGAACCCACAATGACACAACAAATGAACAAAATTATAAACGCAACACTGTTTTTGCCCGCATTCATCATGAGTTGAACTCAAAGATCTAAGACTCTGTGTACACAAAAGGCCTATTTCTCTAAAATATTGTTCACAAATCTGTCAAAATCTGTGTCAGTGAGCACTTCTCCTTTGCCGAGATAATCCATCCACCTCACAGGTGTGGCATATCAAGATGCTGATCAGACAGCAGGGGTATTGCACAGGTGTGCCTTTGGCTGGCCACGGGAGGGTCCGGAAACCAGTCAGTATCTGGTGTGACCACTATTTGCCTCACGCAGTGCAACACACCTCCTTGGCATAGAGTTGATCAGGTTGTTGACTGCGGGTTGTGGAATGTTGGTCTGTTCTTCAATGGCTGTGCGAAGTTGCAGTCAGGTCAAGACCCCGATGAGGATGACGAGCATGCATATGAACTTCCCTAAGACGGTTGCTGACAGTTCGTGCAGAAATTCTCTGGTTATGCAAACCGGTTGTTGCAGCAGCTTTCCGGGTGGCTGGACACCGATGATCTTGGAGGTGAAGGTGCTGGATATGGAGGTCCTGGGCTGGTGTGGTTACACGTGGTCTGCGGTTGTGAGGCCGGTTGGATGTACTGCCAAATTCTCTGAAACGCCTTTGGAGACGGCTTAATCTAAAGAAATGAACATTCAATTCATGGGCAACAGCTCTGGTGGACATTCCTGCAGTCAGCATGCCAATTGCACGCTCCCTCAAAACCTGCGACATCTGTGGCATTGTGCTGTATAGTAGTCTAGTGTAGTTTACATAGTGAAGTGCTTTAACTTATTACCTTGTTATTTACTAGTGCCGTTCCTAGACCTATTCCTGCGCTGGATGCATGGAGATGAAATACAGTGTAACCAACAGGTTGATAATTCATAATTCAACATCTAGCACCTGAGAGCTAACCAAAAACAGCATCACATTCTCCAGCTGACCTCCAATTAGGGAAGTTATTTTTACAACTCTACCACTGTACATGAGTGTACCGTTCCAGCAGACATTTCAGTCATTTTGCACTTTCAGCTGCATATTTTTAACTCAGACATATGATGGAATAGAATTATACACTCACCTAAAGGATTATTAGGAACACCATACGAATACTGTGCTTGACCCCCTTTCGCCTTCAGAACTCCCTTAATTCTACGTGGCATTGATTCAACAAGGTGCTGAAAGCATTCTTTAGAAATGTTGGCCCATATTGATGGATAGCATCTTGCAGTTGATGGAGATTTGTGGGATGCACATCCAGGGCACGAAGCTCCCGTTCCACCACATCCCAAAGATGCTCTATTGGGTTGAGATCTGGTGACTGTGGGGGCCATTTTAGTACAGTGAACTCATTGTCATGTTCAAGAAACCAATTTGAAATGTTTCGAGCTTTGTGACATGGTGCATTATCCTGCTGGAAGTAGCCATCAGAGGATGGGTACATGGTGGCCATAAAGGGATGGACATGGTCAGAAACAATGCTCAGGTAGGCCGTGGCATATAAACGATGCCCAATTGGCACTAAGGGGCCTAAAGTGTGCCAAGAAAACATCCCCCACACCATTACACCACCACCACCAGCCTGCACAGTGGTAACAAGGCATGATGGATCCATGTTCTCATTCTGTTTACGCCAAATTCTGACTCTACCATCTGAATGTCTCAACAGAAATCGAGACTCATCAGACCAGGCAACATTTTTCCAGTCTTCAACTGTCCAATTTTGGTGAGCTCTTGCAAATTGTAGCCTCTTTTTCCTATTTGTAGTGGAGATGAGTGGTACCCGGTGGGGTCTTCTGCTGTTGTAGCCCATCCGCCTCAAGGTTGTGCGTGTTGTGGCTTCACAAATGCTTTGCTGCATACCTCGGTTGTAACGAGTGGTTATTTCAGTCAAAGTTGCTCTTCTATCAGCTTGAATCAGTCGGCCCATTCTCCTCTGACCTCTAGCATCAACAAGGCATTTTCGCCCACAGGACTGCCGCATACTGGATGTTTTTCCCTTTTCACACCATTCTTTGTAAACCCTAGAAATGGTTGTGCGTGAAAATCCCAGTAACTGAGCAGATTGTGAAATACTCAGACCGGCCCGTCTGGCACCAACAACCATGCCACGCTCAAAATTGCTTAAATCACCTTTCTTTCCCATTCTGACATTCAGTTTGGAGTTCAGGAGACTGTCTTGACCAGGACCACACCCCTAGATGCATTGAAGCAACTGCCATGTGATTGGTTGATTAGATAATTGCATTAATGAGAAATTGAACAGGTGTTCCTAATAATCCTTTAGGTGAGTGTATATTATAATACAACCAAAATGTCAGACTGTTCTTTAAAAAATAACGAGTTCAAATAAAATACAATAACAAATGATAATAATAATAATAATAATACATTTTATTTAATGGCGCCTTTCATGGCACTCACCAGATGAAAAAAAATATATAGTGAGCATATAATGAGCAACAATAATACCAATACTCCAACTCAAATGAAGGTGATTCAAAAGAGTTAAGTTAAATTGGTTAGGCTATAGGTGCACTTTGTTAAAAATCCAGTGTTAAGCCTTGTACTCCCTTGAAGGCATGAGAAAAGAAGACAAACTAGAACCAGAGTAAACACACAGACAGTAATTGTGCATATAACAGCATCTTAAATAACTTGGTAAACACACAAATGCAACTGTTTCTTCGCTGTCTTTCTTCTCTGAGGGTGTTGACAGTGTGTTGATAGTTTCTAGGAGGGGCAGGACACAAATCCTCTTTACTAAGGTCCCTCTGATAAAAGATGTCTCCTTCTGATAACACAAAGATTTTTGAGTGGCTGTTAAAATACTTAATCCAGAGTAATATATTAATACAAAGACAGATCCTTCACATATACTCGGAGCATTCAACAATCTTATTTTCTTGTGTGTTGTTAAACTTTGATGGAGTCAAATTCCATCATTTTCACAGCCAGAGATTTTCCTTCATCGACTGCATATTGTTTGGTTTCACACCGCCATCACGTGGCCAAATGAGTTAATCTTGACAGCAATGCCTACATGTTTTGGTATTTTATTACATTTTATTATTTATTATTACATATATATAGGACAGAACACTAATGGAAAAGGGTTCTACCTCACTATCTTGAACTGTCACTACTAAAACTCTGCATTTAGATAAATATCTAATGCTTTTCATGACTTGTTTTTTCTGCTTTTTTCATTTTATAGAGAAGAAGAGAAAATTTCTCCTGTTTAAACGTAGTTAACTTAAATGTTGTTGACAACTTGAATGTGTTTTGTTTACTTTTAACTTTTAATTGAGCGGTAACGTCTCTATGCCTTGTTGATACTGAAAGGAATAAAAGTGAGGAACCTGACTGTGCCTGCGGAACTATATGTGGATGGTAGCGTTTCTGCCCGGCGTTATTTTGCACTTGTACAGACGCTCATGCTGCTGTGACGGCTGGAATATTTTGAGCGGGTTTGGCTGATTGTACTTAATAGTTTAACCACGGTGTTTTTTTATGTCAGGTAAAATAACGCCGTCCAAAGAACCAATATGGCGGACTCGAAGTTGAAGCTGGATTTTACTCTGAAAGAACTGGCTCTTTCCTCTCAGGGTGAAGATGTCGACGTCCCCGGCAGCTCGTCCACCGTGGAGCTGCAGGACAACAAAACTGGTGTGTGTGGAGTATCCTGCGGTGGTCAGCAGTGTGGACAAGATGATGGACACTCTCGGGGGTGAACAAGTAGTGTCCAAAGTAAGCAGACCTTAATTGGGACAGACTGGTGTAGCTTTTAGGCCGGGGTACTATTAACTACACGTTGGGTCCCTTAAAACTCTGAAATACCGTTACAGTTCAAAAAAGCCTCACTTAGAGTTCAAAAAAGCCTCACTTAGAGTTCATAATGTGAATCACACATAACATTAGTTCTACGCCTTATCTTGATTTGACATTACTGTTAAAATAGCGACGTCCCATAAACTGTAAGACAAATGAGTGTATATTTTTATTGCTGCTGTTTTGTAATAGGTTTTGTAATATGTTAACTTTTAATGAATGTAAATACGCATTTGAAATTATATTGCCTAATAATTAGCCACAATGCTACATTTCAGGGTTTCAGAAACGTTTGTTACCTAAAAATAGATTTTGTTGTCTTTAGGGCTGTAGTTTTAAGCAGGTATGCAACACCTATACATTTGTAGGGGGATATGGGAATATGCCCCACTAAAGTTCATGGTAAGGGCCTTAAGGTGGGTCCTGCTTTATTACCGGATTTGAGACACTGAGGAGGGATTAAAATGTGCCCTGGACCTGAATGCTTTATAACACAGTACACAGTTTGATAATAATGATAGTTATGTTTAAGTTAGGTTGTATTTCTGTTAAAGTCAATGTCATGTGTTTTGTTAGTAGATAGCTGCCAGCATTTTTGCTCTGGTCACAAATTTATTATTGCCATTGCAGCCAAACTGCACAAATCTGACACCTGTCTGCATTTCATGTTGATCCCATAGACCTTCGGTCTCCCCAACAAGCGTCTTGAGCTGCGTTTCCGACCTCAGGACCCTTTCTGTCACTCTCTGTGTGGAAACCGCTTCCCATCAAGCAACCTCCTCCTCAGAGTGCGGCGGCGGGTACGGAAAAATGACCCCAAGGATGCTGAGATCCGCATGGACATACTCGGCGTCATAGGAACAACATACAAATTCCAAGGTAAGATTAAAAGTCCTCCAAATTTATAGAGGTTTTGAACATTTCAAAACTAGTATTTGGATTTTCTGGATAATCTTTCAGTGCTCTATTTATCTGCCGTTTGTCCACCCACATCGTGATATACTGTGGCTTCAAGTTGAGTTATAACATTTCCTCTATTTTTCCTCTCATTTTTTTTTACCTCTTTTAGTTCTTCTGTTTACTTTTCACTACTGTCAAACAGTGATCTACTTTCTTTTTGCAGGGCTGGCAGACTTTCAGTGCCTTGCTGTACATTCAGAAGGTGGAAGAGACACTTCTTTGTATGAAAAAATCATCCTCCGCAAATCAGAGAATCAAGAGTTCTTTGAGCAGCCCGTGCCTTACTTTCTACCCCCGGCCATCTTCTCACGCCTTGACAGTCCTGCGGATTATTTCTACCGGCCTGACATCTATCACAATCAAGTTGTTCGGTCAGTCTTATAACTTATACTATTTCCCTTTGTCAAGGGTAACTATTTGTCTTGTCTAAACAACAGTATTGGGAATTATGTTTTATTTCATAGTGATGTTGATGCTGCTTCTCAGAAATATATTTTTAACCCGTCGGCTTTCTGATTATAGTGAGTTGCCCTTCAACAAGAAGAGTTTTATTGGTTTGAATCGCGCTCGTCGGCCCCACAACGCCATATTTGTCAGCTTCACTGATCCCACTGTTCCCGCCGAGTGCCTCGAGGCGGCCAGGCTCAACTGGACACGAGTCTGCCTGAAGGAGTGTGACAAGCAGGCTGAAGAACGTATGAAAAAGGTATGTGTGCTGCTGTAATCATGGTTGCCGGTGACTGAAATACACCCTCTAATTGCCTTGGGGGTGGGCATTTCCTGGGTGCCAGGAATCCACACTGGTCATCTAATGGCATCCCAGACAAAATGTTATTCAGGGCTCATTAAATAAAAAGAACCTATAATTGAACAGGGCATGTTTGACAACAGCAAAAGTAAAATAGTACAATAAAGTACAAGTAAAAGGATTCACACTAAAGGAAGCTGTTTACTTTGAAACAGCAATTTTCTCTTTTTCATTATCTTCTTCATTTTCATTATCTTCTGTAATTTTTAGGAGGATCTATAGAAATGCAATATAATATACACTCACCGGCCACTTTATCAGGTACACCTGTTCAATTGCTATTTGGATTATGAATCAAAATACACAATGCCTCTTCTTTAGCCATCAGTTTTTAAATTAAGCTTGAGATTGTTTTAGGCATGTGCTGATTAACAATCAAGACAATAAAATTAATTCTGCTTTCAGAATTAATTCAAAATTCATGTTTTAATGAATGTTTCTGCTGCAGCAAAAGAAAGTTCCTCTGAAATCAAGTCCTGTCATGGACCAAACGGGTACACATACAGTAAGAAATAACTGTGTGTGTGCAGCGCTGTGCGAGAGCTGATCTGCTGTTAACAATACATATAATTAATCTAGTGACAGAGTAACTTACACATCAGTACTGCAACACAGCAAGACAAACTGACACTCAAATTTTATACAAAGAAAGGAATAACTTCATGCATTACATTTGCCGAATTTAGAAGAGGGGACCAATAATAAAGTAAATAAATTCGTTGGCAACTAATTTAATAATCAATTTTTGTCAACTACGTTGATTATTTGTTGCGCCCCTATTTTGAACATGGCATGATTGTTGATGTCAGACGGCTGAAACTGCTGATCTACTGGGATTTTCACACACAGCTGTAGGGTTTACAGAGAATGGTCTGAAAAAGAGAAAATAACCACTCGTTACAACCAAGAAATGCAGAAACCATCTCTGAGCGCACAACACGTCAAACCTTCAAGCAGATTGGTTACAGCAGCAGAAGACCACACTGGGTGCCACTCCTGTCAGCTAAGAACAGGAAAGGAAAGAGTATTGTTGCTGACCATGTACATCCCTTTATGACCACAGTGTACCATCTTCTGATGGCTACTTCCAGCAGGATAACGCACCATGTCACAAAGCTGAAATCATCTCAAACTGGTTTCTTGAACATGACGATGAGTTCATTGTACCCCAACGGCCTCCACAGTCAACAGATCTTCATCCATTAGAGTTCCTTTGGGATGTGGTTGAAGAATTAAGGCAGCTCTGAAGGCAAAAGGGGGTCCAGCCACGTACTAGCATGTTGTACCTAATAATGTGGCCACTGAGTGTACATAACTATGTTTTCAGTGGTGTATAAAGACCTGACATTACGAACGGTTATTTATTACCTTAAAATGAGCCATTTCTATCTACATACACCGCAGGGCCTCTTACATGGAAGTTGCCATGTTGTGCTGCCATGTTTCTACAGTAGCCCAAAACGGTTCTACAGAGTGCGTTTTGTCACTACGTTAAATATGTAGTAGTAGTAGTAGTAGTTGTCGTTGTCTGTTTTCTTAGAAATAAGAAGAGAAGTGAAATTTAGACAAATAGATGACCACACGTATTATTTAGCACAGAGCGTGTCAGCTACCGTAGCTTCTCCTGAGCGCTTGCAAAGGGAGGGGTGAGCAGTGACTCATTCATTCATTCGTTCATTTGGCGTCGGAATAGTTGAAAGTTTTTTTCCTGCTTATATCTTTATCCCTGTCTGGCCCGGTGACAAATAAATTTGAATAAATAACAGTACAGACAAAGGAGTATATTAATACTCTCTTGTTAAAGTAAAATCTGTCTTGCACAATATGGTATCCAGCTCCTCATACTCATACCAGACTGCCGGGCAGGACAGGTTTAAAAAAAATAAAATAGAAATAATAATCTTTATTTCAAAAACAGGAATAACGTGTACATGAGACATAAAGAAGTATACAGAACAGTTTATATCATATAAAGATATTAAAAGGGGAGATGTTGAAAGTTTTCACACCCTTATTGTTGTTTTTGAAATTAAATTGATATAAGATATCGTAGATGTCTGATAATACTAATCGACACATCTTTGTAATAGCATCCATGTTGATTCCACATTCCGACTACAAAGCACATGAACACACCACACACCAAAGTCGGAAGAAAGACTTCACAACTCGGGAACATCCCTGGATGGATGTGAACCGTTAAATGTAAATGCTCTGTATTTGTATAGCCTGTCTAGTCTTATCGACCACTCAAAGTGCTTTTACACTACATCGCATTCACACACTGAGCCTAAGTGCACACACATTCATACACTGGTGGAACAGCCACCAGCTGGTCCAGTATCTTGCCCAAGGATACTTCGACATGCAGCCTGGACCTTCCTATTAATGGGCAACCTGCTCTACCTCCTGAGCCACAGCCGCCCCAACCATCTCCATTGGTTGCAACTCGCAACCCTCACCACTAGATGCCACTAAAACTTACACACTGATCCTTTAAAGGAGCCCTTTTGAGTGTTCTTGTAAATAAAGTTTCTTTTAACTTTTATTGTTCATCACCAAAATGCATTATGTATCTCCTCTTTCAGGTTTTTTTTTTTTTTTTTTTTAAATGTTAAACCTGTATTGTTTACATCTACGTTTTCTAGCTTGCAGTCTTCTTCCCTGGTTTTGACATAGTCTTGGCAGGAATGTGAATAGCGACACTCATATGTGCATGAACAAATAAAACAGAAAACCACGTGTACAAAAATTGCTCTGTAGTGATACAATTGGTCAAAAAATCCATTTGTACTATGTCATAACTTAAAAAGCTTCTGTGACTGTATTTAAATTCCCTTCTCACACTGTTTAAATGACAATTATTTTGGTTTACATCACGTAATTAGTTTACTGCTAATGAAAGCTAGCTCTTTCAGCAGTGTAGCCAAACTATCATAAAAAACAGTTTACCCTCCAGAAATTGCACTGGTTGAAGTTGGGAAATGATTTATCTGTTGCACAGGTATGACATACCATAATTTTCTTTTTATCTTATCTCAAACCACACTTTTTGTCCCTAGATGTTTGAGAGCCGGCCCATCTGGTCACGTAACGCGGTCAAGGCCAACATCGACATCCACCCTGGCAAACTGAAACTGCTGCTGCCCGTCTTCGCCTATTACATGGTGAGCGGAGGGGGCGGAGTGGGCTTGGTAAAGATTGTGGGCGTGCATTTCAAGTGGAAAAACATGTGCCATTCAAATGCATCTTCCATTATGTCATTCACAGTAAAAGATTGAGCAATAAACCTGGTGAGGCGTTGCTTTGCAGTGGCTGAACATAAATGTCTTGAAATGGGAAATCTGTATCGAAATAGATTCCACGCTCATTTGTGAATATATGTGAAGCTTGTAACATCATCATTTTTTTAGACTGCTGTTGTGAAGCTCCTTTCTGAAATATTGAACTCCAGAACAACAACCCCACAAGCAACAGCCTGCAAAGAACAAGTGTTCATGTTATTGTGTCCACTCTCTGTCTGTATTATTGAGTGATTCATACAGTCTGTTCTCCTATGCAAATCACCAAAGAAATGTTATACAATTAAAAGTGGGAATCAACATTATTTTCTGCCCAAATGTAAGTGAAACATCGGATTTGCTTTTCTTTAGGTCACAGGACCGTGGAGGAGTCTGTGGGTGAGGCTGGGCTACGACCCCCGAAAGAGCACGGATTCCAAGAAATACCAGTTGCTAGACTTCAGGATCCGCTGTAGCACCAAGCACGGTAAGAACCAGAGGCAATTTTTTTTTTACTGAGCTGAGTGCTGTGACATTATATAATTCGATCACGTTAAATAATTTTAGGCAAATTTAGCTGAAATTAAATCTTTCTGTCTATGTTGAACATCAGCAGTTTTCAGTCAAACTTTCTTCAGTAGCCACTTCAACTATATAGTACACTGTCAGTTTATTTTAATTATTATGAAAAGTCAAGACCTGTCTGCCTGAACCTGACAGTTGATTCCTCTTCCTTCCCACTTTAAGGGTATTCATTATCTGACATGCCAGTAAAAGCCAAGCGGAGTTCCCTTAACTACAGTCTGTCTATCACATTCAACAAAGCAGGTGAGTTGGTGGATTCATTTAAATGTGTGCATTTATTTGACATGGAGGAAGCACTACAGAAGCAGTTAAATGGAATGCAGCCATCATTCATTTTATTTCATTCATTCATTTTAAGTTACACCTGTGTTTTCATACTGCCACTAGGACTGTCGCAGTGAAGTAATTTCCACTGCTGCAATATGATGGGGTTCAACAGCGCAGTATGCGGTATTATCGCATTTTGTCATCAATGAAGTAATTTGGTTCCATATAGCAGAGTAAGAGTATCTGTCACCTCACTGCACTGCGAGCCGCTAACCGCAGCTTTATGGTCTGAGCAAGCTAGCTGCTGCGTGCTAGTCAACAACATGTTTGTTGACTATGTCTTTTTCAGACATAGCTATATCATTACCTTCAGGTAATGATCGAGTCAATTTACATACCGCAGCAACGCACGCGCACACCGGTGTGGAGCAGAATGGCTGTCCACAACTAACCACTGCGCTGTAGTAACGTTATAACTAAATTTCCACAGAAAGCAACATGAAAAACAGATGCAGGCTTCTGACACACTAGGCTTCTTAGTTAGTGAGCTTCAAATGAGGCTTACTGTCCACAGTTTCTCTGGACTGTCCCTCAGGAACGTTAGTCCAACATCGCTGAGCCTGCTAGCCACATTTTCCGCGCAATATGCTAACGCCAAGTTAGCTAACCTTTAAAATAAACAGTAAAACAACACAAAACACGGCAACACTTACAGCTTCAGAGTTTTAATTCGGGCCACGTACAGCCCATGGCGATCAATCCTTAAACCGTTACAGAGCTTGTTGCGGTTGTGGAACTTTTGAAGCACTCATTTATTAATTTAACATGCACTGAAGTGTACAGTATGAACATTGCGGTTGTTGCGGTGATTGCGATCGTTGCAAAAAATGCAACATTGCGGTTGTTGCGGTGATTGCGATCGTTGCAAAAAATGCAAATTTACTGAATTTTTTGCTGAAATTACAAATTGCTGTGTACCACCTAATTCTACATCACATTATATGATAACTCTTCAGTCACACAGCTGTTGTGCTGCCCTTTCTCCACCTAGTGGTAGCTGTATTTTTAGGTTTTGGGTTTGAGTTTTGACCCTTTGGGGTTGCTGTAGCTAGTCTGTGGAGTGCTGAAGCAGTAGAGTAGCAGATCAAGACAGTGAAGTTAGCATCTCTTTTTTTATTTCACACAGAGCTCAGGAAACATATGTACTTGTATTTGCACAGTATGCCACTCAGGATGTTAAACATGTGAAGCGAAATGTGTAGTTTATTTTAAGATTATGATATCGTGATTGCGATGCTAATTTCCCTAAGCACGTTAACGGAGATTCCATTATGTTAGCATTGAGCTAACCGTCAAAGCGCTATTTTTAAAAAAATTAATTTTATGTATCGATATGATGGGCTGGAATATAGATATGGTATCACGGAAAAATTATAACTATATATTGTTGTATAGATTTTTTTGGCACACCCTTAAGCATCAGGTTGCACATAAATATTGCAGACAAAAACAGAAAAGGGCACGGAGGTTGTTTTAAAGTCACATGTTCCATACAGCTTCTAATTGTGTATTATTTGAATCAATCAACCGAGCCGATATCTGCCATTTTGAGATAATGTAGAACGCTAATAGTGCTCCCCCTTGTGAGTTTTGGGAAGGTTGTGAAAAAGTTAGTTTTGAGCCCTATATTAACCCTATGTTTTTTTCCATCCTAAATGACAACTAATCTAATTTAAAGCCATTACTGGCTAGTGTTAAATATATTAATATACTGTAGAGAATAATGCAGTTGAATGACGTCACTTGAGACAAACTGTACTTCTCCCTTACACACATTCTGAAATCTATATCTAACCTAATCTTGCGTAGTCTTGCGCCCTGCAAGATTACTTTTTCGCATTGGTTGCACTGCCACAAACTTTAGGTACACCCAAATTTTTCACAGCACCTTTAGCGCCATAACAGTATATTCTAACCTTCTGTAATATCTAAAACACATGATAGTTAGAAAATTATTGGACACCTACAGGTACATTTTGTAATTATTTATTATTAAAATAAACTTCATTATTTTAAAACAAACTTAAAAAGTGCTAAAGTTTAAAGTGCTTGACAGACTGAAAAATAAAAAAACTAAAATGACAAAGTGTGTGCTGCTCTCAGATACTTACAGAAAATCCCCTCAAGCTGGGGAAAAATTTAACTAAACGTCACAACTGCAAGAACTGGGATTGGTCGGCTCGTTAGCATTGCATTTCCTCTAAGCTGCTAGCTTAGAAGCCAGCTTTCTTGCTTCTGATATCTGCTTTATATCTCAGCCATCAGTCGCCCTGCTGTGTAAATATCAGAATTGGCCATTGAAAAACCAGCTTTATTGCTGAAACATTACATTTATTCATTTAGCTGACGCTTTTATCCAAAGTGACTTAGAATTGCTAAGTTTGTCAGAGGTCGCACGCCTCTGGAGCAACTTGGGTTTAAGTGTCTTGCTCAGGGACACATTGGTGTGTGTCACAGTGGGGAATTGAACCTGGGTCTCTCACACTGAAGGCATGCGTCTTATCCACTGTTTCAGTCACATCACTGATTGATGTCTGATTGGATTTGATTTGAATCACCAAGCCAAAGTTGTTTAAACTGACTAGATCAGGAGATTTTGAACATGGCAACAGCTGCACATGCAGATTTCTTTGGTGTATACGTGTATGTATATAAATAACTGTATACATTGTTTTATACATTACCCTGTTCTAATATAAATTGAATTATCTGTTGTGTGTGTGTGTAGCACAAAGGGGCGACAAACTTTCATTTCATTGTATAACCTTGATCCTTCAAATGTTTGGTACTCATTCAGTCTACATCCATGTTGCTACACCGCTGCCTGCTTTCAGAAATGTAACTCCATCCACCTCCCCAGCATGCTCAGGATTGTTCCAGGCCATCACATGAGCAGAGCCAAACTGAAATGCATATTGCAGCAATAAATGGTTCAAATCTTGACCCTAGTCTTTAATAATCTCCATTGTGTAACGTTCCATTGCTGTTGCCAAGGTAAACTGACAACATGTTTTTTATTCCCAGGTCCCCAGCCAGCTAGCGTGATGGAGCTTCCATCTCAGGAGGGCCCAAGCACCAGTCGAGATCCAGTCCCAGTCACATATCAGCTGAAGGTCAGTGAGGGTCCAGTATCTAGCTTAATCCAGCCTAGTTATGAGAAAACATTATTGGATCATGGTTAAAATGCTTGTTTCAATCCTTTCTTGCTTAATGGCAGAACGGATTTCATGGTTAGATTTTACATTTTGTCATATCTTGTGTTTTTCATTTATAAAATTTTGAACACTTTGGATCTCTAAAAGCGTAAAGATTAACATGCTGGAAGATAATAAGGGCTGTCTTATCTATTGATGGTCAAGGGTTGCAGTAAACTTTGATTAGACAAAATCTGCATGATGTCTGCAGCGATACAAACTGACCCGTTTTTCCTCCACAGGAGTCATCTTACATTTTCAGAGAGGGCATGCTGCCTCCTCACAGACAGATGTTTTACCAGCTCTGTGATTTGGAAGTGGAGAGGTACGTTACTGTACACACACTACTTGCCTTTACATTAGGAATGGGAATCACCAGAGGCCCCCCGATACGATATTATCACGATATTTATGTTGAGATTCAATTTTATTGCAATTTTTAATATATTGCAATTTATTACCTTTTTCCAACTTCCAATTAGGTCCCTAAAGTCAAACTTTGTCAACATCTGTTTATCTAAAAACATACATTTCTATGTTTGTTCATATCACTTTTTCAGTCCTCTATATGGTCCTGTTAAGTTTTCTAGTGGACAAAAAAAGCAGATTTTATTATTCTAGTACCAAAAAGTTAAAACTCCCATCTGCAATTTATACACTAAAATATCGATACTTGGCGTCCGTGTATCGATACAGTATCGCCATTGCAAATATCGCGATACTATGCTGTATCGATTTTTTTTCCCCCGCCCCTACTTTACATATTATATATTTCATCTAACTTGAAGATAACTCGAGTTAATGTCGGGGTGTCTGCAAGTGCTGAGAAGTCCTAAGAATTAGGCAGTTAAGTCATGAAAAGTACATGTAGTTTTTCGAATTCAATTTAAGGGATCTAAAACTGTTTTTGTACCTTGTTTTTTTATTTATTTATTTTTTAACCACAACTGGCATAAAACTGGTTTCAGTGTGAATTGCTTAAAATTGCAGGCACAGATGTTCCCAATGGCTTTTCAGAATTTAAGCCATTAAGCTGACCAGAAAGTTTTTTTTAGAGTTCAATTGGTTTTCACCCAGATTTTATATTTAACCTTGTAACAACAGAACAGAAGGTTTGCGCTTGTTTGATTTTTTAAAATCATTTCTTTATTGATTTTTTTTCATAATAAAAAAAAGAGTTCTAGGAACCCCCAGTGTAACATGTTTTAGGTACCGTAGATAAATAGTGGTAGAAGTATTCCAATACCCCAACAGAATAAAGTAAATGTCAGTAAAGGGATATCACATCATCAGTAGTTATTATAATGAAAATGTCCCTGTTGTTGTGGTTTTGTTGCAGTGGTGGAAGAAATACTCAGATCTTCAATTTATAGCTCGGGTAGCCAATTTATTTTAGAAGCATTTTTTGTTAAAGTTGCTTAAATTCTCTTTACATCACAACAGCAATCAATAAATCAAATGCTCTGATACAAAAATAAAACAAATCTGGTATCTGTGGCTGTTGGACATTAATAAGCACGGCTGTCTCCCTACCTACCTGTCAACCTACGGGCACTCACTGCATATGAAGTGTTTTGAGGGAGTGAGTTTGGAGTGAGTGGGATTTTCTCGGCTGGATACTTGCGAAACGTTGCCTGCCCCAGCTTTAACATGGCAATACCACAGTGTAGAAATACCTGTAGTGTAGTTACTTTCCACCACTGTTCCGGTGTGATGCAGCTATTTGTGTCTCCAGTATCAAACAGGTGATTGAGCAGACCGGCGATAATGAGCAGGTATGTGACGAGCGGGACGGCTGGTGTCGTCTCGGCACCACAGACAAGCTGCGGGACATGATCTCAGCCATGATTAAGAAGGTCATCCGAGCCCAGAAACCCAGTAAGGAAAATGTCCCTCACAAAGAATGGCTGTCTTATGGTAGTCACAGCATGACCAAAAGCGTGGCCAGGGCCGGTGTTAGTGCGAGCCAAAACCAAAGTGATGTTATTTTTCTCCCTCAGCATTGCCAGAAAGGCCCAAGAGACGCAGACGCCCAGGCCTAGGTTTAAGATCCCCAGAGAACGATGTGGATGAAGAAGAAGAGGTGCAGGATGATGAGAACAAGGATGATGAAGAGGAAGATGAGGACGATGATTTTCAGCCGTCAGAGGGAAGTGAAAATGAGATGGAGACAGAAATTCTGGATTACATGTAACAAAAGACAACCATTTTCATGACATTAATCTTGACTGTTAATATTGTCCACCATTTCTGTAAATGATGATATGAACAATTTTTTGAGTTAAATGTAAATAAAAAATATTTCTAGTGGTTTATGTAAGAGTTGTATCATCTTTGTAACAGTGTTTTTAGTTAATATCGTGTTGGGGATACCTGACAGGGGGCGGTGCAGTGGAGCAGTCACCTCACAGAAAGAAGGTTGTGGTTTCAAACCCCGGTTTCCCCGGCCTTTCTGTGTGGAGTTTGCATGTTCTCCCCGTGTCTGCGTGGGTTCTCTCCGGGTGCTCCGGCTTCCTCCCACCATCCAAAGACAGGCAGGCTAGGTCAATTGGTGTCTCCAAAATTGTCCTTAGGTGTGAGAGGTTGTTTGTCTATGAGTGGCCCTGTGATGGACTGGCGAGCTGTCCAGGGTGTACCCTGCCTTTTCGCCCAATGTCAGCTGGGATTGGCTCCAGCGACCCGATGGTTGGATACCATTACTTTTTAGAAAAATGTGAAAACGGCAATGAGGAAAAAAACATACAGGACAAATGCCAAACTACTGCTAATCTAACAGTTTGGCTGTATTGTGTCTTCCTGGTGGTGTGTGGCCCCTGGCTGGACATACGGTTTGTATCCACATGAGTATGAGAACAATGTATGTGTGTATACTGTAGTGACTATGAAAAGGGCAGCCATGACAATACTTATGTGTAGATTATTGCAGATCTATACACTCACTGGCATTTAGGAGATCGGCTCATTTTAATTAATTTCACTAAAATTGCTGAAGGTATTTACAGTCCAGCTTTGCAGCGTAAGGAAAATGGTTATACATGAAACAAGGATCAACTTTTGGATTGGCTGCTGCAGTGTGGCATTGAGTCCACTTGGAAAGCTGTGTTAAATCAGAAGATGTTCCTTCCTGATATAAATCTGCAAAAGTGAGGAACTAAAAATCACTTCAAACTTCAGTCACACAAACCTTTTCAATGAAAGCATTCACTTCTGTATAGTGTTTTTATTTTTACTCAACAATTTCTTAAAGAAGCTATTATATGTAATTTCAGATTACATGTGTCATAGAGAAAGAAGGTCTCAGTCTATCTGAATTTACCCTTATTATGTCTAATAATTGTTTTCAGATCATTATATTCACATTTCCAATCACGTCCTCAAGCAGGTGATGATGTTTTATATTACAATATTTCAAATTTTATGTCCCACTTTATGAGCAGTCAAGTAAACAGGTGAGGTAGATGAGTAAATGGTTTATATAAACCTGGTTTCGTGGACGGAAAGAAACACAAATGGAATCTTTGAGGTTTTTATCAAATGGGCATTTCACATCCCATGACGTTTTTGGCTGAATTTGGATCCTTACTGATAACACCTACCACTTGTGCCAAACTGACAAATCACGTAGCACTAAGCATTTTAACTTGGTTACTGCTGACTTCATCAGTCTCCACTACCAATGTCAAAATGATAACCACTTATCTCACATGTTGATAGGTTATATAACTTGGCCTCCATTTGCTGTTTGATCGCTACATGATTAAGCCCAAAAACATTTGAAAGTGTTTGAGGTGATGTGAAGGATTGAGGAAAGTGTTGTGGACACAAGGTGGTTAAACATTATGTGTTATGTAACAGTGAGAAGGGTCGCACATTGTACACTAGTCAGATGTTGTTTGGGGGAGGGGTTTCCTTTATAAGTTTGACCGACAATGAACCTGGTCTTCACAGCGCAGTCATGATGGCAAAGCTTGGGATTTTGGTAGCTGTGGCTGTGTTTCTGGAGACGGTCTCCGCCGCCTCCGTAAGTGTCACAACTGTTTTATTCTATTTTTCCTAAAGAACCCTGTTCAAGTTCTCTGTGTTCAGTATGTTAAAGAGTTTTTTTTATAATTTTTGCACCCACAGACTTCCTGAAATTCATCTTTTATCCCTAATTAAGAAAGCACGATTATTTGTTTTTGAGCCATCAATCACTGATAGATTGTACTGGAACACAAGTCTGTGTCACAACATATTTCTACCCAATTTGTTTGTAATAAAGCATTGTTGAAATTGCTCTTATATGACAAAAAAAACATGCCAAGTGGTAACTGAGAATTCAAATCTAAATGCTTTATATGTAATATGATTTAAAAAAGCAATTTTTTTTGGTGGACTACTTTATCAACTCAATATCTTGCATTTCTTTGTGTTCTGTAGCTCGGTGTGGTGTACACAGAGGGAGGTATGGTGCAGGGTGAGAATATTCGTCTTGGGTTCCGCCGTCACATGGACGTCTTCAGGGGGATTCCCTTTGCTGACATCCCTGGGAGGTTTGAGAAACCAAAGCGTCACCCTGGCTGGGATGGTGGGTAGACTGGTTGAACTTCTCACTTACTGGATTTTACATCTAGTCCAATAACTACAAACTATAATTCACACCACAAATATATGTATGCTCCTTTAGCAATCATGGCCATGACTATTGCAGCTAAATCCACTCCCACTTCTTTTTTAACTTTAATTGAATTGACTGAAAAGGTTTTATCTTCAAGCTGTAGAGATAAATGAGCATCAGCTAAAGGCCTAAACTGTATAATGTAATATGTCATGAAAAGATACATAATTTATTCTGGTAATTTCCAAAAGTCTTACACTGCTATTACACTCCTCTTCAGGTGTTCTGAAGGCCACTGAGTACAGGAAGAGATGTCTTCAGTTGAACCTTATCATGAATGACGTCAGAGGCAGTGAGGACTGTCTTTACCTCAACATCTGGGTTCCTCACAGCGGCTCAGGTAAAGACTGAGAGAAGCTCACAGAGTGTCATCCATTTTAGATCCGCACTACCACTGGTTCCATTTCTCTTTGCTCTCTAGTGTCCACTGATCTGCCAGTGATGGTCTGGATCTACGGAGGAGGCTTCCTGGTGGGGGGCTCGATGGGTGCTAACTTCCTAGACAACTACCTGTACAGCGGACAGGAGATTGCCGAAAGAGGAAACGTTATTGTGGTGACGTTGGGATACCGCGTGGGGACTCTGGGCTTCCTAAGCACAGGCGACTCTAGCTTACCTGGTAGGTCCCAATGACAGAATTGTACAGAGCCTGGAAGGTGTAGGCCTCCACGCCAATGTTTCTAAATTGTTTAATCAAAAGAGCAATTCCTGCTGTGATTGAGTGAAAAGTTTGATCTTCGTCAGGAAACTACGGTATGTGGGACCAGCAACACGCCATCGCCTGGGTGCACAGGAACATCCGCTCATTTGGAGGAGACCCTGACAACATCACCATCTTTGGAGAGTCTGCAGGTGCAGCTAGTGTCAGCATGCAGGTGAGAGGCTTTTTTCTGGGTGTCTAGCTTATGTGTGAGATGATAGACATTCACCATTTGTAAATATGAATGTAACTATCTAAAATAATAAAAAATGTACCAAAATATTTTACTGTCTGCCTGCCCACAGACTCTCACGCCCCACAACAAGGGTTTGTTCAAGAGAGCAATCTCGCAGAGCGGGGTTGCCCTTTGCCCCTGGGCAATTAACAAGAACCCCCGTAGGTTTGCTGAGGAGGTACATAACAAGCTTCACTGACACATTTTATTTCTATTGAACTTTTAATACCATTTGCAATAGTTATCTTGAATTTAAAGGTGTACATACTGTATAACTTAAGAGCTGAGAAACAATTGAAGATGTTGTGAAACCTCTCCCCAGGTTGCTCTGAAGGTCAACTGCCCCACCGATCAGACTATGGCTGCCTGTTTGAAGATGACTGATCCTGTGCAACTAACGATGGCTGGCACTCTCAGTCTGTCCAGCTCAGCCGACCGTAAGGACTAAACTCCACACAGCCTAGTTTACATTTTCATTTTACACATTGTGTCAATGCTTTCAACCAGAGCCACGCACAGTTAAGTAAGCTTGTATGGAAACTAGCAGTTTATTGCGTCTGATAACATCAGAAAAGAATCAAAGAAGCTGTTTAACCACATTCGCTCCCCCAGATCAACAATTCCAGCAGCTGTATTACAACTATTTCATCTCACTGTATGGCATGTCCAGTCATTGCTATGGGTGTAAGACGATGTGAAGGTAGGCAAAGCAGCCAGTAAGCACGTTACCATCGACCTGTTTTTAATGCACATTTAGGAAAAAAGTTGAAATATTACAAAAAGATTGAAGCAAAATGTGACAATGGTAATAGAAACAGTCATGACATAGCTGAAGCATTTAACTTTAATGTCCACTGATGCTTCCGCTCCAATATAGACACGAAAAAGTAATCTTGTTGCAACCTCTTCTTCTGCAGTGTTTAAATGACACCCGACTAGAAAATTAATGCCTCCTTATATATATTATTTTATATCTTGATGCACCCTATTGTTATTCTCACATAACATTGGTGGATGGAAATGTGCATTCGTTCGCATTTTGTGTTGCAGATTTTCTGGAAATGTGTTTACAATTTGCTGTAAATTTGGATGGAAACTTGGCTAGTGAGTGTTGCCCTGAAAGGTGGGGTTTGGGATTCTGGAAAAGTCCTATAGCCTGCCATGACAAATACCATGATATTGATATATTAATCTAAGCTGGGTTGTGGGTTAGCAAACTGTTACTTCACAGAGAGTATAAGATGGTTTCCCAGAGCCAGCACGCCAGCTCCATAGAGCGATACTCACAACTCTCCTGCTACTATAGCTAACATCACTACAATAGCATATCTTGGCAAACTAGAGTAACTAAGTAAGCTGAATGTCTGTGGGCAAGTCATTTTACGTCACCTGACACGCATATCATGGTTGGATAGTGTTGTGTTGTTTCCTACTTACAGAGCCATCTGTGCGCAAACACTGATTTTTTTTTTCAGCACACACACTGGGCACACAGACCAGGAGGAGATTTTCACTGAATTAGAATTTTTTATTGGATTTGAATTGCATACCAAACCTTTAAGGGCCCTAACAAACCAAATAGACCTCGACCAGCTGCTGACCTCACACTGCCTAATGTCTTCAAACATTTGTAGACTACAGCAAAGATTATCCCCAATGGCTGACATTTAGAGAGAGCGTAATTAAGTCCCGCCCACACTGAAGGGGAAAACATTTCATCGCTCTGTTGTGTTGGTTCAATAGTTCTTATTGCAATGGTGCGTCCTTGTCACTTCCAAATGCCTCAAAGCTGCTGTGTGGTGGGGTGCACTACAAACAGGGTAAAGAACACAAAACGCAGCTGCTATAAGCTGCCAAACCATAAAAGTGAGCCTTTAAGAAGGCAAAAGTGGATACAGACATTAAGATGCGAGCCACCAGCAGGAAGAATGGAAGAACTGTGAGGTCTTGACACTCAGTATGTCTACATGTGCAGCAAACATGGTTTTTCAAAGGGGAGAGGTTGAATCTAACTTAACTGTTCAAGGCCTGGTTTTGATCTATGTTAGGTTAAATGATGATCTTACCTGGTGATTTGATTAAATAGTAATTCACTTATGGTCACTCAGTGGGATAGTTTCTTCAAGAAGTGCAAGGTAAGGACAAGGGACACTGAGACAGACCATCAAAATTGAGTTTGTCAACATACTTTTTCCTCTCTTTCTTCATCTTTACATCTACTGTTTTTAGCTAGCTACTGAAATGTAGTTATTATTGCATCCCTTGGTTGCATATTGTGACGCAGATTGTTGTCCCCTCCGTTGGCGTGTATTTCAGAGTTTGATGTGTTGCTCTCTGTCAAATTTCAATTGCTATTGTAGGGGAACTAATATGCTATATTAAAATTAGCAAAATTGAGAGATTGATTGGTGCTTCCATCCCTTTCATATTGAGTTTTGTTTTATGCATGTATGAAAAGCATAATTTATAGAAACAAATCTGTGGGTGCACAGGTGGTGCGGGCCAAACTTCCTCCAACTTGGGCTTCACCAGCCAACAACAGATCTAGAAAGTAGCACATTTGAATGCCAGTTATGTATAAAACATACATATTTTACTGCATGTGTCTGATTGTACCTGCCTCTGTCAGATCCCCTCGTGTTCAATCTGGCCCTATCTCCTGTGATCGACGGTGACTTCCTGCCAGATGAGCCTTACAATTTATTCCACAATGCAGCTGAAATTGACTACATCGCTGGAGTCAATGACATGGACGGACACCTCTTCACTGGTTTAGATGTTCCCTCAATTAACTCCCCACTGGTGGACACCCCTATGTGAGTTCAAGCCAATATAGATCACATTGTGAAACATTGACAATTCTGCAACTGATCTACCCAGAGCAATATACCATATCTTTCTGAGAGCAGTGGTAGCAGATTTGCTGGCAGAAAGGTGTTTTATTAGAACCGATTTTCAAACCATCTCTTCCTTATTGCAGTGAGGATGTGAAGAGGCTCCTGGCTGCGTACACTAAGGAGAAGGGAAAGGCTGGTTTGGACAACGCCTATTCCACATACACCTCAACCTGGGGGTCAAATCCCAGCAAGGAGACCGTCAAGAAAACCGTTGTGGAGATTGGAACAGACTATATCTTCCTGGTTCCTACTCAGACTGCCCTTTACCTTCATGCTGCCAACGCTACGTAAGAATGAGATTTTAAGTGGGTCATTGCAAAAAACAGTATCATGCATCTGTATGGTTAGGTGCAAGGCACCAAATAACTGGCCCTAATATTGTATTTTCTAAGATTTAAGAAGAATTCAGCTTTTAGAGTGCTTTGTTTCTTCTTTATTTATTTAGCCCCCTCTGTGGTGTGGTCATTGTCACAGCTCTATTTTTTCCTTGTCTCACTAAAGAACTGGCCGCACCTACTCGTACCTCTTCTCTCAGCCCAACCGTATGGGCGGCATTGGCAGGCCCTACCCCAGCTGGATGGGAGCTGACCACGCTGATGACCTACAGTACATGTTCGGAAAGCCTTTTACCACACCCCTGGGGTACTGGCCTCGCCACCGTGATGTCTCCCGTTACATGATCGCCTACTGGACCAACTTTGCCAAAACTGGGTATAATTCTGCACATAATACTTAGGAGCATCACATAAATCAAACAAATCTGACATTGAAAAAGAAAACTGTAACTGCGTCAGTTCAGCTGTCCTTGTTTCTGTTTTTTTCCACAGAGACCCCAACAAAGGAGAGAAGGTGCCCGCTACCTGGCCAAAATTCACCAGCACTGGACACCAGTTCCTGGAGATCAATTCCAATATGGACAAGAGCTATGTTAGACAGAAGATGAGAATGCGTTATGTGCATTTTTGGACTAGCGTCCTACCCAGTCTTCCTGTAATCATCTCAGAATAAAGAGTTTTTGCAAATATTTGTGCACCTGCAGTGTTGACCCACAGACCTTCAGATCAAATCAGTATTGGTACATAAAAAAATTAACTCATGACGAAGACAAATTATATTGTGCCTCTTTACAATATGTAGGGCTCAACAGATTCACTTGCATGAATGGCATGTGAGTATGGAGGATATTTTTGGTCATAATTAAAATAAAATAAAAAGTCCAGATAGAAAATGAAAAGAAATTTTAAGAGAAATTTATATTATTTTACTTCACAACTAGGAATAATCAGGCCACAATTAAACTTCAAAACATAAAGGAGATAATAAAAGCAAATTTATATTCTAAAATGATGATTTGAAAATGTAAAGCGACAATCAAAAAGTGAAATACAAAATGCAAAAGTGTCAGCATGCAGGTTCATGCAGTTTCAGTTTAAACTGAAATGCCCAAACAGAATGCTTAAATTGTAAAGATGAAATTGAAAATGGGTATGGAAATAAGAAAAGGGAAACATCAAATATGAAATTCAAAATGGAAATGCTTAAATGGAAATACCTAGAGGCTCATGCAGACTACGCGACTTTCAGCATCGGCCGATCGGTGTGCTGTTCACGCTACACAACTTGCTGTCTTGCGACGGGAGCCTTGAAGTCGTTCAACCACTGATTTACCCCCGATCACAGCCTGACGGTCACCGAGCTCGCCGAGCAGCAAATCGGGCTAAAAATCGTGTAGTGTGAACTAGGCTTAAATTAAAAACTTAAATATAATATAAAATCAATACTTTTTTTAAAATTTTATACTGTCTATGTCTTAGTCACGTGCATACTACTTGTCCGTGCTGAACAGTAGAGAGAGAGAGAATTGTGGGGCTTATATACCCTGTCAGTGCCAGATATTAATGAAATGAAAAGGACACAAAGTTGGAAACATCTGTCATAAATTGGGAAATATTGTGACCCTGGAAGGAAACTGGGAGAGGGCAATGAAAAATGGGAGTCTTCCATGACAATCCAGAGGATTGGCAACCTCTGTGGCCTTCCGTACAACAGAGCATTGTGTGTGACATCATATTATTCATTTGCACACGAGGGTCACTTTCAGTTGAGACTGGCGTTTGATTTGGCCCACATTTAGAAATAATGTGAACAGTCAATCAAAAAAAATTGGATCTGGGCAATACATTGAAGAGCTTTAAGGCTGCACTGTGAACATAGCTTAAGAGTCTACAGCCATGCTATTGGTGCTTTGAACGAAATGCTAATGCCTGCATGCTAACATGTTTTTCATTTTTTTCAATAACATTAATGTCTATTCAAAAATGTATGCCAACTCATCAAAGACTTTGACCTTCTGGTGGCACTATAGGGAGAAAGGAGGTCGCCAAAGTCATAAGGATTCAAACTCTGCGTGCCATAAATATCTATGATAAACAAACTGTCATAGTTTTTAAATTAATATTTTACCAATTTATAAGAGCTTTGAAGTTCATTTTTGAAACTGGAAACCACCTCAAGGTCCGTTTAGTAGCTGCTCAATTGTCATGTAAATGTAGAATTTCCATGTTGGCTGAAAAGTTGATCCATCTACTGATGAACATCTATGATGTGATGCCATTCCTGTTTTGCTTGGCTGTACCTACTCCTACCTCTTCTCTGAGCTAAAAATTTTCAGCTAGCAGTGGCAGGCTTTACCTTATCTGACTGGGAGCGGATCACTCAGATGACTTGCATTACGTGTTCAGACAGAGGCTCCATCACCTGCATCACGTGCATTTGTATTTGTGGACCAGCATCCTGCCCAACCTTCCCATAAACATCTCAACATCTCAGAATAAAGGAGTTGTTTACCTGTAGATCAAAATCATCAGATTAGAAGTGACTCTTGAAAAATAAATAAATAATTATTGCATATGAGATTTGCTTATTATTATTTAGGATAATGCCCGATTAAAGTAAAATCAGCGGTCGGGGGTGTATCTTCTTTATTGACCTTGTGCAATAAATGTGCTGCTTAGCTCAGTGCAAGAAGCCAACATAACACTACAGTCTGAAATCAGCATTAATGACTCTTCAGAGCATTACCGGTAAAAGACACAAGGGGGCGCGTGCAGCATTAAACCATAGACTATAGAAAAAGCATTAAACCTACAGTGGTTTAAACAGGCTATCATACATGGCTTAAATCTTCACATTTATACCACATTAATTGAAATAAAATAAAGCATATGAACTAATAAATATGACGCATACAAGAAACTGTGGGATTTCTCACAATAATTACGACTGTTCCTGAATAACCATGTAATTGTTCATGCTGTCTTAATTTGTGTAGGGCTACAATGATACAGTTAGCCTACTCTTTCCTCTGTGTTGTTGTCATTAATAAGGAGAATGTCTCAAATCGCTTTGCCTTGTTCATTTGATACACTATTATTAAGTACTGCATACATTCTATGGCCTGACACACTATGTAGGCCACTGTATAGACCCTACACTACAGTGTATCACCATGTACATTTCAGTAAAATACGGAAAATAGTTTTTGACACTACCTTGGTTTCTGGGGAAGAAGTTCAGAAGAGGTACAGGATGAAGGAGCATCAGTGGCGGGAAGACTTCAGTCCAGCCCCGACAGTCTATGGACCAGCCTGGCAGAAGTGGAGAGAGGTATGTGTTGTTCTTCTTCTCAAAATTTCATACAAATTTTATATAATTTGTAAGGTATAATTTAGATTGATAGTAAGAAAACTAAGAATTAAGTCTTAGAGCCTTTTTTAAAAACAAAATTATGAAAGCCATGGGACTGCCGTAATAGCTAGCTTAATTAACGTTATCCTTAATCTTCATTTCCAAACAGCAGCCAGCAGCTCCCGTTTTAGATGAATTGAAAGCACACTTCATTATGAAATACAGGCTGTAGTTTATTTTAATAAGTACAGATTTAATAATAACTAAACGTTCCAGAAAATATGTCTTAACTTATGTGTAAAACTTGTGTTAATTAATTTCAGAATGGCCTTAAGAGCTCTGCTGTGGACGAAGCCCCCTGCGCCATGTTTCAAGCCCCCGCCGCTCCACATACGTGTGGTGGCGGTTGTAGAGCAGCCCAGGGTGGTGAGCTGGGTGTTTGACTCTCCTGGTGCAACACCAGCCTCAACGAAAAGGAACGTGCTGGCCGCTATTTCGGATGGGAAGTCTGTGGCTAAAGTTAACATTTATGAGGAGTTTGCCCATAATGTTAAGGAGGGCGGTAGCTATGTGATTCGTGGGCATACACTGAGGGGGCTGTCTCATCAACCATAACACAATGTTTTTCCGAAGTGCTGTTCTGCCCATTTCAGAGGAGCTAAGGCAGCAGGCCGAGGCTCTAATCAATCCCCCCCCGCTGACCCTGCTCAGCACCTCCATATAAAGTTAAAAGATTATCTTATTTCCAGTGTTCATGTAGAGATAATGGGAGAGGAAGAGAGATTGTATTTTATATCCTACAGGGGGAAACGGAGGAACCTCTGTGTCTGTGGAGGGAAGCAGCGGTGGTGGGAGTCCACCTGCAGCTGGGGACCCACGTCAAGGTGTCTCACCTGAAAGCCACCAAGTCAGGCTTCCAGCTACAGACCACTGTCTTTTCGAAGATTGAGGTAGGCTACCTATTTACACACTTATCTGGCACTGTCCTAAACCATTATACAATCAGAGATTTAAGGGGATAATATGTATGCAATCGGTTACTTTTGATTTAAATTATTTATTAGATTTTTTCACAACCACATTTTAAAAGTGTATCACAAAGCCTGCTGAAATTATTTTGTGATTTTCTACTAGGCCTATGTAAATAAAAGATTTGTTGATTTTATGTGACAATTCGTTCATATAATTAATAATGAAAAGGTCAAACAAATGCCCTTTATATAAACAAATATCTAACAGTAGGTTGCCTGATTTTTACTTTCTCTCAACAGGAGGTGAGCTAAGTATGTGGACACCCCTGGCTGTTCTTGAAATCATTTCCCCCAACCCAACGCGCCATCTAGCACCTTTATGAACTAGAGTGATGACTGCTAGCCAGGTCTTATAATTGGGAACAAATCCCTGCAGCCAGGTTCCTTGGTCTGGCGGTGGGCCTGAAACCAGAACAGGGGAGGGCGTAAGCAGCGGATTAAATCCCATGGTTTTGTTATTAGATGTTCAGATATCACATGTAATGTTTGGGTGCCCATATACTTTGGGACATGTAGTGTAACATGAGCTAGAACTATGTAGAAGAATTGGTCACTGGAGTTCATGGAAATTAACAATAAAGACATAAAGACACATATGTGGCATCATCCAGTAATGATTGGAAAACATGTCTGTACTTATAAAGAGCTAGAAATAAAGTTTAAGACTCAACACTTTGTTCATTATGACCAAAGATCTAAGGCTTTCTCTATAGGCCCATTTATCTCAAATATGGTTCACAAATCTGTTGCGATGTTCATAATAGAAATGATGTGTCTGTAGAACAAGGGAGTAGCATCCTTAAAGATTTCTAATCCGAAGAAATCAATTTGCAGCTGAGTTTTTCTGATGTAATGTAATCTAGGTAAGTCCAGGTAGCTGCACAGAGAAGAGAAGGGGGGCGTGTTGCTTACAGTGCGCATCTCGTGTCCAAGGCGCCCGTGTCAATACGTGCAACTCCCGGACGACACATCATGACAAAAGTCACAGACTGCGACAGAGACTGAGACACATAGAGCCACAAACATGGTGGGTAGTCAGAACGTGTCCATTGGGAAGCTGGCTGCTATTATCGGGCTGGGAGTGGGTGTAATGCTTATCATACTGGGCAGAGACCCTCTGGACTCCATGGCCAACGGGTGCACGATATGGAGAGAAACCGGGCTGCTCGGTGTTCCCGCGCCGGCTGTGGTCTGCATCATTGCCGGATTCTCCCTCCTCGTCATGGACTGGCTGTACAAGCTGCTCTTCTGCCCTCTGGAGCTCCTTAGGGCGTCCGATGATGTGGGATACATCGCCGAGGACGGTCGCTCCAGAGCTCAGGCGGCAAACGAGGTCCGCCGCAGGAGGAAAACCGGAGAGCTGCCTCCGGTGTATCCAAACGGCTGGTACCGGGTGCTGGACTCAAGCGTGCTGGAGAAGGGCGCGGTCAAAAATGTCTATGTTCTAGGTATGATAAGTCAAATAAGTAGTGGTTGTTGCATTATCACTACTTAAAACGGAACAACTTCAGTAACCTTTAGTACATTAACCTGTATTGTTACGTGATAACGTTTTAACGTGTAAGTTAAAGCAAACATGGCCACCAGTGCGAAACCATCATAAATAAGACACTAAAGAAGCAATATTAAGTTATATCAAGTATATAAGTTGTCATATTAGCCTACAATTCATATTTGTCAGGTCCCCCAAAAGGCAATATTTTCCCCAAACAGTGTGTAAACTGAGAGAAATAAATTCAGATGCCTCAGTAGATAGCTTCTACAAGTATAGGCCTAATGTCTGCTCAGCTCAGCAGCGGGACAGGCTGTGAAGATGCCAACACTACACCCATTTACATGAACAGCAGGCATCAGTGTAGCTCTGATGTCATATTCAACACCCCTAAACTAGATGTGACATGCAGATAAGGTGAGGTTAGTGAACCACCACGTTTGGGATAAAACCATTTGCTGCATCTCAATTAGAGATGACCCTAACCCTAAGCCTGTTTCTCTATTTTATATGAAATCTTAGACCCTTCTCTGTGTTGTAGGAAGGTGTTGGTTTTTGCTATGTTTTTAAGATGGTTGTAGAAATATGCCAGATTATCTTAAATTTGAATGAATTATTCAGTACCTTCATTGTAGGAGGTGTAATTGTTTATACAGATTATTATTATTTGAAATTGTTTTAAAGATTCAGTTCTTCAGGTTTTAATTCCACTGCTGGCCTTTTTTATAACTGACATTTTGTCAGTTCACCTGGTCTCTGTTTTCCTCTCAGGTTGGGGTGTAGTGAGGCCAAGTTGCCAGGATAGGAGATACCAGCTCATATTACATAGTTTTTTGGTATTTAAAGTATACACACGAAACACAATGGCCTACTGTCTTTGTTAGAGTAGTTTAGGGATTAGGATGCTTATGCTTTCTTTTCAAACAAAGCCTATTCAAAGTCAATCAAGCTTTAAACTACTTGTTTGATTTAAAGGTGTCATGGAGAGTAAATCATATATATATATATATATATATATATATATATATATATATATATATAAAACATGCGTGTGTTTGTACATATATGTGTATATATAAAATAAATTATAATTACAAATAATCTGGTGAAATTATCATTTTCCAGAGCGTGGGACACTTGTTCATGTACATCAGGTTTTATCATGAATATCTGTAGATGATATCGTTGTCATTCAAACATTATCTAACTCCATTTATCTTGAAATCTTTAAATGCTTGATATGTACCAGTTCTGTTACAGGGTTTGCATTATTTCACACAGTGATGTGTGATTTATTTCGACATGATTTAAAACAGATACTTGTCACACATTTTAGATTGGTTATTCTCATGTTGATATGCGGTGGGACTGTTTGATCCCTTTGGAGAGTTTCTTTGAGTTTGAGTTTAAAAAGGTTTCAAAGAGCGTGTGGCACTTTCATGTTTCTGTCACATCACCTGCCATAAATAAATTATATCAAAGGTTTTATACCTGAAAAAGATATCCACCAGTACAAAGAGACACCTGCTCTTGCAGAGTGATTCAGCATCAAGTATAGCTAAAACTCATGATGATTTTGTATCACCAATTAATCCATCCACTTTTCTTCAATTAAATGATTCATCATTTAATCTATAAAATATTTTAACAAGTGTGTGACCAAAAGTCCTATGCTATGCTTTCACCAGCATAGCATGTCATTAAAGCTCCTTCACCGTGTAATAATCAGTAGATATGACAGAATTATTTTTCGAACATATTCCTTTGGTCTCTTTTCCCCTAACTCTCATCCCCTTCAGCACAAGTTCTCCCTCCAGCCCTCGACATTCACTGGCTGTCCCATATTCTGAACCAAATCTAAACTTGGCCTCCTTTAGGATCAGCATCCTGCTGTGAGTGACTGCAGTGTCTCTTCCTAACTTTCGCCTGCAGTCATCCATTTACAATGTATATTAAATTCTGCCTAGTGTGTCTTTTCCCCTGTGCTGTTCTCACATCAGTCAGCGGTGTGGTGCTGTGTCACCCCACAGCCTTATTTTGGATTTCTCAGAATTTTACTGAGGACTACCGTGACTAGGCACTGCAGGAGCTTGGTCGGCAGTTACTCTTAATTGCAGTCACCTAGCCTGTGCTAATCTGGGAGCAAACTGAACACTGCAGGTCACGCAAATGTCAAGCCAGATACAGTTGATTAAGTAGGTAGAGATCTCCACAGGAGGTGTCTGAGGGGGAACAGATTCAGTCTGAACATGCACCGTACAAAGTGGTTCCCAAGACCCACTGGAGCATAGTTGTAATCTATCCCTGGAACCTAATCCAGACCAGGCCAAGTGTAACCATCTAAAGCAGTGACTTGCTGACTGCTTGTACAGTTACAGAGGCCTATATCTGTTTAAAGCCACTATGTGTAGAATTATGATTTTGCTGCACCCAGTGGTACTAAAAAAGACACTGTCGTAAACAGCAATGCACGCTGACAGCCCTACACACATAGACTGCACCAGTTTTTATAGTAATTGTCATAATCAGTAAAAGCCATTAGAATATGATGTTAAAATCACATAAAATCTAAATGTTTTTTTAATTGCCACCAAGACACACTCCAGAATAAGTGAAATGTTGCACAGCGCTAAAACTTCAATCTGTGGCAAGAATTGAGAATTTGGCTGTTTCTCCATTTCTTTCAAAATGTTTCAAAATGTTTTTGGTAATACATCACCATTCTTTTCCAGGTGAGCAGCTGGCAGTGTTTCGAGGCCAGGATGGGAAGGCTTACGTGTTGGATGCCTACTGTCCACACCTGGGTGCCAACCTGGCTGTAGGAGGACGGGTGGTGGGAAGCTGCATAGAGTGCCCATTTCATGGATGGCAGTTTCAGGGGAACGATGGCAAGTGTGTGAGGGTCCCATATGCAGAAAAAGGTACGAACTGAAGGTGGTGTCCAGTTATTCTACAGAAAGTGAAGCTACTGTTTCTAATGAACATGATACATATATATAATAAGATATAATAAACAAGACTTGCTAGTGGCCAGTGACCCCCAGAAGCTGTAACATTCATTCCATTCCATGTATGAAACCTTTGAATGGAACAAAACAAGATCTTGATATTTATGTTGTTCTTAGAGCCTTGTCAGTAAAATGCAAAGAATGTCCTGAGGGTGGTGCTACAAGGACATCGTGTGACAGATGTCTAATGTTTACATTTCAGCATGAGCGTTGTCGCACAAAATATATATTATAACAAGATATTAATTTTTTTGGGTGAATGTGAAAGTGAAATGAAAAAAATGAAAGTGAAAACATTGGGCCAATGGTGGTACAAAGTTGACAGTTTGGCCAGAGGGTGGCACCAAAGGGAAGCTGATGTGAGTGCCCCGAACGGAAATGTTTCAACATCTGGGGAGCATGAATATGTTTAGTTAATAACTTGACTTTAGATTGTGGTGTGGTGTCATTTTCTATGGCGTTTAAGCTTCATTAGCTAAAGATGTCGGACCTTGTTGGTCCTATGTTAAGAGCAGTGAAGCTGAATGTCTACTGAACAGTGGATTGTTAAAGTAAAATGTCACCCATTTCCCTGTGTACATGTTGACTTAAAGAAAGACTGTATAATCCATAAATGTGTTTCATTTGTCATTCAGTACCACTGTTTGCCAAGGTGCGCTGCTGGCCCAGCTGCGAGGTCAACAGGCAGATCCTGATTTGGTTTCACTGTGATGGAGAGGATCCTCAGTGGACCGTTCCAGAGCAGCAGGAAATCACAAAGGGCGAGTGGGTCTATCGTGGGAGAACTGAACATTTTATCAGCGCTCACATAGAGGTAGGTACATATGTGTGTGTGGATTGTTTGAAGATGAAAACCAATTTGTTAGGTGTTTTACTTTGTCAGGTGAGATTTTAATAAACAATATAAAGAAACATTCTCCTTCACTGTGACTGCCCAGAGATCAGTGTGGGGATATTTGCATTAGTACTTCAGCATCGAACTCCCCAGACAGGCAAGGTGCTTTTGTGACCAAACTTCCCAGCACAATCACAAGAATGTGTCATGGTGACCTCTATAATCTCTACAGGAAATTCCTGAAAATGCTGCAGATATCGCTCACCTCGCTCACCTGCACACGCCGGGCATTGTCAGTGGAGTAGATCTGCGTTACACCAACAGCAAAACCTGGGAATTTTTGCGGCATGACTGGAAGGTAAGGATTTTTATAAACTTAGAGATGCCAAATATGAAGATGCTTTTACAATCCTCCAAGTTTAAAGGATGTCAAATCAGTGCTAAATTTGCAAAAGCAATATAACACATTTTTAACATCCACCACCTTAGTCAAGAATGAAATATATATCTGAACCTGTTAAAATTTCACTTTTAAGCAAAGAACACTGTTAGACATATGGTACAGCTTTTTATTTAATCCTAAAACGTAATTTTCAGATGTTACTATGGACAATAATTAAACAGTGAACAATTAGTTTACGGAAATTATTGATTTTAGATGTTACAGAATATATTTATTTTGGGAGGGTGATGTATTTCTGTATCTGAATGCCACTGTGTACATTGTGTGTGTGTGTGTTTTATTCAAGGTTCAATGGGAACCAGAGTCAGAGCCCAACAAGCATTGTTCTCAGATGCACGTGAAACATGCGCTCACTGTGTTTGGACGTCACTGGCCTCTGCTGGATGTTCATGTCGTGGCCAGACAGGTACAGTAAAGTTCAAAGTGGGAATGTACATGATTTCCTGTGATTTATTTGCAAATCATATTGACAGCATAATCAATAATTCCAATAAAATTAACATGGATGTTGGCCTGATGCAAAAAAACACCCCATTCTTTAGTTGTGCCTGGAACATTGGCAACCACTGTGCTTTTTAACTCTCCTGGTGAATTATTTATGATGAATAAGTGCTCCCTGTTCTACTAATCTCGCTTGTTTAACCACAAATGTTGAGGGCAGAGATATGGTTACTCTAATGCAGACAGGAGTGGGCGGTCTGCAGCATTATTGTGGGATGAAAATGAAACCTAAAATAGGAGAGGTGACCATTGTTGGACTTAACCATGTATGTAAATGCATTGTTCTCTAATAAATAATTGGCATTCAGGTCTGATCAACACACAGTTGCTTTCTAACCATTACCGTATCTCTATGTATTTTCATTCAGAGTATTTCAATATAAGAACGTACAGGTTGCAGTTACATTTGTTTATGTTTCAGGTGGGTCCAGGACTGGTGTTTCTGCTGTTTGAACACAGTTTCTTGGGCCGGGGTGTTATCATGCACTGTGTGACTCCAGTGGAGCCTCTGTTGCAGTGTGTCTCTCACACCATCTTCTATCAGTCTAACATCCCACCTCTGGTGCCCAAATTCATCCTGAGAGCAGAGTGCATTCAGGTGCAGTACACACATCCCTTCTCCTATCACTTTGACACAGTCCTTCATTGTCAGATCAGTTTTTACTGTGTTTGCACTGAGCACTGTGTTTGCACTGAGCTCCACTAATCAGTCTTTTTATAGTAACAATGCGTCAAATGTCTTCATGTGATGCGAAATGATTCGCTCGCAGAATTATCACCAATTCTGCATTACATGTACTGTATGGTTCATTCTCGGCACTTAAATCAACTTGGTGTTTTGGGACTATACATCCACACTGACAAAGTAATAGTAGTTCAAAGTAGTTAGTAGTAAGTTTATAATTCTGAATTGCTCTAATGTCACGAGATCACTGTGCCTCCCACTCTCCCCTTTCGTGTAATTCTGCCTCCTCATTGCCACCAGAAGTAACACCACACAGTCACAGAAAAGGTGTAAATAGTCCTCATTAAACTTGATAATTAACTGTGTGGCGAAGTCATTGATTTAACAAAAAGGAAAACTATGTTGGCTGAACAAACAAGTGGAAAATGATTTTTCTGAATGGTAATGGCGGCTGTCCCCACTAAAACTGGATAAAAAGTTGTCCAAAATATGTTTATCAGTTAGATTTACAGAGACGACAGATGAACAATGTTCTTTTGATTTGACAGTGTGCTGAAGCACTCTTGAATTTTAGAATTTAATCCACCAAGGTCTTCTCTGGATGTGTAGTCATTGGGCTTTTTGGCCTTCAGAAGGAATCTTTCTTTTGGCTTTGCTGCCGAGGTGTTATGTAATGTGTCCCCTTAAAAAGTCTTATCTGTATCAGTGCATGCTTGTGTTTTGAGTTGGACTGGGTTTGAGAACTATAAACACGATCTTCTAAGCCAAATTTCTCAGATGTTAAATGCTGTTGAAAACAAACAGCCTTACAAGAAACTTACCTAAATGTAATAGTTTAAAACCAGCTAAATGTTCAGGTTTTTTATGCAAACCTTTGGTACTTGATAATCTGATCTCCAGAAACATTAAGGTGTGTACCAAAAAAAAAAGTTTGTTTGATATCCAGCATCCTTCATTTTCTGCAATCCATCTGAAATGTTTTGGAAGTTCAGTAAAAGAATGATTTAAAATTTTGTGCCATTTTGTTTCCCCGTGTGGTTTTAACACAAAGAACCACTAGAGGAAACTCACTCTCAGAGGACAGTTTGAGTTTGAGGGTGGACTAAAATGCCAAATCTCAGCGGCTGATGGAGTAACTGTGGAGTGACATTTAATTATCAACACTCACAGAAATCCCTGCTGATAAATTATGATAATGTAATGCAACGAGACAGTAAATACAGATTGTACATTATTATTAGTCCTTTTGTGTGAAAGTCTGGCCCTTTTCAAATCTTCTGCAATCTGCCTGATTGTAAGACAAACCTATATTACATTATATTTGTTAACATTAATTGATAGCTCAATGTTTGTCTTTGTCACAGCTTTTGGAAATCATCAAGTCTCTTCCAGTGACCATCTCCTGTTTTCCTTTTTGTGTCTAGTTTGAGCGGGATGTGATGATCTGGAACAATAAGAAGTACATCTCCAAGCCTCTCCTCGTGAAGGAAGATTCAGCCATCCAGAAGCACAGGCGCTGGTTCAGTCAGTTCTACAGCGAGAACAGCCCGCGGCTGCAATACCAGCGCAACACTTTAGACTTTTGACCTCCCCGAACTACAGGAGGAGAGATCAGCAGAGAAGGTGTCAGGTCAGGGTTGACGTTAATCAGAGCTCTCAGAGGAGGAAGCAAGAATTGATTTTTACCTGTCACATATAATAAATTCAAAGAGGAAAGCAGGCCTCACTTATTTGTGGGTTGGGGCTGGGCGCTCTTTTGAAATCCTCGACCTTGTGTCAAACTTTATAACCTGTTTTTTTTAGACTTATTTAAGACTTTCCAGCTTTATATTCGCAAGTGCCTATCTGTCACGTAGGCAGGTTGGACTGGTATAACTAACTGAGCGGATTAAGCCCAGAAATGAGAACTGTGCTTATATTTAAAGCAAGCAATACTAGAACACTAAAATTGCCTCATTATAACGCTGACCATTAGATTGTCAAAGCCATTTTATTACTCTGCAAAATGTGAATAACTGCATATACAGTGATACATACAGTATATAACCAGCAATAATCTTGTACTTAATTGACTGTTTCAGCTTTTTTTCCCTGTCTTCATGTTGTCTCACAATGCTCTGATTTTGCTTCTTTCTCACTTTGGCGTCATCTGTTTAAAAAACTATTAATCTGACCTTCCAAGCTGTATGTTGAAATCTTTAATGTGTAATCAAAATGGGCAATGCCTCAGCAGAAGGTATAATGACATGTGTGTTTGTTTTCAGATGATATCTCAGGTTATCCAACAGTCAGCTGATAGGGATTTTCTAGTCACAGAACTGTGCAAGGGACCACTTCATCAGTTGTTTTGGGCTTATCTTGCTGAATTTTGTCTGGGATTGACATGACTTCTAGTAATCACATGTCCACAACCAAATTCCTCTGAAAAATTGTAACTTGAAACCAGGAAAACTTAAATTTGACTTTGTACGAAGCAGCATGGATGGATAAACTGCTGTTTTTGTGAAGAAATAGTTATAGCATGCAACTCCTCCTACAAAATACAACATGGTCACGAGTAAGTTACTCTAGCTCTTTATGCTAGGCTAACCATATCCTGATTTATATTTTGGCCAACTAACAAAAATAAGTTATTAATTATTATCACCATTTAACCTTAACACTGCTTTAACACACTGGCAGGATTTCAATCTTCTGATCTCACTCTTACAAAGAAAGGCAAATAATATTTCCCTAAATGTTTAACTTAAGTCCTGTAACAAGCATAGTTGTGCATACTGTCATATATGTCAGCTATATAGATGATCCTTTGATTATGACATGACAGGATCTATGTCCTGAAATTACTACACACAAGAAAATAATTTAGCCAAATTAAACAGCATTAAAAGCAAATATCTTTCCCCTTCATTTTAACCAAACAAGACACAGACTGAAATAAAGCATGTGCTTTTTGTATATTGTACATCTATAGCAATATTTTAACTCCACCCCCACCCTCCTGGGATTCATGTCATTATGCACATTTTACACAGTTTGTTTGTTTTGTAGGGTTACATTACATTTCATAGTTTGCAGCCTGTCTGAACCAGATTGGTTATTTGCTGTTATTGTATTTCTTTTGTTTTGTTATGCAAGACTACACACTGAAAACATTTAAAGTGTTGCTCTTGACACGGACACGTGTCACAAAGTTGTGTTCCCATTACTGCTCCAGCAGATGTGCACGTAAGAAATGCAGATTAAAGGTTCTATATGTAGTTTTTGAAAGAAATGACTCACTTTGTTATTGCCTGTTTGTAAACGGGTTGTAACCTTTCTTGGTACCGGTATTATGTCAAAGTGTTGATTTTAGCCTGTAAGAAATGACATACACATTCAAATGATAGAAGTACAAAGCAAATGTGAAGTGATAGTGATGCAAAGCAGGGGCAGCCAGCTACATAAGCATGGATCTGGCGTTGTTTGCTCCATAACGTTAAATTTTTATTTATAAAATATCACTAACATTGCAGTGGGAGTTTACCTACGTTTCCAGCATTCTGTGTGATCCGGTGTGTCAGTCTCCTTTTTTTTTGGCTCGCTTATTAGTTTAAGCACGCGCAGCCCCTCGGAAACGTAGTGTTTGCAAATTTGAAACCTCACTCGCTAGAGGCCACTGAAAACCACACACGACCCTTTAAATATTTATTTTTGTTTATTTACTCACAGTGCACTTTGACGACTTGTTACTGACATAATCACTGATGACAACAATGCTGTGGCTTTAATAAATGCTACTGTGCCTGCTTGGAAATGTACCAAAAGTATGAAAGCAATCATTTTTTGTTGCCTGTGGTGATGGCACTGGTTATGTGGGATTGCTTGGCATTACATTCTCCATTGGATTGTCAGATGGTGAAAAGCAAAGATACATTTCAAAGCAAAAAGTACAATATTATGAACTCTCTTCTGTTCCTTTTCAATATTAAAATGCATTTTCCCAGCTGGCTAATCTACAGATGTAATGTTTATTTAAATGTGCAGAATACATCTGTCTGCTCGGCTCTAATGTGTTTGCTCATGCATTTCTGAACTGGCAAAAGCTTCCCGTTGCACTGAATACCTTAGTGTGTTAAACTGAGCGGAATAGTGAAATGCTCACTGTGCTGCTCAGCCAGTGGCACTTCTTAGTTCTCCTTATCTGTGAATGTGCTTATCTTATCTGGGTTTATGGTGGGAGAGGACTGTGCTGCCTTTGTTATATTATATTAAGCTTTGTCCAGGAAGAGAGTAGACTTGCTGTAATAAGGAAAGATATTGAGCTTGTGTTAGGGCTGTGTTTAATGTATCCAGCCGTCAGGAAGAGAAAAGAAAGAATAAAGTATTTTTTTCATGAAGGATGGCTGAGGTTGAAGTTATTGAAACTGAGGAGGAAGGCATTGTTGCACTCGAAGAAAAGTACCTGCCAGCTACAGAAGAGACTTACATCAGAGTTTTATACACGACGAGGGGAGCAGAGAAGCATGGAGATGAGAGCGACTCAGTCATACAGCCTCTGCTTCAGCAAAAACATCAGGACAGCTGTGATGAGAATCACAAAGCAGACACGCAAACAGCGACAGATGGGGCTGACCGAAAGACATCTGTTCCACAAGAGCTGGAATTGGGTGGCAGGGATCAGCCCGGCTGCAGTGGAAGTGTCAGGAGTTTGTGCAGCGACAGCAGTCAGCACGAGTGCCCCATCTGCGGTGAGCTGTTCGACTCACATGGAGATCACCGCATCGCCTTACTCAACTGCAACCACACGCTGTGCCACCACTGTATAGCTGGCATCATGAGGCGGGCCAAGGACCCGGGCCGCCTGCAATGCCCCTTCTGTCGACAGACCACCCCGTACCCGCAGTGGGAGATCAGAAGGCTGCAGGAGGAGTCGTACAGTAATAGTGTTTATGAGCCTGGGCCGGCCCTTGTTGTCAGTCCTGGCCCCGAACCTCAGGCCGTTCCAGCATCACCGTTGTGCTGCTTTGCTCTGGAGAGACAGCTGCAGGCGCACACACCCAGAAACATATGTGGATGCTGCGTCCACCCATCCTGCCTTGTCAGAGGACTGAGACTGATGCGACTTCACTCCCTCTGTTTCTCCATCATTGCCCTCCTGCTGCTCTTCCTGGCGCTGCTGGGCTGCTTCCTGTACATGGTTGTCCCTGTTATAATGGTGAAATACAGACAGGGAACATACAGTAAAGCACTGAGGAATATTTCAAGTTTTTCCTCCAACAGTTACTCCGCAATGTCAAATAACGTTGGTACGACCATTGTTTTTTAATCTAATTTATTATCTTTCATTTCACTATACCTAATTATTCCACACTCACCTTTGGACTCGGTAAAGCAGTCTGTAGATATTATTATTGGAAAAGGTCCAATTTAGAGTTGGAAAAAGCTAAATTGATCATTTGCCTGTGTGCATGAAGAATATACAGTATATACAATAAAAAAAAGTAGTTCAGCACCATTTAGTTCATCGTACAACATTTATAAAATATTTCTAAAACTGAAAGAATCCAGTCTCTCATCAGTTTGACAACCACTGACTTTTGTTTCTAGGATTGGGTGCCACAGCTAAACAGAGTTTTGACTCTAGATCAAAAGTCTTCATATCTTTCTGGGTCTCGTATTGACCTATTTCTCATCAGAACAGCTCAGATGCTCTCTGCTGTTACTGCTGCATATTCTTAGCAGCGAAAACCCAGCGTGATCTCCTTTCATAGTGCACAGAGGCATGGCCCTACAAATGAATCCTTTATATCCATGCTATGCGTTGAACGAGAGAAGGAGAGAGAGCAATGATGAAAGCTGGAAGTGAAGCTCCCATTTGTTTCTTCCTTTTTTCGTTTTGTTGTTGATGGACGTTTAAGTTTGTTACCATGTATCTGTGCTACTAAATAGCTATAAATAAATACTCATATACATAAAGTAATTTTTTTTTTCAAATTAATTTAGTGGGAAACTAAGCGTTAAAGCCTTGGGGGTCTAAGACACAGAGATAGTTTGTGTCACCCCCTCACCCCCAAAGAATTATCTGTATTCAACCCTTCTTTTTATTATTAAACCAAAATGGTCAAAGGCAAAGATGACTAAAATTATATTTTAAAAACAATTTTAGATTTATCTTTAAATTTGCACTCATCTATATTGTTTATATTAACAATGGGTTAATGATTATGTGTAATGTGAAAGGGATGACTCATGGTAACAAACCCAAAGCAAATGAAGACTGTCTCCCAACTCTGCGGAGGCTTTTAGTCTATTTTGGATCTTTGCTTTGATCTTCCATCAACTTTGCAAATCTGCTCTCATCAACCCTGTTTCCAGTAGCAACAGGCCTTTGCTAAACCCCCTGTACACTACCTGCCCAGCACCAAATGGCAGACCAAGTTAGCGACCAGCTGTTCAAGATAATTCAACATCTGGCTGGCGGACAGAATTTAATAAAATTTTGCTCTGTGTAACTTGACAATTTACCAGTATGTTAAATTGCATGCCCCGCTGCCCCCAAAAATAAATGAATAAATGATTTCATGAAGCTTTAAGAAATAAGTCCTAATATGAGGAAAATAACCGCAGAAAAGGATGGAATATGTTTCAAAATATTTATAATGAACATAATAATGAACAAAGTGATATCTAATGGTGCAAAATCTAATAATAATAATTATCTGTATACAAGAGGCAGGATTGTTTTGATGAAGTTTTCAAGACTTTAGGTTTCCAGTAGCAGTGGTTGATTTGCTGTAAAGTTTAAAGCCAATGATGTAACAGCCAATCCACATTTTCAAAAGCATAAAAAATACAGTACTCATATTACTTATAGAAAATGCACATAAATTGTGCTTTGAGCACACTGATGTAGAGCCATAATGACACCTTATTCTCTCTCAACAAGAATATTATGTAATAATATCAAAAAACAGGTCTAAGGCACTCAACGGATCACAGGCTGTAAAAACCAAATGTGTTTTATTTACATCAAGTATTGTATCACTTTGAATATGAACAGGATCATAGTGGTGTCTTTAAATCCTCTGTAATAACATGTGCGATTGTTTTCTGGTGGAAAATTCCTGAAACGTGAAGTTGGAACTGACAGGCCTCTCTAATGTAAACTAAAAATTGATCCATATTGATCAGGCCTGTAGCCCCCACAAGGCTTGCAGCATGTTAAATCTAAAATCCGGAAGAGTCTTTGTGTTCTCTACAGCATAAATACTTCAGCTCACCCCTGGGACAAGCAAACAAGCGAGCACCGAGGGTGCTCACACATCTATAATTTATGCAAGGACTTCACACTACATGAAAAACACATCAGATAGGCAGGCATCCATCTGCAGATGACTCATTGAGGCAATCCACCTCCAAGACTTTATCAACTCTGTTGATGTCAAAGCTCTAGAAGAGTATAACCTGTTTTTTGCTTCCTGCTTCGATCAGATAATGTGGGCTCCATGGCAGAGGCGTCCAACAACCATGGACACCAGCTCCATGCTCCAAGCCGCTCCATGCCTTTAAGTGATGCTCACAAATCATTTATATTAGCCTACCATTCAACATGGACGCATTCAAGTCAGACCAAATGTGTCAGACCAAATGTGTTCTGATGCAAAGAGCAACATAGTTTGTAGACAAACACGCTGCTGTCATGCTAAGAGCTTAAGCATGTCTGAGTTCAAGTGTGACAATCTCTGTTCTTCCCTCCCTCCTTCTCCCACTTTGTGTTTCATACATGTTTTTTTAATTAAACACTTTTAACCAAGTAATAAAAACATGAAATGAAGTAACTTTGTCTGTTTTGGCTTTGTTTTTGACCACCTTTAAGAACATTTTGATTTGGTATTATGCTTTTTGCCTTTTTCCCGCTCCTTTATTGAGTTATATATCTTTTTTGTGCATGAACTGCCTGAAAACAGCTCATTTGTAGTCCAGCCTTTTCGTCCGCTATATGCCGACGTAACAAAAAACACGCAATATTCATATTATGCTCATTTTCAAGTTCATAAATTTATTTAGGGGTTGTACCAGAACAGGTTTACATGGTTTAATTTTCAAAAAACACATATTTTTGTCATACTGCACATTGCTGCAGCTCCTCTTGTCACCCTGAGTGTTGAACGCTCCGTTTTAGCTAAGGAGTGAGGTATCTCACCTAAAGATCTTTGTTGGGACTTGCACTGCAGTTCCTAGTTGAGGACTACTAGCCAATCAGAAGCTTAAGTCAGCAATTTTATGCATGATGATCGGCTAACCCTTCAGCTGTGCACATTGGCTGTTAAAGAGAGTTACAAAGCTTATTTTATTTTTTTATTTTTTTTTTTACATAATTTCTGATGTTAAAGCACAAAATAAATTTGTAGCTAATTATGTAAAACACTTTGAAACAAACTGCCTCTGTGTATATAAATTGTCCTATTTAAATAAATTGCCTTTGTCTTGCCATGGCTAAAAATAAAAAAAATTCCAACCAAATATACATCATGATGGTGTTAAGTAAAGTAATGAGAAACTGTTAATATTAGGTAGGTATTAACCTAAACATCCCTAGTTATAAAACACACACACATTTTACACACACAAACCTCTCTCTTCTAGCCTTGAAGAGGACTGTGTGGGTGGTGCATGAGTCTGTATCACTTCAGTGCGTGCGGACAACTCAAAGTGTGAACTTACTAGTGTGTGAGCGTGTGTGAGGATTAGCGTGCATGTGTGTGCGCTTTAGTTTAAAAGCCTCCAATGATCTTCGTGTGCTGGGCTGCTTGCACTTATTTTTGTGTTAGTCTCACTGAGCTGGAGAGTCTTCATAGGACTCTTGTGTTGTGTTCCTCCAGCAGCAGACAAGCAAACGCATTATATAATGGCTGCAGAACAGATTGGTCCAGCTCTGTTGAAGTGTGAGTGGGCTGGAAGAGAGGCAGAGGAGGGCTTCATAACCACATTTAATAAGAGGACACCAGAGCCATCCAATAAGTGATGAGTTTACAAGCTGAGTGTGGCAGTCACGCCAAGGCTGGGAGGGAAATTAGGTGCTCTGTTCAACACCATTATTTTTTCAGTTATTTTCAGTGGTTTGATGATGGCAGGGACTTGTCTCCTCCTGCCTATGTGGCTGTGTGTTTGTGTGTGGCACTGTGCATCAAACTTCTGGAACCAACCAGCCTCTCTTTTTCTCTAAAATGTATTCTAACTGTTGTGTCATAGATGCTTTGAACCTTTTATATTGTTGTGTTTCCTTTAGGGGTGTTTTTGTTCTCTGTTTCAATTCTTTTTTTCTTTTATTTGTTAATTTTGAGTGTTGGGTTAGTAACGACGGCAAAAACTGTTGTTTTTAATGTTGTTTTCATGTTTTGTCACTGTCCAGTATAAATCATAGACTTCCATATTTGTTCAGTCAGGCGGTGGATTCAATTCTCCTTCATGGTTTGAAAAAATGTTCCTACATTTTGGGCTAAAAACTCCCCTAATTTTTATGAAAAGACATGTTCACGGAGCTTTGAACAACAGATACATTCACACGACATCAATGGATTGTAAACACTGTGAGCAAACTGTGACGGCCCCTCTGCAGGGTTCATACAGCTGTTGGTGTGCTTTCTGTCTCCAGGGCTGCAGGCCTCATTGGCAGGGTAATCAGCGGCATGGGACACACCTGGGCCCGGTGTGCCCCATGTATATAAACCAGAGCAGCAGTTAGTCTTGGGTTGGACCTCCTCATCTCACGGCTTCCTTTGTTTGTTTGGTTTCTTGTCTTCGTTTTTACAGCACAACATCCATGCAGCACATTTTCACTCATCCACTCCCTACGCTACTGACTTTACAGATTCTTCCTACTCATTGGTTTTCGCTTATTTTCTTATTAATAAATTACTTTGTTTAGTCTACCCGTGTGTCTCCCGTTTTGTCCAGTCCATGAGCCGGGCTGTGTGAGATGGGGTTGAAAGCTCTGGAAAGTATCAACTTTAAGGCTTAATTTCTTTCTTTTCCACAATGGATGTGGAACTAAAGTCAAGTAAACCGAATTGAATTGAAAATAGAAATACTGTGTTCAGATATGTTGAAATGAGTTCACAGTGCTGCTTTGTGTGGCCAATAAAGCAGAGGTAGGCTGCAACCATTTGCCAGAGCCCCTTCACTTAGCCTCTGGTTTGGTGTTCTTCCTGGTGTGAATTCTTTTAAAATACCTAGGTTTACTAAATAATCAAGTGTGTTAAAAGTAAGAGCCATCTACCCATAGCCTAAACCATATAGACTGTTTAGTATGCCCACCCAGTGCACAGAAATTACACCTTCCTTGTCTAAAAGTTATGAAAAGAAAAAAAAAAGACTTACCAAATCATATTTGAGAGGAGCTCATTTTGGAAGCCCACAGCCAGCAGCTGATGAATGCTGGTTTCCTCAGCCTTGTGATTAATTTATTAGCTCACTGCAACACAGACAGACGCCACAGTGTTGTGTGATTTATAATTCAGAACACTGTTGGGGGATTTTATACTGGCCTCATTTTCAAAACACCTTTTTCAATTGCAGCAATCCTTCATATCAATACCAGGAACAAACGCGCTACACAAATCCCCTTGGGGCAAAAATATTTATATAGCCTAATTGACTATTAATAATTAAAGTGAACCTATAAACGGCTGTTTGACACACACGAGTCTCCCTGACTAAATGTCTTTTTTATCTTTTCATTGTTTTACGTGCTTGTCCGTTTTGTTGGAGTGATTTCTTTCGACGTGTCCTGCTGTGAGGAATAAAACGCACTGTCGGCTTGCCAGAGATTATTTCCTCCGTACAAAGATCCTCTTTGTGTGCACGTGTGTGTTGTCAAAATCTTGTTTCCTTGGTAACCAGGAGGTTGATTCTGTTCATGTTTCTAGCTGCAGGGATGCTCCCAACACTTAGGCTACTTAGACACTCCCAAAGCGCCGGGTCAGAGCTTATACAACATCCACACCACAGTCTGGTTTTACTCCTCAGGTCCGCACACACACACACACACACACACACACACACGCATGATTAAAGACAGGCCAGTCTGCTCAAATGTAAAGGCTGCAAAGACTGGTGGCACTGACGGGCAGCGTGATTAATGAGCTGTAGGCTACAAGGAGGTCGGTGGACTTTGCGCAGAGAACTACACCACAAATCAGACTATCCTTTTGGTTTGGAGGAAGACAACTCATCGCATCAAAACCGGCGTGTCCATGGCTCAACTCTGACCTGAAACCCGCTGGATTGGAATTAACACTCCTCCCTCATCTCTAAATAGCTTGTGCAATCATGCGATCTGAGGGGGAAATGTCACAACCGTCTGGTTCTCATTACAAATCACATTAACAAAGCCCACATATTAATCTGAATTAATTTAGCAGGATATGCCCTGCGGGTAGTGTACCCCTACGCAACCTAACACTGCATGTGCGCTGCCCTCACTGATCTTGCCTTACATGTCCCACATGACTAATATGTTGATCGAGCGTATTTTGAGCAAGTAAGCACATTTATTTTTCATATGACTAGCCTCTGCTTCAGCGTCAGCAGGCGTAGCAGCAGCAGCAGCAGCACGCCAACGCGCAAATCCCGGAGTATAGGGAGCCGATACGGCGGGAGCGCGCAGTAGCACCGCGGCGCGCATGCACAGCTGTCAGCACCAAGGACAGCAGCCGCTCAGCCCGGAGCCACCAGCCAGCGACGCGTCGGTGTGATCAGTCCGCACAGAGCGCACGGAGTAGCGGCTGGAGGTAGCGATACACACCCCGGAGAGGAAGGCGCCTGAAAGCTTGGATTGTGGTTTGACTCTTTCTTCAAAGCCGTACAGGGAGGTTGAGCAATTCTGCAGAGGAGAGCAAATTAAAAAGGTGGACAATGCGGTTTGAACGTCCCTGGTTGACAGCCTGCCCCTAATGTGATCATGCACATTCCTCCGCATTGCACTTAAATCCACCTATTTTTTCCCCCCCAGCCTTTTTTTTTTTGGCCTCCCCTCCCTCGCTCACACCGCCCACCTGGATCGTGCCTGCAGTCGTGCATTCAACTGGCTGAGCCGCGCTGCTGTCCAGAAGCTGGTCGAGCCGACCCGCCTCCGAGGAGAAAAGCGACCGGGCTGCACTGTGCTGTTTGGTGGTCCACACGATGCGTCTGTTTCTGCTGGCGGTGCTCTTCTCGTGCTCCTGCGCGCGGGCCGGCTGCGAGCCGAAAATCGTGAACATCGGGGCCGTCCTGAGCCAGAAGAGATACGAGCAGGTCTTCAAAGATGCCGTGACCCAGGCCAACCAGGTCTACGGCAGGGACAAATTCAAGCTGACCGCTATCTCCGTAACTCACAAACCCAACGCCATCCAGATGGCTCTCTCTGTCTGCGAGGACCTCATCTCCAGTCAGGTAGTTTACTGCAGCTCTGCATGGGCGCTCAATCAAACAACTGTTTAATTAATCTCTGAATCACAATCCATAACTCATGCTGCATGTGATCCATGCGCAACTCCACTGTAAAACTGGATTCCTGTTAGATGCATCAGTGTTTTGGAGGAACAAACCTCCAGTGCCTTCCAATAGAAAGTTGGTTTCAGGAAACATATCAGATGTGTTTCTCACTGGAGGGCCACTGAAGTGGGTAAAACACCAGATTGGTCATCAGATCATCATCAGTCTTGATCTCTGAATCACATGTTAACACGTGTCTTTTTCTCCACTGCCTCACACCTGCAGATGACCTGTTCATTCAGCATGAACATATTACCAAATGTTTGGCATCCACTCTAAGCAAGTACACACAACCAACGAATTGGTCCACTTTGTATCCTACAGTGAACTCCCCACAGACCCATCTGTTTTACAGACATCCAAAAATAGGTTTGGTTTTGGGCATATCTCTGGATGAGAGGGCAACTGTGCGTTTCAGAACACACAGCTGCAGATCTACTGAACTGCAAAGGAGCCAGTGAGGAGTGAAAATGTGCCGCGATATGTCATTTACAATTAACAACTTGGCTTCAACTGTGTGTGTGTGTGTGTGTGATGAATGAACATTTTGGCTGACATGGCTGCAGACAGTTTGAGCTCCTGTATGTTGGCCTTCAGGGGTGGCTCACTCACTCAGCAGCAATCTGTGCGATATGATGCAGCTGCTTTTCCTGAGAATCCTTTTTTGAAAAGTATTTTCATGCAGATTTTCCAGGGATGAATTATCTTTCAGCTAGAATAAAGATTCCTACCGTATGTGCTGTAGATCTTACAAAACATATTTCATAAGTAATGTATGATTGAGTGCATACGCACTGTTGAGAGATGTTAACTGAAGCACATTGCAAATGCACCGACCATCCTCTCCAGTAATGCTCAACATGGCTTTTAAAAAAGTAGCAACATTATGTCACAGCATGTTGAGGCGTGAAGTCCTTCTCACTCTGATTGCTCCCACACATATAATTAGGCTACATGTGAACAACAAAAAGAAAAACCCCACACCCACAGCTTTTCAGTGGTGCTTTCATGTCCTTGGTCCTCTGCTTAGCGTGATGACTCTAATTGATACAGGCTTGTAGAATAATACTGTCACACCCAGTCTCTTGTCACATGTTCACCCAAAGGATCTGCCTGCAATCCAGCCACCCAGCCCAACAATGGTTCAGTTCTCTACTCTCTTGTAAATGAGACAGAATCACACCTAATTTAGACAGAAGGTCCATGGAAGGTTTAATCAGTTGAGATGGCGTGTAGGCGATAACAGTTACTGCGAAGGGAAGTGCACGACAGATGGAGGAGTAGATGCCTGGGAGCAGTCCTTGGAAGATAGAGCTCATTTTTGACCCAACCATACGGACTGCTCATATCCAATAATCCATGCCTACACAGCCATGCCAACTTCATTCCCTTTTCCTTCACATCTCCCAGACATTTCTCAAGGCTGAGCACACAAAATCTCGTTTTCTACTGGAGTAGTTGGCCAGCATTGGTTTGCTTAATGCGGGGATAAGACTAAACCAAACAGCCACGAATAAAATATTAGTCAGCCCACACAGTGAGGACATTTTGAACAAAGGAAAAGATTTGCGCTTCTAGTTCTTTGTTATAGATGTGTTTGTCCCTGACAACAATTTATGGAGACTTTCAAGGTTCAAAACTTTTATTTTTATCCTGTTATACAACATTTTCAAGCAGCAGTTGCAGCCACTAAAAGATGAATATATTGTAAGTGGACACAAATGTAATTCATCTTGAGGTAGAAAGCAGATGTTTCAACCAAAGCTGGATTACAGACCAAGCAAAGTGGTCAACTGCTCTAAGGGGGCTCGGGGGCCCCAAATGCCCTAGATTCAGTGTGGCAATCAGTTTGTGACCATGATTAATTATAAACTGCATGTAAGTAAATAATTGAAGTGACTCCTGCTATTAATCTTTTTAGGGTCTATCTTGAAAAGGCCATGTATATTCTATTCATTTACAACACTTTTTGCCTTGAGCCTAATTTCAATGTTAACTAATGACATCTTGACTCAATATCTGGTTTTCTTAGCTATGCTGAAATTGACTTTTTAAATTTACATTTATTCATTTAGATGACGCTTTTATCCAAAGCAACTTACAATTTCTATGTATCAGACGTCACACACCTCGGGGGCAACTAGGTGTTAAGTGTCTTGCTCGTGGACACATTGATGTCTCACAGTGGATTTGAACTTCGGGGCTCTCACACCAAAGGCATGCCGCTTATCCACTGCACCATCACCACCCCCATTTTTACAATGTAAAATCGTACAGTCATCCTTGTAAGTGTGCATGAAAAATTATGCCATCAAGCCTTGTGCACATGGTTTCATGTTGTTGTTTTAGCTTACTACAAAAACCTGCAGGCACACAAGACTGTTTCATTTTTTAAATTTCTTTTGTATTTTTGTTGTTGCTTGTGTGTTGCAACGTAAGAATCTAGGTTTGTTTGATTTATGAAAAAAAAGTAAAATGGACACTTTGCACGTTGTGTTTGGTGAATCTTTATGACATTTGTGGTATGTTTGAAAAAAATTAGAAAACAATAAAAGAAAAGAAAGAAATCCTGCAGCATGTCTAAATTGGATACAGTTAGGACTTAAGTGTTTATCAGAGCATGACTAGTGCGGTTACCATTTTGTCTTAATGAGTGTCAGAATGACAGAGTATTGTGTCTTCTGTGCCTCTACAGGTCTATGCTATCCTGGTGAGTCACCCTCCCCAGTCCAATGACCACCTCACTCCAACGCCTGTCTCCTACACTGCAGGCTTCTACCGCATCCCCGTGGTGGGGCTCACCACCCGCATGTCCATCTACTCAGACAAGGTAAGTGATAGATGAGAGAGATGTAAAGAGAAAGAGAGAGACAGTGAGAGAAGAAAACAGGAAGAGAACGAAGGAGTAAGGAGCTCCCCTGGGGCGGCTTCAAAAGCTTCCTAGATTAAACGTCCCATCACTGTCCATTAGAGGAGCTGTGATTAAATGGGTTTCCAGCTGAAAACTGAAAGAACATCATTAATAATGCCTCTGACCTGAGTAATGTTGTTGTGAAGCACAAGCAGCTAAAAAACTTCAAAGCAATCACACAGTAAATGAAATACCGAGGACTTGAAATACTCAATTTACAGTCTATTTAAGTAACATCAAAGCACACTGAATGACCAGAAATATGTGGACACCCAAACGTTACGCCCATATGTCATTGTTGACCGTGTCATTCGAAAACTATAAGCAGCAATCTGCAGCTATAACAACCTCTGATCCTTCAGGGCAGACTCCAATTCAGTAACAAGAGCATTAGCGAGGTCGGCCACTGATGTTGGGGGATGAGGCCTGGCCTGCAGTCGGCATTCCCATTCATCCGCAAAGTGCTGGACAGGGTTGGGGTCAGGGCCCCGGGAAGGCCAGTCAAGTTCTCATAAAAGCTTTTCTTTATAAAAAGAAGTGACAAAATACTTATGCAGAACGACACATAGAAGCGTTTTCTGATCTGACGCCGGACAACATCATCTGTCAGTGCCTTACACAACCATTACTAATCACCGCTGGAAACATAAATCTGTTTTATGATGTGATAACACAGTGGTAAAGGTTTAGTTAGGCTTAGGTACAAAAACAACTTGGTTAGGCTTAGGGACTCTGTGGCTCCTCTTGGTTGCCCAAATTGAATAAAGGACTAGAATCTGACCTTGTCGCAGGTTTTTGTCCACTTATTTCCACATGTTATGAGTCATGAGTCATTCATTAATCTCTACTTCCTGCTTCCTCCGCCCCCTTTTAGAGTATCCACCTGTCCTTTCTGCGGACAGTCCCTCCCTACTCCCACCAGGCGCACGTGTGGTTCGACCTGATGCGCGAGTTCAACTGGAACCACATCATCTTGATAGTTAGCGACGACCACGAGGGGCGGGCCGCTCAAAAGAGACTCGAGACCCTCTTGGAGGAGAGAGAAACAAAGGTGAGATGCTCTGGCTCCCCCCCTCCTCCCCGAGAGTGTGTGTGAGCATGAGCGCGTGAGTGCGTAAGGTTTTTAAACCTCAAAGGTCTTTTATGTATGTAACTGTTTTTCTTTCTGTTGTGTGGCCACATCTCTTTCTCACCATTGTAAACATTGGCTAACATTCCTAGAGACATCAACAGCGTCTAATGTGGTCTAATCTGACAAAAGTTTGTACGTTTATTTGCTCATCTTCACGTTGCTTTTCGCCATAGTCCAAATTATCCCGTGTCTATCCACAATGGGAGCCAAATAGCGGACTTTAACGTGGGGCTTTGCAAACCATCACAGACTGAAGTGTTTATGTGTTTTATTGGGGCCATGGTGGAAGTCAGGTGTTTCTTTCCTCTCGTGCGTGATGAATCGCCGACTTCATTATGGTACACAGAGGCCTTGTGTTTATTGCACGCCGCTAGGTCATGGTCCGCTGATATGGGAGATGTTCTTCGCCTTTTCGGATACCGCTGATGCATCCATTTTAAGTGTAGCTCTGAGCTGTGTATATGGGTCAGTGAAATGCTGATCTTCTATGAGCCAAAACAGACTTGAGACTGCAATGATGTGTGCCCTTTAGGAACAGAGAGAGAGAGGGGGGAAAAAACAACTGCCATCTCTTTCATCCATTTAATAAATTACCTTGGGATACATTTTTTTCCTTTTATACTCTGTGATGCTTGTCACTCTCTGGGGCTCTTTGCTGTAATTGTGTGGCAGAGTGAAATGAGTCCCGATTCAGAGATTTAATTAAATCAGAAGCTGGAGAGTCGCTGAATATGACACATGCCCGAGGTAATTCACAGACGGCAGCTACAGCTAAAGTGAAAGCTGCTTAAATGAAGTGACCGGGATCAGTATTGATTAATCGCCACCAATAGGAAAACACTTCAAATGTTTGGATTAATCACTTGAGGTTTGTGCAACCACATCCATGCAGTTTAAATAACAAGACTTTCAAATCATCTTGATGTGACTGGCATCCTGCACTGGAGAAGAGAAATTTGTGTATTAAAAGCCTTTGATAAGAATCCAGGAAGTTCCTTTTATGTTTGCATAATCTGAGTTTGGATCTCAAAATGAACCCATCTGTGCGTCCCATTCAATCCCACAATACTGAGAAGAGTTGCTGCAACTCTCTCTACTCTGAGGCTTAATTACACATGTATTTAGTCATGACTGCAGGGCCAGCTGGAGCATTTCAGGGCCCTGAGCAGGATTTATTTGAGAATTGAGAAGTGTGTGCAGCAATAATTACACTGAAAACCTGGTAAAATTCAGGCTTGTGATATGATACGTAATGTTTCTAGAAAAGACCTGAAAAGACCAAATCAAACAATAAATTGATTTTATCCAAATCCTTATATATTATTCCTCTGTGCCAAAAAGCGCCTTTGCTGTCTAAAAAACTCTAAAAAACACATCAGTGAGCCATACTGTTTCACTGACACTTTCCTTCATTACCATGCACACACACACCGTAGTTTATTTTGAGTCCATCCCACTCACAAAACAGGCCCCAACACATGCACTATTTCCACCTGCTTGACTAAGGTTTAGCTAAAAACTTGTCCAGCTGTAAGAACCAGTGAGCTTGAAGCTAAGTGCCATAGACAGGGCAGGGAATTTGAAAAGTCTGGAGAGACAGACTAACACGTTTTATTTTTGGTCCTTAAAGCGGGTGTAGGCAACATTGGAAAAGTAGCAAGAGACAGCAAGAATTTTAAAGTATCCAACCAAAAAAAATCCCCCTCCCTTCAAGCATCCCTGCAAAGCCACTCCCCCAAAACACATTTTCATGTGCAGTGAGTGCACAAGCAGGTGGGTTGACAGGTAGGCAGGTAGGATGGTAGACAACCCAGCCAATCATTTAATTCGGACCCAATGCGGACCTTGCGATAGACACAGACCGGATTTGTTGTGTCATGGATTTGTTATGTCACGGCATTTGATTTATTGATTGCTGTTGGGACATAAATAGAATTTCAACAAATTTAACAGGAAAAGGTTCTGAAATAAATATCATGTCATTCTTATGGAAGTTCCCATTTTTTGTTTGTTTGGGTGCCCCCTAGTGGCTAAATTGACTGCCTGAGCTCTGACTTCCCATAAACGTCACGACATCAGCAGGATGATGAAACCATTCCCATCTTTTTTATTGTTTGTTCGGACGACGTCAACTAAGCGCTTAAACTGTAAACGCAGTGACAGCTTTGACTGTTTATGGTGATGTAAAAGGCCGTTAATTTGGATGTGGCAGATTGCAGCTTTGTCGTGCTCTAATTAAAAGGGAGAGGTGTTCTTCTTGCTAATCACCCTGTCATGCTGCATAAACTCAGTAAATTTGCATAGTTATTTTTAGCTTCGTGGCAAGGCCTTAGCGAGGTCACAGAGTCACAGTGGGATCACTGTCACCACCAGCAAAGAGGCTGTGGACACGCTGGACTTTCTCGGAGTGCAAACGTGACCAACATAACATGAAATATTAATGCCTGACTGAGGATACAAAAATAGAGCGCTCAGAAAATCTCTTGGGGGGGAAGACAAAGCTGTCCACAAAGCTGCTGGATGTTACTCATGGAAAGGATTTCAAAACACTGAAGTTTAAATCTCTAATTTTTATGCTACAATTCTGATTGGTGCTCACCTGGATATTACATAGTTGTTGAAGAGTTATGATTGACTAATCTGGATTGGGATTATCAATAACAATTTTTCATATGACATTGTTCTTTCATCTTTTATAAATAAAATCACAGAATTTTAGAAAGTTTCCTCAAGCCAATTTAGGAAAAGTTATCTATAACCCCACTGACAATTTGTTTTCATTGATTATGAATCAGGATTGACTGAACATTTAAAATGACAATAGCGTCAGCTTGTTTCATAAGTCTTAAAAGCTCTCAGTTGTGAATGGATGAGTTTTCCGGACAGCGTACGTTGCGAGTTTGCTTGTCAGCTTGACTATCGTCCTGATCCACAGTCGGCGTCAACTCTGTGAAGGGAGGGAAACAGACCCAGAGTGCACTGAGGTCTGATCTGTGAAGCCAGGCAGCTGTGAAGGAAACCCTGTGAGGCAGAAAGATGGTGTGTTTTCCTGCAAAATGGCTCCATCTCAGGCGGGACTCCCGAGTGTCTCCTCTCACAGAACATGGACATTTAAAATGGTGACGCCTCAGGTGTCAGAATTTAAGTTCAACCTGCTTAGCAACTACTGAGAGCCAGTATGTTGTGCTGTGACAGAATTCCATACTACATGCTAGTTGTATACAGTATGGACCATATCATCTTTATATTGTTTTAGCAATTACTATACAAAATGTCAAAATGTTTTATACCAACAGGAAATTGTACATTACTTGCCTCAGTCAAACTGCAACTTTGGAAAGCTACCGCTAATTAAACTTAAGAAAGAAGAAGGAAAATGTTTTCTTAGGATTGAACGCTTATTTTTTTGTTTGCCAAAATCTGTCTTGAGCTGCATCAATTTAAATTGTTGGCAGCTGTGATGAGAGCCTCCATTTCCATTTTCAGAGTGTGAATCATTGGCTTGTTTTTGCGATTTCCTTTTTTGATTTGATTCAATTAATAACTACAGTTGTAGAAAACAGCGTGTAACTAGTGGATAGAAATTTCCATACAGTTAACAATTGCTGTAGATGTCATGATGGTTTCTGACTTGTGATGTGCTGGTCACTAGTTAATAACACTAGGGACAGAACTAGCTGCAGCCTATGAAGTTGGCACTGTGGAGCTGGTGACAACTTCCACAGATGGTTGGATAAGACGTTTCCTAGTGCAGTTTTGCAAGATTACATACTGTAAAACATTTAATGAGCTCTTCATATTCTGTTATGAAGCCAAAAATGTGATCACACTTTGGACTTGTTGTTGTGTTTGGTGAAGGGTTGAAAATCTGATGGCCATTTTATTTATTAAAAGTTAAGTTTACACTGCCGTGTAATGCTAGTTTCCAGTGTGGTGAAGAAGGAACAAACCAGATGGCAGAGTTGTTCAAAGCATTTTGTTTTGGTTATCTCTGGAGCCAGGGCGTTTTGATTCAGTTTCTTCTTAGAGCTCATCAATGCAACAATGAAGAAATGTTCCTGATCCTTAATAGTATTCGATTTCTTTAACAACTAAACGTGATTTCAGCGTTATTATAAAGCGGTCATCTCTGATGTTCTTTGCAAGTCCCACTGTTAAAGGTCCCAATTTGAAGCAGAAAAGTGGAGATTTGTTGGAATGCTTTACTGCCCTCCATTTTCAACTGTTTATAATATTTTTCTGTGTCTGCATATTTTCTCTGTGCACATTACTCATCAGAATAAAAAAAGGAACTATGAAAACCTCGACCAACTGTCCTATGACAACAAGCGAGGACCTAAGGTATATTTGCATGGTCAATGCACGCCGCCCACCAACTTTCCAAACGTAGCAACTAGAAACCAGCCCAAACCAGTCACCAGCCGACCCAGAAATGTCCCTCTCTTGGTAGCACGTGTTTTCTTTAATTTTTACTTTGAGACATTTCCCTATGATTTAAATGAAGAATGATTTTGTTGTGAAAAATCTATAATTTCTGGTCATTCCAGAAAAAAAAAAGAAATCAGTGAACAGCGCCCCGCTTTTATCATTTTCATTGTCTCCTTCAATAAAGGAATGCATGTACTCAGAACACACACACTCACACACAAAAAGAGTTTGCAAGTCCATTCCTGTGTGGAGAACCGGTAGTGTGGGACAAAACCGTTTCCCAGATGCTACTTCCACCTGTTCTGTAGCACTTCCCTAGTTTTCAGCAGTTTTTTTGTTGGGGGAAAACGTCCCCCTCACCCCCCTTCACCCGTTTTTAGTTACTGGTTGCATTGACCTTCTTCTTCCCCCTACCTAACACATGCACGTCCTTCTTTGGAGCCTTGACAACCCTCAGTTTGCATGCGAACAAATGCAAAAGTTTTTTTTCCCTTCAAGCTTTTTTTTTTTTTTAGTTCAGCCGGTTCCCCTGGATCGCTTTCCTTTTTATCTCTGTCTCCCGTTTTCAAACAAAATCGGCCAAGCTCGAACCAAACAGGTAAAGAGGCAGCATGGTGTCTAAGGTAGGGAAAAGTAGCTGGCTTGACCTTTCTTATGCCCCGATCACAGGCAGAGAAAGTCCTCCAGTTCAGCCAGGAGACTAACTTAACTGCCCTGCTGCTGGAGGCGAAAGAGCTGGAGGCCCGAGTCATCATCCTGTCCGCCAGGTGAGGTTTTTAAATCTCTAAATTAAACATACATTTTAGCCAAAGTCCCAGAGGGAGCACAGGTGATTTACCCCACACCTGCTTTAAAATGTCCTACCCACTATCCAAGATAGAACTGGTTGAAACAAATGCAAAAAAAGATAATTTTGATAATAAATGTAATGCTTATTCTGGGACAGCAACTAACGATAATTTTCATTACTTATTAACCTGCTGATTATTTTCTGAATTAATCATTTGTTCAATAAAATGTCAGAAAACAGAGTCTAAGTCTAAGTCTTCCAAATCTAATGACAAATTACAAATATATATATATATATATATATATATATATGTATATATATTATACATTTGCTTATATGTTTGCCTTTGAAGATGGTTGCTGTGTCAGATCAGGCAATCATTCTTGCCATGCCTTGGCCAAGAGACATTGCAGACTACATGTTGGACCCCAAGAACATGTCGCAGAAGTTTTCAAGCTAGACAAGACAGGTTTAAGAATAAAAAAAAATCTTACATGATAGTCTTTTTTTTGTGATGTCAGATGCCTATTTGATTGTCTTTCACTATGATACACTACAACAGATGAAACTAGTAATTGTCATGCCCTACCCTTGTTTTCATTCCCTATGCCCCGTGTCCATTTGGTCAGGCTGTTCCTGTCAGTGGGGTTAGAATATTTCACTCTAATATAAGCGCCATACAACTTATTATATTATATATTTGAAATGTATACATGATACTGGATTGCATCCAAGTGCATTTTTTGTGACATAAAAGCTAATCAAATTCTCTTAAAGAGAAATCAGGGCTGAAGAGATTAAATAAAGACAGATAAAAAGCCCTCACTTTAACATAAAGACATTTCACATAAATAATAATAAGTAAGGTGGTAATTGCTGTAATCACTTGGGCATGCACCTGTCCCCAGTGAATTAATCAATCAATGAACACCACAACCCTTCCTTACACTTTCTTTTAGCATGCTCTGATGTGAAAACAACAACAACAAAACAAAATCTTTTGTCTTTTCTCAACATGGCAAATTCCAGTGAGGAAGATGCTGCTGCAGTGTACAAGGCCGCCCGCTTCCTCAACATGACGGGCTCGGGCTACGTGTGGCTGGTGGGCGAGCGGGAGATGTCGGGTAAAGCCCTGAGCGAGGCGCCAGACGGTACGTCCATCCAGCAGAGATCAGTGGGAATATACAAGTTAACCCTCGGCTTTACTCAGAGGCCGATCATAACACAAGCAGGATTAGAGGGATTAACTGTTTAACGATGGATGCATTACACGATTAACTATATGACCGCTTGTTGTGTGTTTACAACATTTAAACGTTTAAGCATTACGTGTTTAAGGGTTTAAATGTGCTGTGTATCTACAGTACACTGGGTTTTTAGTTTAAATGTTTATGTCCTGGATAATCCAAAGGTAAATTCATTGTGCTATTCTACCATATTAATACCCTGGTTTCTAATGAATTATAAAGGGAGAGTTTTGCAACAGATAACTGATAGAATGGTAAGCTATAACAGCCTTTCTTGTATCTATTCCTGGATTTTTCACACAAGTCCCTCACAATATTTTATCACTTTGTGGTCACAAACGTTGAGCGTCTTACCCCCTGTGCACTCTGACACAACCAACCCCTGCAAAGCGTTTGTTGTCCTGTCCATGTCCAAGTCTCTTCCACCTCCACTGCAGCTCCTTCCAGGAGTCTGCAAGACTGATGGACCTGGTTGCATCAGAAAACTTAGCTGAAGTTGGATTGTTGCTTGGTTTAAATTTAGGTCTGATGGTATTTTTGTTTGTTCCTAACACAAATATGCTCTCTGGTAGGGCCAGGGAAAATAAATCCAACTTCAAGGGACTCTTTACACATGCTGTGAAAAGGTCATCAGTGGCAACATCAGAAAAACGATCCATTTATTCTCTGGCCACGTCTCATAAATGACAAGATGTGGATATTTTTCCGAGTAATCCTCCCTGAATTTAGCGGGCAAAGAAGCTGGATCATGCAGCTGATGTCTGACCTTTATTCAGGATGTCTAAACTGAAGGCCCTATAAGTTTTTTTTCCCACTTTGTGCATTGCAAAAGGATCCTAAAAACTGCTGTAGTTGGCTCAGGTCAGTGATTATCATTTGTTGTTGCCATGGTCTCAGGTCTGATCGGCCTCCAGCTCATCAACGGGAAGAATGAGTCTGCCCATATCAATGACGCGGTGGCTGTGGTGGCTCAGTCCATCCAGGAGCTCTTTGAAAAGGAGAATATCACAGAACCCCCGAGAGGATGTGTGGGCAACACCAACATCTGGAAAACAGGGCCACTCTTTAAACGGTAAGCTTGAATGCAGACGTAACGCATTGCTTCAGAAATTAGATTCTGATTAATCCGATTTGTTTTTTACTAATAAAGATGGCGCAATAGTAAAACATTTTTAGAAATCTTTTTCCAGAACAAATCTAGCTTCAAGACCAATACATTTCTTTAACATTTTCTAACTACAAGACCAGGGGAATATTCTAGAAGACGCTCAATAAATATAACTTAAACTTGAAGTCTCATTTATTTATTTATTATTTCATGTACTAGAAATCATTTTTTCGTCATTCCAAATGAAACAACTGAGTTTTGATTGACCCAGTTAGAGTGGTTTCTCAGCAGCATAACAAAAATTAAATGCGCTGCTTCCAAACAGATAGGGGTGACAAAAACAGCAGATATCATACGTGTCATTCACACTGGGGACGCTGGGGACATGTCCCCACCACTTTTTGAAAGCATTTGTTAAAAATGTTCCAAAAAAAATAGCTTGCAACAAGAAATTTTAATTAACAAATGAAATTGCTTTGAGAATTTTTATTTGCACAATAAAAAAAACATGCACTGCAATTAACATCTAGAAGAAACACATGCACATTGTCCAAGAAAGTAACTTAAGCAACCAAAAAAAAGCTACTGAATCCTGCATTATATTCCATTACATTTTTATACTTTGAATTGTCACCAGCCACATGAATTTTGTTTCCCTTCATATAAATAAAGACATTTAGACAATAAATTGGTGCAGAAAATGTCTCCAGAATGCAGGAAATTGAGAGTTTAAGGCTCAAAAACTTCTGGGCAATGACCCTCTGACCTCCCACTCATATATTTCAGCAGCAAATATTTAATCTAAATAGTGCTAAAAACTTTCTTGTCTTGTTCTCGTGCATCGTCACGTCTCATGACCCAAATGTATCATCACGCCCCTAATCTGAGCCCTTATGTCCCCACCACTTTTCAACACAAAGTGACGCCCTTGGCAGATATCGTCGCAGCTCAACAACCACAGCTCTGGCTTGTTCATCATATTTTTATTTTAACACATGCACTGAATTGAGAGCCTTGTACCAATACACAAGAAAATCCACAGTTGCACTCCTAATGGATTAGTTTTCCATGCATGAACACATGTGTAGGCTACTCACAAATAATAATTTTCATTTGCTTGCAACAGGGTGCTGATGTCATCTAAATACCCAGAGGGCCTAACAGGACGTGTGGAGTTCAATGACGACGGAGACAGGAAATACGCCCACTACAGTATACTCAACTACCAGAAGAGTCGACTCATTCAAGTCGGCATATACAATGGAACACAGGTGAGCTGACAGACAGAGGCAACTCTGGCCTACACAACTGTGAAGCACATTTTATGGAAATTTAAAAAATAAGTCCATTCCCTATTTTAAACTTACTGCCCTCGAGTATGTCTATATACTCCATGTACATAGCAATCTATTTTCTTTATTCATGCGGGACATGCAGCTCCAGATTTCTATCTATAGTACAATGCAGTCTATGTAGGGCAACTCCACAGTCCTCAGTCTGTGCAACAAAAAAAAAACTGCAGTTCAGCCAAAGCTAACAAGATGCTGCTGCAGTCTGAGGGATATTTCAAATATTTCCTTATTCACTTTATTTACAGTACATACAGTAAATTTACAACAGCTGAATGCAGGGAGGGCTGGGAGAGAAAGAGGCATGTTAAAGAGTAACTTAACACCAGGCTGAAAAGCAGTGTTTTATCTCTGACCACAGCTTGCCTGTCTGCCGAGAAGTTAAACTACTGGAGGTCTGCAAAACCAAGATTTTCAGGGGTTGTTAGGTTATTCTTTAAGTATGAAATGACTTTAAACTTTAGAAATTACCAGTTGATTTTGCTAGGCTAGACTGTTGTGACATCATGTAACCTTTGGTTGAATCGTGGTTTTCCATGAACCCTGCATTTATCTCGGGAGAATTGTAGATGTGTCCACTGTTGACTGCAGTCAACTCTAGATGGCAAGCAGGAGCTGTATGTGTCTGAATATGAAACCCAGCTGTGTCCTTCATGAGCCCCGGCTATAAAATGGAGACAAAGAGAAGAGATATTTTTAGAGAACAGCATTGCTGACCATTTTAAAAAGCTCAACCGATTTTTATTAGAATTAATTTAATAGAATCCAATTCCTACCTCTCAGGCAGCCACTGATTTCCATTTATTTCTGTATGATAAGAAAACCCAGATGCCGACATTCAAGATTTTAGTGTGTGTTGTGAAACAGCAATAAGTGAATGCAAGAAACCACCATATTCCCATTATGGATTGTCAATAAAAAACAATACTCGTGAATTAAACTCTCCATCAGTGGAAGGACATGAAAATGATCCTTTCTGATTACTGTGTAATCATCCAACCATAACATATCTATATCTAATGCAAGTTTAAAGGTGTTGCAGTTTGTATTTAATTTGGAAACAACAGCTAAAAAACTATTTCAAAATGTAACTTTGAAAGCTGGTCTGTATAATATAAAATATATTTGATTTGAGCATGGAGTGACTGAGCAAACTATCCGGGGAAAGCTCTGTAGTTGACCTGGTGCAAAGAGATTATTTTGTCAAATTTTATTACTTTCTAGTTCATGGTGGTTATTTAAACGGGCCAGCCTTGCAAACACAGCAAATAATAAGGACTGTGAAGATCAGCAGTTCAGTTCCCTGGTGATGGGTGTGATGATAATAAGTTCCTGAAACCCTCAGGTATGATACATAAGTCAGAGGTCGAAGGAATAAATAAAAGAACCGCTGAGCTGTGGTTATATAAAGCTGACTCATTAGTGATGCTCACCCACAGGGTTGGAGCCTCATCAGCAGCACGCCTTCTGTCAGCACTCACCTATAATACTGTATATGTGTGTGGCATCCCTGCAGGTGGTAATGAACAATCAGCGGAAGATCATCTGGCCCGGGGGAGAGACTGAGAAACCACAGGGCTTCCAGATGTCCACTCGGTTAAAGGTAGGGTGCCTTCACTTTGCTGCTGCAATGTGACGTTCATGTCTACACAGATAGAGTGCTGGATCTGAGCTGACAAACTCTTGTTGGACAGTGTTCTGACATTTGTTTCTCAGAGGCGAGTGAAGTTAATCTTTGTCCTTAAAGGCAGCAGTGATGTATTTGCTATGACTTTTATCTCTTCAAATTTGTCATAGACCCTCAAAGAACCTCTCATCTGTATCCTTGTCAGTTCTTTTTACATTGATCTGTCTTTGTGTCCATGTGTATCTTGGAGATTGTAAATGGGTATTTGTGTATCTGTTGGGTTTTTCCAAGTATTTTTTTCTCCCTCGCCGGCCGCACTGAAGTCGCCCAGCATCGAAACGGATCCACCTCTGACTACGTGATAAACAGCCTTCTATCCCGTCTGTTATAGATAGTGACGATACACCAGGAGCCATTTGTGTATGTGAAACCCACTCAGCTGGATGGAACATGCAAGGAGGAAATGACATTAAATGGAGTCTTAATTAAAAAGGTTATCTGCACTGGGCCCAATGAGACCATCCCAGGTAACACATCAGGGACGTTTATATTATCACTGTGCTTTTACTGCACCCGCCAAACACCCACTGGAGATGCATACATATATATGCAGTAGGTATCTATATATGTATGCATGTTGCTGAGTGTGCCATTCAGAATGAGAGATTGTTGGGATGCCGGGACATGCTTGGTGTGTATGCTGTGTTTCTGGCAAACAGTATGATAGTGTGTGGCTGTCTGCAGTGTGCTCTGTCATGCATTTTGTTCAGTCTACGTGCGCCGCCTTTGGATTAACAAAACAATTCTAACATGTTTCCTCAAAAGTGATTGTAACTTGCAACTGTTGCTGGTTTTGTTACAGGACGCCCAATTGTACCCCAGTGTTGTTATGGCTTCTGTATTGACCTCCTGATTAAGTTGGCTATGACCATGAACTTTACCTATGAGGTGCATCTGGTGGCTGATGGGAAATTTGGAACTCAGGAGCGGGTTAGTTTTACATTTATAGCAGTATTTGTCATATTTTTTCACGAGGCACTGGTTGCACCTAATCTCTCACATTTAGTACTTTGCATAACTTTAATGTCTCTAATCATTTTCCTTTACTCCAGTAACAGTCTGACTAACTATTCAGAGCTGAAGCGATAAGTAAAAATATGTATATATAATTGTAGAATGCAGACCCACAGATAAGTGTCCAGCAGGTGACATTGCCCATCGGCACTGACCTAGTGTCAGTCTTTTAATTTCTACACAAAATGATTAGGCGAACAGCAATCACCATGGCTAAGTGTTTAGGTGAATTTGGAAGGGCCAACTAGTTGTGAAATAAAATGAATATGGAGCTAATGTTCCACATAAACCCAAATCCCAGGGAAAAAAGGAAATTGTTTTTACTGCCTTATCTATTCTATGATGCAAATTGGAAAACAACATACATCATTCACATGCCAAAAAATCTCTTGTCTTAGCAGGGCTCATTCATTTTCATTAGCCCCGAAAGGGTTTGTCTTTGTTGTATGTCAAAATAGGACACATTCCACGATCTAAATTATATTTAAGCTTGCATTATGCAAGTGGGACACTTTTATGAATTTACAGAACCTAGAATGTCCCTCATATGCACATTTGCTTAATCTCTTTGCAACAAAATCAAGTCTTACTTGCTGAAACTGCAATCTTAATTCAAAACAGATTGCACTATCCCCTTGCTAACCTATATTTTTACAACACAGTAACTTTTAGCTAACAGTTGGCAGTTTATAGCTAGAAGCTGGTGTAAGCTTATTGGTAACATTTAGCTAACATTTGTAAACTAATAACAGCTTAGCTAACATTGGCTAAGTACTACTAGTAGATTTGTTGGCAGTTAAAAATGTTGGATAAGTAGTTAGTGACTAACACCAAAATATAACTACTCATCATGCACTGATATTAAGTTTGTTAAATTATAATGTGGTGTGCGAATGAACTGTCGTCATGCACAACGAGGTCAGTTACCTGCGTGTTTTGGGTGGAGTGGTGCTTTGAATTCATTGGTTTGCAGAGAGACAGGAACCATTCTGGGTTTTGCCATTGGTTAGGACTTTTCCAATTATGTTTCTTTTAGGTGGGACATGTCTGTGTCTTTCTGTTGTCCACACTAAAAAAACTACAGCCAAAGCAGGATGCATGTGTGCAGGAAATGGCTACCTAGGGAGGAAGGCCCAAAGCCTGTTGATTTACTGCTTGGCTCTTCAAGGAATAGCATGAGCAACAGGAAAAAGCAATAGCACCAGGGAAAAGAATATTAACAAATAAAGAGATAAAAGTAAATGAATTAAGCACAATAAGCAAATATAGACTTTTTTTTTGCAATATATATATTTAAAATATATACATACATACTGATATAAATGTGATAATAAATCAAAATGCTTATCTTTACATGCCCACGTTTATTTTTATTCTTTTATAAACATATTCTTTATTTTTTGTGGAGCTCCAATGACTCTATATCTCACCGCAGAATAGCACACTTAACGACTACCTGCTGAATGTAGTGGAACATTTAACAGCTAAATAGACCTCAGGAGGTGGTAGAGAGATCTTTTAGAGAGCTAAAAGAAGTCAACATTGGACTTACATTTACCAGGTGTCCAGTAACACAACTCCAAACGAAAGATTATATTGCATCTGCTGGTTTAAAATCAAACCTAAAAGCATGATTGTACAAAACAAGCCAATACAGAACCAACATTTACAAAAGTAAGACAAGAGAGAAAATGAAGAGAAAAAGGACATGATCAGCTAAAAACCTGTATGGGTTGTACATATTTTTTTCTGTTGACACATTCATCTCTAACCCAGAAAAAGCCTGTCCTGTAGGCAAAGCATGAGCACAACATTCTACACATTTGGTGTTCTTCAGTGCATGATCTTAGAAACTACTGAAAATAGCCAGCTGTCTTTATGTAAGACAGAGCCAGTTTCAAAGATGCTGAGAATGCCTAGAACTTATATCCCTACGAGGCTCAACCCAAATCCTTAAAGCCTGGTATACTGTGGTCTACTCTATACAACAGCAGGTTGATAGCTGATTCTCTTGTTAACACCTTCCTTTTGGGACTCCAGGTGAACAACAGTAACAAGAAAGAGTGGAATGGCATGATGGGAGAGCTCCTGGGGGGCCTGGCTGACATGATTGTTGCCCCGCTGACTATAAACAACGAACGAGCCCAGTACATCGAATTCTCGAAACCCTTTAAATATCAAGGCCTCACCATCCTCGTTAAAAAGGTAAGTGTCCACTTTCAGCTCAACTGGTGCTCTGTCAAGGCCGAACCACTGGGAGCATCCACGTATTGTTGTTGTGGAATCTTCGACCCTCTAAGGCAATTTCTATCTCTTGTGCGTGTAATGGATCACAAATACCGAATCCCCAAGACAACCAATTATTTGATACTTTGATTTGTACAGCAAAAACACAGGGCAACACAGTGATGAAGCCGAGAAGCGTATGTTGGGCAATATATGGCTGCTGATGTTCAGAATGATGATCAGAAATAAAACTGCTAAACTGTATTAGAAGAACGTAAAAAGAAAATGCTCATTAGAGGCGTAACCAGGATATTATCTGTATCATTTTACCTTATGTGAACAGCAGAGGTTGTCGCATTTAAAAAGTGAGTAGTATCCCAAGTTATTGATTGTGACCGGGAGGCTGCTGGTTCAATCCCTGGACCGGCAGGATAAAATCTGGGTGTGGAAAGTAAACCAAGCACTGCTTGTCCACTTTCAGCTCATTTGGTGCTCTGTCAAGGCTGAACCACTGGCAGCATGCATGTATTGTTGTGCATGCTCCCAGTTGTCATTTACCACCACTGAGGTGCCTTTGAGCAAGGCCCATAACCTCCAGTGGAGCTGCTTAGTGGCCAGCAGACCAGGCTGCGGTTGTACTGGGCAGCTTCCAGGTGTGAATGTGTAACAGTGTGAATGTGATCAGGGCCTTCCTGCAAAAGAGAGGCTTCCTCACAGTGAAGTTCCCCTGAATAAATAAAGGTTAAAAAAATAAAATAAAATTTGATATGCAACATTTTGTTTATCATTCACCTATAGCTTTTCAGTGGGAGTGGGGTTTTATATGCATCTACCATTGGTCTCTGTTGTATCACAGCCTTTTTTTAAGAGTATCATACCAGTGTTTTTAGCCCTCGTTATAGCCATTTTGTAAATAATGTATTCTAGAAATCTGAATGTATGTTTTTCTTCTGATCAAGGTATCCATTTCACTAATATGGTATTAAAATCTCTCAGTACAGTTAACTAACTTGCCGTAGTTCTGCATTTATTTTTATCTGATATTGTTATGAGGTGATCCAATGCTTACTTTCTCATCAGTCAGCACTTGCGACGACTGACATTCTTTGATATAATGGCCCTTTGAAGTTCACTGTGATTAAAAATACAACTCGAGCAAATTTCAAGAGTCTGCTTTAGGATTTTTATGAACAGACACAAAAGCCTGCCTGGAACAGCAGGAAAAACACATGTTGTAAAGCAATAAATTAAAATGTAACATGTACATGAAAGTTGTAAAGTTAAGGTGATAAACTTGGAAACAGACTGGTATTTTTTTTTATGTTAGTCCATAATATGCAAACCTTAAGGTAATCAAAGTTGTTAATTATCAATCAATAACCAATTGTGTGTTTTCAGGAAATCCCTCGCAGTACACTGGACTCGTTCATGCAGCCGTTCCAAAGCACGCTGTGGCTGCTGGTGGGTCTTTCGGTGCATGTGGTGGCGGTGATGCTTTACCTACTAGACCGGTTCAGGTACAAGGGGGACCTGTGTGTATATGTGTGTGCCCATGTGCGTGTTTATGTGTACTCACGACTGAATCAGTGAATGCCTTTGTATGTGAGTATGCACTCGCGCGTGCTGCAGATCTTACCTCAGTGTGGACACCACGGCAGACAGAGGTGAAGATTGACTCCAACCATCCCACCGCTCTGTCTGTGCTGCCGCCTTTGTCTGTTTTCTTTCTGAGTTTGTCCCCCTATTGCTTTGCTCGCTCATGTGCAGTTCCCTTCCCTGCCGGGGTCGCCAGGATTTTGCCCTATACAGATTCTCTGCAATTTCTCATTTTATCTCCTGCAACCCTCACAATTTCTTCCCTCTAGCCCGTTTGGAAGATTTAAAGTAAACAGTGAAGAAGAAGAGGAAGATGCCCTCACCTTATCATCTGCTATGTGGTTCTCCTGGGGAGTGTTGCTGAACTCTGGAATAGGAGAAGGTGAGATGGAGCCAATGAGAAAAAAGAAAAAGTCATTATTGAAAATCTCCAAATCTCACTTATTCAACAGAAAATGTTTTCTTTCTCCTGTAACACTGTAATGCTGTTCAATACTTTCGTCTATACACAGTTTTGCAGTTGTATAAAGACCAAAGCCAAGGCGTTTGTGGCTCCAGGTGTTGCCTCACTGTCATGTTTTCTTTGAGGATGACAAATTAATTCCTTTCAAATCACATTTTGAAAAGAAAGATGTTGCTGCAGCTTGTCTTTTAACAGTTTCTACCTATTTCCTTTGCTTGTTTCTCTTGTCTTCTAGTTTTTCCTTTTCATGTCTGACATTTTATTGGGCTATATTTTTTGGTAATTTCTTTTGTTCTAGGTTGTGTTGTAAACTAAAACCTCTACATGAGTAGAGTGTTTATTATTATTGACTGTAATATATGGGTTAACGATCCTTTTAACGATCCTTTTTATTGTATTCTGTATGTAATTACAGAAGTAGCAGCATTAGGGCTTATTAGTACTGAGTGGTAGAACTGTCACTTTACACAAAAATAAGTATCAAGCGAACTACTCTACATGACTAATCCAATTACAAATCGGAATTTACTCAGCTGAAAGGTCAAAACTTGAACTCGCCACACAGGTGCGCCGCGCAGCTTCTCAGCGAGAATCCTGGGTATGGTGTGGGCCGGCTTTGCCATGATCATTGTGGCTTCTTATACTGCCAACCTGGCTGCCTTCCTGGTGTTGGACCGGCCTGAGGAGCGCATCACCGGCATCAATGACCCAAGAGTGTGTACAGAATGATACTAGGACCATGTCACTACCCAACAACATATAAAAAATATATTCAAATGAGCTTATATAAATTATACATCAATGGAAGTTATTAGTGATCAATACTTGACTATTTGTGACTTGTCCCTGTCCTCTTATGCAGCTGAGAAACCCATCTGACAAGTTCATCTACGCCACGGTGAAGCAGAGCTCCGTGGACATCTACTTCCGGCGGCAGGTGGAGCTTAGCACCATGTACCGCCACATGGAGAAGCACAACTATGAGAGTGCCGCCGAGGCCATCCAGGCCGTTCGTGACAAGTGAGTCTCGGCCAGGCCGGGCCGACCAGAGCACGTGTCGGCCGGCTGCTCGACTTATCAGGCACGCAGAATAGGGCGAGTCCAGTCAGCTCAGTGGGGGGGACATGGACCTCGGGACCAGGCGGAAGCAGCAGAACTTACTGCGGCGTTCCCTCTGATCCAGGCCCATTGCCCAGCCAAGACAGACGTCCAGGGACAGGAGCAAGTGTGGACGTGTCAACGGCACTGGCACCAGTGTGCGGTTAAGCTAACATTGAGTGGAAGAGCGCCCTTTTTCAGGTTGTACCCAGACGAACATCTTTGAGATGGGGGAAATCCAATGGGGGACGCGCCCTCACCCATCTGGCATTGGATTTCATTTGGGCCATAAGCAGCGGTAGAGATTGCTGGTAAACGCTGAATGACACACACGATCTGGTGTGCGAGAGAGAGAGAGAGGGGTGGGAGCCGTAAATGTGTATGTAAATCATTGTACTGTCGCACCGTAACCCCCTCCTTCCCCTCCTCCTCCTCCTCCCTCCTTCCTCCTCCTCCTCCTCCCTCCCCCTCCCTCACAGCAAGCTGCATGCTTTCATCTGGGACTCTGCGGTGCTGGAGTTTGAAGCCTCGCAGAAGTGCGACCTGGTGACCACGGGAGAGCTGTTTTTCCGTTCGGGCTTTGGCATAGGCATGCGCAAGGACAGCCCCTGGAAACAGAATGTGTCCCTGGCCATTCTCAGGTCTGTCCCAGCCGAAGCTGCATTACTCGTATGACTTTTTTTGTTTCTTATCAATATGATTTCCTGGTCACGAATTTGGCCATTTACAGCCATCCAATACATCGCCTTATGTCACATCTTCTCTCTCTGTATCTCCCCTATCCTACCCTCTCTGTCTGTTTGTCTCTGTCAAGTTTATGTCTGTTTGTCACCTGTCCAGCAGTCTCTGTTTCATTTATGTTGCTATCTGGGAGTGAGCGGCTCGAATATTCCGTCATATGCGGCGTGTATTAACTTTGTCACCTCTCTTCCCACCACCCCCAACCCCCTGCAGTTCTCATGAGAACGGCTTCATGGAAGACCTAGATAAAACCTGGGTGAGATACCAGGAGTGTGACTCAAGGAGCAATGCCCCAGCCACACTCACCTTTGAAAACATGGCAGGTATGGTCCTTATCGCGTAGAGAAAGCGTTAAAAAGTGATTGGACAAAAACTGCAGTGGTAAGGTACTGTAGCGCTTTTTTGTCCAATACCTTTACAAAATCGTTGTTTTAGTGTCGGCGTGGGTGCTCTGTGGAAGTGTGCCGTTCAATATCTTGTGCTGTGACTTTGTGCGGTTGTGGTCTTCTCTTAATTTTGTGTGGTTCGCAGCCGCCGTCGTCAGTAGGCGCTGATTGAAAAAGGAGGGGCGACCGCTGAGCATGACAGGCAGACCATGCATTCATGCTCAGCGTAAGCGGCGTGAGTTGTAGACCAGCAGCTCACAAATCCCTACCTCTGCTCTGTTTCTGTTCGTCTGTCCCTTCCCAACAGGGGTCTTCATGTTGGTGGCTGGAGGCATAGCAGCAGGGATCTTCCTCATCTTCATCGAAATCGCCTATAAGCGCCATAAAGACGCCCGCAGGAAGCAGATGCAGCTGGCCTTTGCGGCCGTCAACGTCTGGAGGAAGAACCTGCAGGTAGGACCGATCCCCTCTGCCCGTTCACACGCAAGGTGGAAGGGCTGAGACTGGGTTGCAAGAGAGACAACAAAGCCCTCTCCTCGTGGGGGTTGATTTCTGTCTCTCAGACTCTCTAGGGGCTATTCATTTTCAGTGGTGGTCAGACTGCCAGATCACTGTGTGAGAAACCATGATCTCAGATGCCTTGATTTACTGTAAGGCATCCTCAGTGGCCACCCTGTAGGTCCTAACAGTTCCCAGAGGCCAATGGCACCCGTGTCTCTTGTGTGTGCCTGCAGGAGAGTAAGGAGGCCTCTGGAAGTCAAGCTGTGGCCGGGACCCCCTCGTTAGTATGTAACTAATTAGCAGAACCATTTCCACCCCCCATGTCACCTCTCGCTGTTAGAGTAACAATAAGATAATCAGCCCCGTAACCCTCTAACATGCTGGACATCTGAATTTAAACTTCACCTCCCACGTCCATGGCATGAACTAGTATTTTCTAAGCTGCTGTGGCGCTTATACGCTTCATAAGGTCAGATGATGTGGACATGGAAAGCCAACAAAAAGAAGCAAATGTATTGCCAGAAAAATAAAAACAACAATAACAGGCATTACTGCACGGTTGATGCACTTTGATCGCGCCATCATTGTTTTCTTTCACCTTTCCCGCCACACTAACAGAAGCCAGGAGGCAGCAATACAAATAGAGCATAAAGATTCAAATCAATGCCCTGGTTCAATCACCCTGCAGTGACTCTCCCAGTATGTCTCCTTATCCACTGCAGTGTCCATAATGCAGACACCAAATGAGTCAAATTTATCTTACATGCCAGAGGCTTCATGCAAGGCAATGAAAGCAAAAGCAGACATCAATTTTAAGGGTCAGTTCACCCAAATTTAAAAAAAATACATATTTTTCTACTTGCCCTAGTGGTATTATGCAGATAATTTTAGTTTTGTGTGCTGGGCTTTTGAGATATCCACCTCAGAAACATCTGCAACCAAACGAATAAAACTTATGTGAATGCAATTTAATTTGTGATTCAAAGACATCTGCATGGCAAGATAACACTAGGAGTAAATTTGATTGTTTTTTTGCAATTTGAGTGAACCAACCCTTTAAGCTACAATCAAGCAATAAGGTCCTCCGCTCAGCCGATAAAGAGCATGATTTGCCCCTGTGCTGGAATGCAATCAAACATCCCTCCTTTTTACTCTTGATGGTTTCCCTCCCTGACTGGAAAGCTTGGAGGTGCAGGGGTTCCACATTTAATGGCCAGTCACACTGTGAGTCTGTGATGTGGCCCCTGTATCAGTAAGCCTTGTGCCAAAGGTTCGTATTTGGCCCTGCTGAATAGAGGCAGAAGGGCTTGAGGAAGGTACAGTATAATATCACAAGTGCCTGTCAGCAAATCAGTGTCCTTCTAAGAGTGTCTGCCATCAACCTGACTACTGTATGTAACTGTCGTGAGTGTCCTCCTGTGGATGTGCGTTCTCTACGCGCACACAGCAGGCAAATGCATGCTGGGGGTGGGTTGGGGGGGCATCACTGAGAAAGGAGAGGGACACACTAAACTTCCCGTAGATCAGCGCGTTTTATATCCATGTCAGCGATGATCACGTTGATTACTCTGCACCGCTGAACAAAGGCGGCTCATGCATGCTCATCTTGCTCATCGACCGTCACTGTGCGCCCTAGAGCTAAAAAAACAGACAGACACGCACAATGTTTACTGCCCTAAATATAACCACTGTAATGGGGTCTCATGCAAGGAGCACAGAGGGAGCCCACGAAGCCAAGTCGAGCTAATACAATCTGTTCTATTCGGCGTGAGTATTATTCAGGATATTATTCATACTGTTTTGGTGCACTGATTTGATTACTCACCGTGATCCCCTTTTCACAAACTAAAAATTACAACTTGGTTATGTAGGACACAAACTCATCATGGAGAAAAATCTAAGATCACAGTTTATGTGGCCTCCTCCTTTCTCTAGTACAGCAAGCACTGAAACCTGGATTCCCATTGTTGGCATCATTTAGACTGCTTGTTCATGTGTTTGTGTGTAATTATGTGCTTATACTGCCTCAGGTTGGTGTATTATGCAAAGCACTGTGCAGTACTGTGCACCCACATGCCGTTAAACACAGGGTTGTAACCTGAGAGAACGTGCACTTCTGACTAACCTAAACCTGTTCATGTAGTACATCCCTCATCCTCTGCAGGCTGATGCTATCTCTAGTCTACATGCTGACCATGTTCAAAACCACTGAAAATATAAGTTTAAGTACAAAACCAAACCTGTTGCTTTCACAGTGCTTTACGAAGAATAAAGATGCATGGTGGAGCATTTAGCCGCTGAAGAGCTAGATATTTCCCTCAAGAGTTGGTGGAGACCAAAAACAGAGACAAAAGAGAGAGAATATTGGACTTGAATTCACCACGTGGCCAGAAACGTGACTCTGAATGAATGCTAATGTTGCTCTGTACCTGCTATATTTGTAAATTATGTTATGTTCGCTAACTACTTCGCCATATCAACTTAAAACGTGATAATGTCACATCTTCTCTCTCTGTATCTCCCCTAATGTCAGTTTTGTGTTCACAGCTTGCCCCCAAGCTGCCAAAAATCAATTGTTAAAGATTTAAAAGGCATGACAGCAATCTCACTTGGTCTCACAAACATTTCCATAACACACAATTGAATGCAGTCACTCTAACGGAGACACACGCATATAATTACAATGTTAAAAAGCCGTGTCTTGATTACAGAGAGCATTTTGCAGTGTCAAATTTGACAAACTACAAACTTCTCCGGCTACTGTTCTTTCTTAAAAATATCTGGAAAGTGGACTCAGAAATGAAAGAAATGTTTGCTTTCTGCGCCAAGGACCAGATAACAAGATAGCTTAACAGTTCATTACATAAACAGCATCACTAACATTGATGCTGATGCCAATATATCTGTAATGCTAATGCTAATGCTAATACTATCTATACTTATTCAAGATGTATCCCTAAATGTATGTTGTGTGTGTTATATATAAATACATATCTGCTGTATATACTGTATATATGTATTGTATATTGTGAGTGCTGATATTTCACCCAACATGTTGTTGGCCACTACATCACTGAGAGACTACACGTCTGGCTTTTAGCTTTCCCTTTTAAACAGATGTTACTCAGAAGTGCACTGTCTGAACAAGAGTGAAACTGATGTCAGTTTGGGGTCAAAACAAAGTGTCAGAAACCCTGTTGCGTGATGATGATGATAACGATGATGATGATGATAATGATGGTGGTGGTGTATAATGATGATGCACTGTAGCAGCTCGCTTCTGTTTCTGAAAAGAAACAGGCGGCTGTTGTACACTGTGCGAGTCCCGTGCCACGCTTCATCTGATGGTCCAGCATGCGATGCATGTGCACACGCAGCACCTCCTCAGGGCTCAGAGCGGCCAGACTGCACCCCTGCCATCTCAAACGTGTAAGAAATGGTGGCAATTAAATTTTAAAAGAAGAGAACTCACTTGGGCATTGATTTTTCCTGAACCAAGACGCTTACAGTTAGAGGCACTTGCTGCACAGTCTGACTTTCTCCGTTTACTAACATGAGATGTCATCTTCCAACAGGAAAATACATTTTATTTATTATCACCTGAACTAAAATCGAGTGATGTTATGCACCAACCACTTCTCTGCCAGCTCTCATCTATCCTTCACGCCAGCTAATGCCTACTCCCCACCTGATATCATGCCATTAGGGGGTTGAGAGAAGAGTGCTGGTTGGCGGGTTGATGAGTGACCCTAAAAGTGCCTAGTCATGTGACCTGATGAAAAAGGATGTTCTGCGGGGCCAGTGCTGACCAGGATTGATTTGTCATGCTATTTGTTTTGTGTTTACTTATTCTATGTTTTCCCCCCTTTTTCCCTCTCTCCATCCATGAAATGTTTTGGCATGTTGAAATTCACACCACACTGCCCCGCCCGCCCAAAGGGCATCCCTCCCTGCAGCTACTCCCTCATCCTCCACTTATACTTTCCTAACACCCATCTTAGAGTGCTTTTGTCCTTTAAAAATAGCATATTTTCCATCTGCTAAGATATTCATGAAGTTAAGCACACAAAAGCGCAGATCTTTCCTTTTTTGCACTTTAACTTACGAGAAAGAATATTTTTTCAGCTATAGTAGGCGACCATTCCTTTCGAAACCTTTTTTTCTTATGCACTCCATCTCATACTCCATCCCATTCCCTTGTGTGTGGGGTGAATTTCCATTATACCACTTTCAGGTATAATGACTTTAAATGGGCTTCAATTACTGACTTTTGTCGCTGTTGTTTTCCCTCTTTGACATGCATTTTACTGGCCTCTGACACTGTAGCTTCTCTACTTTTTATACCTGCCTGGCTTTGGATGTGAATGTTTGCTTTGCTAGTGTTTTTTAAATATCCGCCCTTTTTTGGTTCCCTCGGCTTTTGCTTAAGGATCTTCTTTAAAGTAATAACGATCAAGTGGATGGAAATTTATTTTATTTTTCTTTTCTCCCCCTATGCAGCCCTCTTCCTCTCTAGAGACTCAGGATGTAAGAATACCTTAATATGAGTTGTTTTGTTTTGCACACAAATACCCAGTTTTTGTGCTGAGAGTAGCTGTGGGGCACTCGGATGGTATGAGGGAGGGAGGGCACCAAATTGGCTCACCATCTTGTAAGGATATGGTTAAAACTGCTTCTTTATTTTACTGTTGTATTTATTTTTTGACAGGACTGCATTTCTAAATGTTTTCCAGAGCTCTGACCTGGGTCAGAAAACAAGTAGAGACTTTGTAAAGTGTTAAGACATATTCAGCATACTGCTTAGTTCATTCATTTTTAATTTAAGATTGCTTGTGTGTTGACATGAAGAAGTAGCATCACTAAAGTGTGTGTTCGGGCAATAGCGAGCGTACAGGCAGAATATTTGGTTAAAGCAGTGTAACATAGGTATCACACCCACTGACATCTTTACTAGCCATCACTCATTCCAATGCATTTCTAGGGGTCGAGTGAATGTGTCAGCACATTTCTAGAGGACTACTGTGCCATCTATGTGCAGTCCCACTGTGACAATGTTGCATAAAATGTAGACGAAAACCCCCCCTTTTAGACTGAGCAGACTATTTCCACTCTCACATCTAACAGGCTTTATTCCTTTCTTTCTCCCTCTTTGCGCATTTTACATTTCCAAATGCTGTAGTCTCACAGGGAATCTTCCACTATTTAGACAATATTAAATAAGGTAATTTATTGGGGTGGTGGGTGGTGTGGTGGTGGTGGGTGGTGTGGTGGTGGGAAGAGAGAATGGGTGAGACTGAAACCACAGTTATCACCCCAGCCAGAGAACATGAATAATGTTTCTACATATTTATTTTAGGATAGGAAAAGTGGTAGAGCAGAGCCCGACCCCAAAAAGAAAGCCTCTTTTAGGTCCATCAGTACCACCCTGGCCTCCAGCATCAAGAGACGTAGGTCCTCCAAAGACACGGTAAGGAGACGAAGAAGCAACATCTTCCCTTGTTTATTCTTCCCTCTCTTTCCTCTTCTTCTCCTCCTCCTCGTCTTCTGTCTCTACTTTCACCCCTCTCCTTTCTCCTTCTCTGTCCTACATCTCCATATCCGACCGCGAGAGAGTGCCATGCTCCACTCACTCATTTCCACATGGCTCCGCGGCCTCTGCCATGTGTCTGTCCGTTCACCATCGATCAGCCATCACCATTTAGCATCTGTAGGTCCTTTAAAGGCCGGAGGGCATCAGTACAGGAACTCAGGTCAGGCCAGGCCAGGAGCTGGGCTCTGAATTTGGGCAGGGGTCACCCCAGGTGTCCAGGATTTTTGGGGTTTTGGTGAGATTAGTGACGTGTTCCTCTGGAGGAGGGGGGGGCGACAAAAGCAAGCAGTCTGCCAGTGTGTTTTGTCTTGGGCTGCTCTTCCTCCCTGCCTCTGGTTTGGACGTAGATTCTGGCGATTGTGTCCTTTTTTGGTGGCGTTGTGGTGTGTGTGTGTGTACCGTATGTAAGCGTTTAAATATTTGTGTTTGTATCCTGTCCTTTTGACTGCTTGATCCTTCGTATATACATCGTTTCTTTGCATCAATCCCGCCACCGCACCGCGTTTGGGTTACAGTCGTTGTTGGTTTGCTTTTAGTTTGAAAAGCATGCGCTGGTGTTTTGTTTTTGTTTCTCCAAAATCCATTTCCAAGGTAGTCATGATGACCAGTCCTCCTGGGAAGAAAACTAATGTGTTGTCTTATTTATCAACATCTATTTCAGGATTACACTCATGGATTTCTATTAATCAATTTACTTTTTGCTTTGTCATATTTTGTTTGTCATAATTCTTGTTTATTTTTCAGTGTCCTCGTGGTCTGAACTGTGCATGCCTCTTTCAGGGTATATTTTCAGGTGGTGAAGACTGTCTTCTTTTATGATTTAATCATGTTTTTTTACGGGCTACAAACTCGGTGAAGCCTTAGACTCTCACTGTGTTACAAACACAAGCTATTATGGGTTTTTTTTCTAAATCACTTTTTACACCATCTCTATATCTTTGCTTGACTCCTTTGTTGCAGCACAATGAGAGTGTCAGGTTTTCTCCATTCCTTCACAGTTCAGTTGAAAAATCCTCTGCTCGTTGCGGTCGGGAGATTGTGCTCCACAAGCTTGGAGTGCTCTGACAAACCAGTGACCCGCAGTCATTTGTGCCCAGCTGCTCCGCCAGACATAGCTGGTCGCTGACCAAATCTGGCATGAGAAAGAAAAAACAGCAATAACCCCTGGAGATAGCACAGACACCTTCGCAGAAAGGCTGCTTTACTAACATTGTTTTGAATGTATTTCTCAGGGGAGATGTAGCCTATGGAAGTTAAGCTAACGGGTCACAAAGTCAAAAGTATTTTGTCTGTTTTTATTTGATCTCCTGTCTTTCTCTCTCTCTTGTCTTTTTTTATGAATGTTTCTGCTTTGAACCAAACAACCTATACTCTCCCCTGGAGGTTTCTCAATAGAATTGGTCTCGTTTGAAGAGATGAAGAGTGGGATCGCCATTGTTAATCATTTGTCTGTGTGAAGGCTCGGATGCTGGTTTGGGAGCCCTAGAGGGGAAAAAAGAATGTCTTAAAGTGGAAAAATAAAAGGATTTAGTATAATCAAAAAAAAAAATGCTCCAAATGAAAGATTTGCCATCCTCAGTGTTTGACCTTTATTTTGATTTTATATAAATGTTCTTCTTTTATATTAATGGATATCAATGGACTTGAGTGTCAGTGTCCCTCACCCACATGCCACACTGCTCCTCTCTCCCTCTGCAAGCATGCCAATGACTGTAACTGTCATAGCTGTAGTAACAGTAGAAGAAGTAGAAATACTCTTTGTAGTTGTGCCATATATTAAGAAGAACCGCCATACGTGTATTGGATATTGGATAAGTAGCTTTATAACCATTTACTGTGGTTGTGATGTCAGTGAAGTGTCTCTCTTTTGCTGGTCCACTTGACCCCAGTAGGGTGCGCTGTTAGCAGGTCCTCACGGTACAAGACATGAAGAGACCCAAAATAGGGGCTGTAAGCCATATGATGATGCAACTCGCGGGTCAAGGGGATGAGGGACATCCACTCTGACTCCTGTTAATTTTGACAATTTAACAGTACATACTATTCAGTCTGGATGTTGCCCCATCCGTCAGCATGTCAGTTGCATCATAATAGCTTCTGAAGCTCATATGCTTGAATGTATTGGCTCTATCAGCTTGAAACGAGAGGCACTTAAATCTACCTAACCTAAGATCTTGCTTAATTGAGAAAGACAAAAAGTACATAAGAAATGGGTACACTGAGGCAAGACTCTTCCCTGTTTTGGTTCTGCAGTGCAATAATGTCTGTTCATTTGGAATGCGTTGAATGTCCAAAAACAAAAAGATGTGTCCTTTGACATTGGATTATGAAACAGATTTTTTCCCAACACAGTGCTGTGTATGTCAGGATTATGATTGGCATGTTGGAAATCAGTTGGACTATAAAGAACATAATGTAGCTGAGTTTGTTACTCCACCCAACTTACTGTGTTCCAAAACATGAAGCTACGCATAAACCCCCTCCAGCATGTTACACGCTCTATTTATGATGTAATCGACCACAATGTTCAATGAATTATTGTTTCATCGGGTTTCTTGCTTATTAGCAGAAAAAGCAGCCTCAGCAATGTAGAAATATGGCTTACTGTCAGACAACGCACTCAAAAGACTTCAGTCAAAAGCAAAACCACTGTTGCCATAGAAACTAAGCACCTGCATGGAATCGGGATCTTGTTTCCCCTCTCAGCACTGTAGATGCCTATAATTCAACGCACTCTGCTTTAAAAGAAGCACAGTGAAGCAGGGACTGGATGTAAGAGTCCGGCACAACAGCACATTTGTGATCAGCCTAAAATTCATCTTCTCCTCATCAGATGCTAAAATTAGAGCATGCGTGCAAGTGACTGCGGGGAGATAAATGAGCGGTCCTTTTTACCCATGGCAGGAAATGATCACCCGTGTCGTCAGGCTAAAAAAAAAATAAATGATGCCTGATACAAATGTGCTGTTGTCTAGACTCAAGACCTTACATCTGCTCCCAACTAGCCCACCTCAGGCACAACCAAACTGCTTTACAAAAAATCTGTAGAGATTACACATAAACAACAAAAATAGGGTGTGCCTCAGAGGGGTTAGAGAACCCCCCTGCTTCTACATTTCTGCAGAAATGAAGCACAGGTGTTCATAACAAAAAATGAATGTTTAGATAATTAAGGTAACTAGCTTTATTTAAAAAAAATGCTACATGCTGCTTTTGTCACAAAATGACCCTGTTATATGTGTCCCTTCCTCCTCCCTCCCCATTTTTCTTCACCTCTGCAGCAGTACCCACCCACTGACATCACGGGCCAACTCAACTTGTCTGACCCGTCTGTCAGCACTGTGGTGTAAAGAGAGGGAGACACTGATCGCTCCCCGAGGAGAGAGGAAACGAGACGAACGGAGGAGGGAGTGGAGGCGAGAGGAAGGGAAAATACCCATCTCCTCGTTCCCTTCGCCGCCCAAGCCGAAGCTTTCATTTCACCGACTGCCAACGGAGCTTTTGAGGAAAACGCTTGCTGAAGAAGTGGCTGAGAACACTGAACTTGCACCTTCTTTAAAGCCAGGATTACCTGGCGTTAGATGTTTGTAGGGTCCCTGAGCATGCACAGAAGAACCCATCCGACTCACATATACAATCTTTTCCTTCCGTATGTTATTAGCTAACTTATTTAACCTTGTTTTTGTCCATTTACCCACAAAAATTTTACTTAATGTTTGATGTTAACTACTTTCAAATTTCCTGACCAGCTGTATAACTTTAGCAAGCCAGGTTTAGTTTAGTTAAGTTTATGGATTAACCAGTTTTGGTGCAAGTACTTAACATATCACTTCCAATTAGGGCTTAGATACCATAGTACTCTCTAGCATTTCTACACAACATATACTGCAATACAAGATGTACTGTAAGCTTCAATGGATATCAAGTATTTTTAATAGGAACTACCTGTGTTTTTATCTACACAAGGTTTTTATTGGGAAGCACTAATAATGGCCCTAATGACGAGGATATGACTAATCCTGTCTACCTGTGAAGATGATAGCAGCATGTGTGTGCTTGTATATGAAAAAGAGCTTTATGTATCTGAATGATGAAACTGATTATTGTTATTTTTAAGGCTATATACCAGATTCTGTAATTGTTTGAACTGTATGTATTCCCCTTTAATTTTGTACCGATCTGCCAAATGCATGTTTTTTTAATTTCTAGAAAGAACTCAATTTCTTAAAGACAATCTGTTAAGCTTTACTACTATTTATAGCAAGAAATAAGCAGGTGAATATATGAAATCACAGATCAATTTGCCATCTGATGAAACAGTTCAGTGAGGCTGGTGTGTTTACATCCAAACAGGTTTTGAGACACTCAGCCTTGAGCCGAGTTACGCTTGGGGACACCCTCTCTCTTCCTCTCTCCTGCCGCAGCAGTCTTTCTCATTTCCAGTCTCCAAGGGGTTGCATCAAAGGGCCAGGTTTTTCACCCAACCAGCACTCAGTCTTTCATGTAAAACCTCCTCCCAGAGCAGCGTCGGGGAACTTTTGCACGAAGGAACCTGAGTGAATTGAAGGCGTGGCTCAGCTCGCAAGCTAGTGTGCAGGTCTTGGTTAGGTGCAAAAACAGGCCATTTCCCATTTTCTGGAGGTGAGAAACCACTGCTGTTTGTCGAAAAGACTATCACATCCGCTCTGGTGTCTGGCACTGCATAGCACTTTATGCTGAGGGGTCTCCCAAACTGTAAAAAAAACAAAAACACAACAGTTATTGATTTACCAAGAAACTATAACAGAACCACTGTCACATCAGTCAGGCATATTAACTTCTCCACGTTACAATGTTTTAATTTCACAAATCTCTTTTTCATTTTATTAGAAAAACACTAGTATACACAACATCTTTATATGAGAAATAATAACACCAAACCACCACACAAAGTGCTAAAACAGAATTTGATTTCTAAAACGTGAACTGAGAGTTTGCTTGTGATTATGTTCTCATTCTGGCCTATGCATGCTTACGTGTTACTTTCAGTGCTTTGGGTTGTTGTGTACAGTTAACTGAGATGTGTGGGGGCACTTTAGTTGAATGAACTGTAAATAGAGTCTGGTTCAGTGTAGATAGGCTTGTATTATGACTGCAGCTGAGAATGTCTTGAACTATAGTTACACACACACACACACACACACACACACACGGGCATGCATCATCATCACCACACACACACACACAAACATGCACACACAAACGCAAAACCCCTTAATGGAGGAATCACTTGTTTTGTTACCTTTTCCAGTTAAGATCTTACATTAAATCATCTTGTTTATACCACTGTAAATAAACTATACTTACATTGCCAAGTCTAACCAATGCTGTGATTTTATTATTTTTAGGCTTGAAAACTAACAGTAATTCACAATATCAATCTGTCAGTTTTGTTTTTGATTCAGTAAATTGCACAGACTATCAAATGTCTACCCTGGTATCACCAAACTAATTTACAAATGTGAATTATCTGCCAGAGCAGATATTTAGGAAATAACCGACTGAAAAATGCCCATACAACTTACAATTTCCCAGCGCCCAAGGTTAAATCCTCAAATTACTTTTTTTTGTCCAACCAACAGTCAAAAAGCAAAAGAGATCCAATGAACAATTACAGAAAACAGAAAAAAAGCAGCAAATTCACACATGTGAGAATCTGGAGCAAGTTTGGCATGACTGATAAATGACTTAAATTATTAATTGACATTCAAAATTGATGGCAATTTATTTTCTTGGATTATTTTATCATCATCATTTCAAAGAAAATTATTAGGACTAAGCAGAAATGTTGTAATCCAGCACGTGCTGCTATTAACTGCTATTTTAAGAGTTTCGAGGGGGTTTAAAGTTACAAATGAAAGAACGTAAGCACATACTGTACCAAATGAATAAAAGTGTAGGCCTATACAGAAAAAAAATTGAAAAGCTACAAACATACATACAAAAAGAAAATAATGCATATATGTGTATATACTGTATACATATATACATACAGTATATACGTATACCAAGCAAGAGAGAATAAAAAAGCCTAAGAGCATCAGTTAAAAGAGAAAAGTAGGTCTTGGTGTGCAGGGGTCCAGTGGTGAAATAGCAGTGCATGATGGAGATTTATAACAATTTTGTGCTCTGGCCCAACAGTCATCCCACACAGGAATATGTGGACTTTTATAATACATAAAATACCAGTAATAATACTTGTAGTACTTCAAAAACAAAATACAAGCTCCATTAATTGAATGTTTTTGTTTTGTTTTTTACATTTATGACACTGTAATGTGAAAGAGGTGCCAGTATACTAAACTCAGGAGCTCTATAGAGCATTTAGTTTCTGTAATATCTTGTTGTTTTGGTTCTTTATTTAACTAACAGCTTTTTTAACCAACCCTTCATAGAAAACCGTAAGCAGCAATTTCCAGCATACAATCCGAGTGTTTGAGACCTCTCCACCAGGACGCAGCAGAGATCCAAAGCGCATGGCTGGTGAACATAGTAGTGGAGCAGCTAAGAGCCAGATATTACCCTCAGGAGTGCACCAATCAGAGCTAAAAAGTGATGTTTGGACAATACTGGACATGCTTTTGTTAGGTGGAGAGAAGCATTACTCCAATGGGATGATTATGTTGCTCTGTGTCTGGTGAATGGGTATGAAGGTTATAATATGTTAGCCATAATAAAACATGTTCCAATGTAACCAATCGTATATCAGGGGCATGTTTCAGTGGCTAGTGCCCAGCTGGTACAAAATGCTACAAACAACTATATAAAACAAACATCAGTGTTACATCTGACACACTGTATTGTGTTTTGTTTGGTCCATCATTTTAGTCCAGAATGAAATCTAAGATGGTAAACATTTCCTGCTAAACATCAGCATATTAACATTGTCACTGTGAGCATCCTAACAATAAGAATAGTTTGTTGTTAATTTAGCTCAAAGCACCGCTGTGCCTATGTACATATTGTAGCATTATATTTAAAAACAAACTGCCAAGCATCATCAAGGATAATCTGTAGACAAAATAAGGAGTTCTGGGGGTTGTTGGTCTAACACTGACATACATATTAATAATCTGACTCTTTCAGTAGCTGAAAGGATAGCAATGTTTTTATGGGTACTCCTGGGAGGAACATAGCACCAAAACAGTCACTGTCACAGTCAGTGTAATATTTAATTAAATTTCAAGTGTCATCATTAATTAGATCATAGCTGTCATTGTTAATTAATGACATACCTTGTGGAAGCAGAGGTGGGTTGCAGGATATTGTCAGGTGAGACATTTGTTCTGGTCCATTGACCGTCTTCCCTGATCACAGCTGACACTCTGTCACCTCCTGTCAGAGACATTAATGTGACTCAGAGGGCTGATTGATTGTCACAGTTTGCTCCTCAGTCCCTCTCTTCACTGTTTCATACCCGGCCCTCTGCACTGCTCTTTGTCGTCCCCCCCAGGCCTGACTGCCACACCCAACTGCACACCTGTTTTCACTTCTGGGTTGAACTACATGTTTCCTCAAAACGGCGTGCAAGGGTGCCAGCGGGCTTAGAGCTATGTTGGGTGTGTCAGAGGTGTTGCCAAATTGGCAGCAAAGTGTATATAAACACAGCCACTGGAGTGCAGTGCGATGTGTACACAACAGGGTGTTTGTTGGGGCTGAAACCAAAGGCGGTAAGCCAGAGATCGGACAGTGAAGCCGACCAAAGCCTTCATGGAGGGATCCATGTAGGCCCAAAAATGACGTCAAAACCCTGTGACACCCCATCGCACATGAGAGATGTAACCGTATTGCTTAGATTATAAACTCTCGGTTATCAAAAAAATCACAGCAATCAGTGACGCTGCTTTGGTGTTTGACAGGTGAACCTTGTAGGTGGGCTGATTAAACAGTGACAATCCGAGTCAGACTAACACACTGAGCCATGAAACTTTTTGTTGGCGCATTTATACAGCTACCAGAATTACGGTGTTTCTGCAGTTGTTCTACGTCATTAAACCACGGTTATGCTGCGCGATCATGCGCAGTAGACGCTGGTGCCAACAGGAAGTGGCCCTGTAGTAGTATTTTATTGGTCCAAAACTGGCTTCACTGCTCTCCATTCAAATCAGCGGGGTGGTTTAGTCCAGTAGCTTAATATACTGTCTATGGATGAAGCTGGCCCTGGCTTACTCTGCTCACTCCTCACTTGCAACTATAATTGCCTCATCACCCACTCTCGAGGTGAGTGCGGTTCTCCCGACTTCCCAAGAAATTCGACTTAAGGGGGTATTCCCATTGAAATTTTGAACTCGGAAATTATGACTTCCCATGTCAAATGGAACGCATCATTATTCCGCACAGACAGGACACTAGAGTCCGGTAAGACGAGGGGAGGAGGACTGTGTATCTACATAAATAATGATTGGTGCTCAAACGCAGCTAAAGTGGATAGACAATGTTTCCCAGATGTGGAATTTTTAATGTTGAGATGTTGAAATCTCCAGTGTTTTTGTCGTTGCTGTTTACATTCTTCCAGATGCTAATTCAAAAAAATGCACTACAGAAACTGTATGAGGTCATCAGCAGTCATATGAGAAAACAACCTGATGTTTTTATTGGAGCTGGTGAATTTAATCCAACAAATCTCAGAACAGTAGCCTATTGCCTCAATTCCACCAGCATGTCCACGTCCCCACCAGAAGAACAAACACGCTGGACCACATCTACAATACAGTCTATGGTCTACACCAATATTCTTGGCAGCTACAAAGCCCTCCCTCGTCCCCATTTTGGTTTATCAGACCATATTTCTCTGCTTCTTCAGCCCACTTACACCCAGCTGATTAAAAGAGTCAAGCCAACAATTAAAACAGTGTGGACAGATGAATCTACAGCAGCTCTGTGGGACTGTTTTGGGAGCACAGATTGGAGTATGTTCAGAGAGGCCGCCGCCCAGGAGAGCCACATCAACCTAGAGGAATATACATCATCAGTGACATCTTACATCAGCAAATGTGTTGATGATGTGTTGATCACTAAGACGATAAAATCATTCCCAGCAGCAAAACCAAGGAGCTGATCGTTGATTTTAAGAAGGAGATAGGAGAGAGCGGGACATAACACATTTTGTTTTAGACTAAATAATAAAAAAAGGTATTTGAGTTTGATTAATCATATTTTTATACAAGCAACACACACATCTCTGCTACGAATAAACACTTGAAGTTTATTTCTAGGACCTACAATTCTTATACTCCTTTTGCGCTGAATGTTGACAGAATGAAATGTCATTTACTCCATGGGCGGGGTTAGTTGCAACTATTGCTATAAAAGTCTGTTAATTCAAAACTATTCTATCTGATTAAATTAAATTATATCTAAATACCATAGGATTATGGATCTATATATGACAGATATCCACACCACCACTCCATCTAACCCTCAACCAGCCATCCATCATGAGTCGATAAATAGATAGATATTATAATATAAGATATTATAATATAATTTGTAGATATTATCTCTTTCCATCCATGAAAATATATATCATATAAGGAAAGAGAGTTGTCTTTTCATCTCAATCATGGTCTATCATGGATTTATATTCAAATGGATGGACCAAAGGATAGATGGATTATGTGCACACATCAAAATATATGTAAAAATTGGCCGGGTTTAGTTGTAACACAGTGTTACCGCTCTGATGAGTTTGTCTTTAAGTATGATTAACACTTGCAAGTAGTTGGTCAGGTGTTTCAAAGAATGTTTTAGGCAACAAGATGGTTATTAATGTAATTCATGATTGGATTTAGTGACTTACACACAGCTCAGTAATCGAAAAATAAGTATGATACAGAAATTTACTTTTATGCCACGAAAACACTCACTTGACAAAAATAAGTCCAATCTCTCTAAAAAATTGGTGACAGACCGTATGCTGGCTCCTTGATAAACTGACCGGAAACGCAACCTGCTCGACCCTGTGCAACTATGTAAAATGTCGGTGTGACATATCACCCCGCGTTAGGCTGTGCACCACGCTCCCCTAAAGACTGTTTACATCATTGGTGCTGAGGTGGAGCAGGTGAACAGTCTCAGGTTCCTGGGAATCAGCATCACAGAGAAACTGAGATGGTCATCTCACATCTCCACGCTGGTGGAGAAATCTGAGAAACAGCTATATTTCTTGAGGAAGCTTAAGAAGTCCAAATTCCCGCACCAAGTTCTTGTCAGCTTTTACAGAGGAGCAATAGAAAGCATCCTGACTGGAAACATCACTAACTTGCGTGGGATGTGCACGGCCCAAGACCGGAGGGCTCTGCAGCGGGTGATTAAAACTGCTCAGAAGATCACTGGAACCCATCTCCCAAGCATCATTGATATCTGTGAGGTGCCTACGCAGAGCCCAAAGGATATGTTCACCCTGCTGCCTTCTGAGAAGAGAAGTTTCAGCTGCCACACCACCAGACTGCAGAGCAGCTTTTTCCCCCAAGCCATCAGACTCTTAAACTCAAATTCATCCTGAACACTGCTCCAGTGATTATAGTTTACTTCTGTTAACCATGTGTTTATAATTGATTCCGTATTAATGTAATATTGTCTGCTACGTAGCAGAAGGGAGTTATAAAAGCTTTGCAATCCTGTTTTTATTTATTGGATTAAGGCAATAAAACCAAGTTAGTAAGAACAGATTCAGTAACACAGAGTCATAAGATAATTTCAGACCTTTAATTTCTTAAAGGCTTTTTACAAACAATTTCGTTTTCACACAGACATTTGACTTGTCATTGTAGGAAGAGCACAGGCGTTACTTTATTTTATTTTTTATAAAGTGGCAGAAACAACAAATGTTCTATAGTCAGCGAGGACTTATATATGGACAAGCCAACTATTACTGTTTGCTGATTCATTGTATTTGTGAACAACATGGGAAAGACAATGTAAAGATGACAAAACATTGTCTGGTGTGTGTGTATCATGTATGATTCAACATGTGTAAGTTTGTCATTAGACAGGAGGTAGTAAACTAGCTGTGTGTTTGCTATGTCTTTATTTTTCCAGGAGAATCTATCTAAACTCAGATTGACGGTTCTTTAACAGTATTTGTTTTTTTTGCAATATTCAGCATATTGCAAAGGATGCAATATAAAAAGCAGTGCCCCCAGAGACAACATGAATAGCTCAAGTGCAATATTCAGAAGCTCAAGTTCAAAATAACTCATTATACATTCTGCTAAATTTAGACACTGTCTGAACAGGATTTCAGCAAAAATAGACTTTTAAAAAAGTAAATGTACAAAGAAAGTATGTGCCTCTAACGAATACTTAATTTCCATGCTTTACTCAGACATTCAAATGAGCATGCAATTGAGAAGTCAGGTTTAATGCTGCACCCATTCACATGCAAATACTAAACTACTAAAACAACAACCATCCCTGCCGTCCAATAGCCTACAAGCCGGAGCTCTGCCAGTTCAGGCCACCCCTTGCTTTTCTTGTTAATGATTAAATAATTGTGAAACATGTGATTTTCTGTCCCCGTCTTCACTAAACAAGGAAATGACGAGGTGGAGATGTGGAGCTCCGACCTAAATGGGCTAACGGTTGAATGTGAATGAACTAAGACATTTTCCCCTCCATGGCACCAGTAGCCTAGCCTTGGGGCTGTTTTCATTCACTGTAGGTTTTAGACACATGGAGGAGGACTTGGCTTGGGACATAAATTCAGGTCAGGCGTTGCTAGCTCAAGTGAAATATAAAACAGGAGGCAGGCAGCAGGTGAAGCGTGAACCACAGGCGGGCTGTGATAACGCCTAGCCATCGGGAAGCCCTACTGCTCCCACTTGGCCGCTATTAAGTCAGTGCTCAAATTTCCAGCAGACGCAAAGAGGAGCAGCACTTCTCACTTTCACTTCATGGCTCAGCGCTCGGCTCATCCTCTCGTCCCCGTCGCACTGCTGGTGTTTGGACTTGTTGCAATCCTGCTCCTGACTATCCCCACTGAGGATGTCCAGGAGGCGCCGGGGTTCATGGTAAGGTCTGTTCCATTGGTTATTTTTGGATCAGTGTTTATCAGCGTGTTAAGTTGTCTTAACCAAAAGCTCTGTTGTGCACAAAAGGTGTTACACAGATATATGAGGCATTAGATGATTATGTGACATAGTTCTAATTGGATGATGGCCTAGTTTACTCTTTTGTTTCCCTGCAAGTTCACAATTGAATCCCCTGTCTTTGAAGTCTGGCGTTGGCTTCATATTCTCTGCTCAGCCATTGAACCTCAAGGCTATAGAAGTCCAGGACTGACAATATTAAATAAAGTCAAATTGAAAGTGTATCTGTAAATTCTGATGCAAAAAGAAAAGGGCAACTCCAAAGAAACCCTATATGAATGAAATGAAACGGACTGCATTTTCATTTTCAAACCATCAGTCAGCAATAATCTTACCTGTAGAAACATGAAAATGCTATCTTGCTGCTAAATGTATGTTATTTGCTTATCACAAGGCTGCCTGTCATCAGTAATGGTGTGATATGCACTCAGGTGATCAACTGAATAGTTGCCTCATTGTAGTGAAACGAATGGTATTAAAGACTAAACCTGTGGCGCGGTTGGTGAATTAAGAAAGTATTAATGAACTGAACTAGTGAAACACTGTTTTGTTTTATTTTTATTATTTGTAATTGTGTATTTGTATTGTTTATATTATTTCCCCTTTATATCTAATAACTGCAAGAAAGACATGAAACTGTAATGTAGTCCTTTATTGGCATTCAGAGCAGGATTGCGGCGCATGTGAAATCCAGCTTTGGTTCCCCCTGCTCCCTCATTTTTGTGTTACTGGCTAAATATCCCATGGTTCCTTTTATAGTATAACCGTAACAGCCCTTTCACTCTGCAACAATGTAGTCAACCAGTCACAACAAAAGGACACAGAAGGGGTTTTCTTACATTTTTCAGGGAGACAAGTACAACAGATTCCATAGTTTATCACATGAAAGGACAAAACAGATCATTAGAGCTCCTCTTTGTCTTTGGCAAGTGTTAGAGCGAGTCCTTAACAACTGACTGCACAGCAGTAATGAGAAAATATGACAAATAACAAGGCAGGCTTGCACATGATGCTACTGTTCACCTGTTGTACTGATTTTAGGAAGTTGTGTGTTTGCAAATGCCTGACTGTGGAAAGGTGTGTGTGCGTGTGCGTGTGCGTGTGTGTGTGTGATCCCTTTCCTTTGCTCGTCAATTGCATACCTTCTTGCATGGCTGGATTTATACACATTCTGAGGTTCCTTTTATTTAAGCAGACGTCAAAGTAGCTGTAATCTGTGTCTACATTGTAGTGAAGGTGGAAGGCACTGAGCAACAGGTTTTTCATCACAGTTTTTGATCGCAGTGGCATTTGAGGAAGTATTTTCTGCAAAAAAGAACAGGAAAGTCAGTACTTTTTCTTCCTCTAATGCTTCAGATAATGGTAGAAAATTATATATTTTATAAGATGTAAAAATCTTCTTCTCAGTTATTGATGATGATCTTTATTTCCCAACATGTCTTCATACCTAAATGAAACAACATATATGACCGCTCCCCAACACGAACTATGACTATGAGTACCAATAAACGTGGGTAACAGTGTGAAGCAGTTGTAGGAATCCACTTGGTAGGTTTAGGAAAAGATCATGGTTTGGATTAAAATAAGTAGTATGTTACATTAGGAAGTAAGTAAGTAAACTTTATTTGTATAGCACCTTTTCACAGATAAAAAAATCCAGTGCATCACAATAAAATGTGATACAATACAACAAAGTAAAATACAATGCATAAGAAAATTTAAATACAAATGGCAAACACAGAACAAAAAACCCTCGTCTAACTTGAATCCTGCTTGAATAGTACAGTCTGCCGTTGCTTTTTTAAAAGAATCGACAGAATTCACACAATGTAGAAAGGGAGGCAATGCATTCCACAGCCTAGGTGCCACTGCTCGGAACGATCGATCCCCTCTGGTTTTAAAATGAGTGTGGAGAACCACTAACAACCTCTGACCTGATGACCTCAGGCTACGGGTGGGAGTATGAAGCTGTATCAGCTCAGAGATGTAGAGCAGGGCTCTAAAAGTAAGAACCAGGATTTTAAATTGAATTCTAAACTGGACTGGTAACCAGTGAAGTGATGCTAAAACAGGTGTGAAGTGAGCACTTTTGTGAGTTAAAAGAGTTCTGAACAGCCTGGAGACAGTAAAGCTCCTTCTTTCTCAAACAAGTAAAAAGATTGTTACAGTAATCTAAACGAGAAGGAAATAAAAGCATGAATGATCATCTCCAACTCACCCTTTGACACCAGGTGTTCTTAATTTGGAAATATTCCTTAGTTGGAAGAAACAGTTTCTGGCCAATTGTTTAGAGTGGACATCGCTGAATCAAAAACCGCACCTAAATTCACATGATGTAACTCGACATATCGCACGTATACTCAAAATTTTTCAGCATGGACTTCTGGTTTCACATGGGACAAGAACAGTGGTCTCCTGGGTGAAAGTCTGTGTTTGACCGTCAAAATAGTATTGTTTAATTGTAAGTATCTGTTATAAAGTCATAGATATCTTCAATTTAAGTTTGATTATTGATATCTCAAATAGTCGAAATGTAATTATAGATATCTTGAATTAGAGTTTTGACTATGTGAAATGACGTTGCAGATCTCTGTAATGACGTCAGAAGCTAGAACAAGTTGTTGGAGGTTGGAGACACATTGTTTTTTTCCTTGAGCTTATGATGGAAGTGGCTAACAAGTGAGCCATCTGGCTGCCTTCTCATCTCTGAGAGTTGTAAATGTCTACCAAACTCGCTAGTGAACAAAGCTCTCGTTTGCCAGAAATTCCTCTATGATAAGCTCTTGCTATTTCATGGCATTTTCTCTTATCCACAAAGGCTGCAAGGTTGAAAGGCTGAAAAGTCATAATGCTGCATACTACTGAGAACTGAAGCGGAATTCCTTTTGATTCACTGTGAAGTTGAAGAGTAAAACATATGTTCCCATTTTAACGAGTCCCAGATCCAAAAGGTTTCTGTATGTTAAATGAATCTTTGCCCTCAATACATGCCTTATGAACACTCCTGCAGCTGTTTCAATATGTAAATTTCCTTAGATTGCCTTGCAAAATGAGTATGTTTTTGTTCTGGCTCATGTCACACAATTAAAAAAAAAAAAGTATTCTTCTTCACCACACAGAATTGCCTGAATGCAAGCAGGGGAGCAAAAGTGTAATATAAGCTCCTCTAACATTTTCTTGTACACACAAAAAAAAACAGGAGTTGTCTGATGGGAAAAACAAAATTTTATTGTGAAATTCCTTTTTATTTGTTTTTGTTTTTAAAGTCAAATCAGAATACACAAAGGTGAAGATGTGCAATGTTTAAATGTAGGCTAATAGTCCTGTGTTAGTGTTTGTAGATGGGCTGCAGTGTAATCTGTCCACCACATGTGTATTTGTGTCTTTGAACATTGTCATTAACCTATTCTGCAGCGACATGCCTTCCAGATGCCAAAATTTAGGCCACCTCCCCATAAAACTTTCATGTTCTCATGTTTACTTAACTGGACTCCCTTTTTAAGGCTGTAAACTTAATGATCTTTCAGAAATGCTGCTTTTACCTCTTTGTTTTTTTTCTGCCTGTTACTCTCTGCAGTATGGGATTGTCTTGGATGCTGGATCTTCACACACAGCTTTGTATATTTACAAGTGGCCAGCGGACAAGCAAAATGGCACTGGTGTGGTCACCCAGCACAGTGAATGTGATGTTAAGGGTAAGTGTAAGCACTTTCTCCACCAAAATCCAAAACACTCTGGTACCAGGGGACAGTAGTCCGTAGTCTAGCAAACAATATTCACAGTCAAAATAAAGAAGGAACCATGGAAATGTTTTAAACCACTGCTGCATCTCCATCTGTTCCTCCTCTGTTCATTCTTATGCTTAGTATGTTGTAGTTTGGTTTACCAATATATGGCTTCTGTTTCACGCTTCATAAGTTAGCTGCCTGGTTTGTCATGATGACCATTAGCAGCTTATATTTTGGCATATTTCAGCAAGATATTTCATAGATGATTGTTTGGAACATACAGAGCGTACACATAAACCACAAAGAAAAGTGGTTTATACGGAGCCCCTAAATTCCCATAAAGTGATATTTTTTTTATCTTGTGCCCATAACATATCTTGTTTGTAAAAGTTATTATCTTGTTCATCAAAGTGAATTAGGCTATCTTGTGTGCACACAAGATAATAACTTGTGCGCACAAGATATCAAGTTACTAAGTTACAAGCTTTTAAAAATCACCTTTCCGGATTAATGCTGCAGAGGTGGCGCAGAAATATGTTGTAAGAAAATGTAAGGCTGTTAAAACATGCAAGTGGACAGACGAGAAGTAGAATGAGCTGTGGGAGTGATCTGAAAGGTTGTTATTGATGAATCATTTTCTCTGGGTTGCTGTTGAGATCTTTTGTTACGATAGTACTGAATTCATGTCATGTGGAAGTAGGCCTACGGTGTCTAATTTGTAAATCCCATTCAACATGCAAGTTGTAAGCATGATTGATAATGTCCATCATTTAAGGTAATTAAGGTTAATCGATATAGTGCCATATTGATCATAAACAGTGTTTTGAACCCTTACACAACTGTTTTGAGTTGCCCAATGAACGCGCATAACTGCTGAGAATCAGCTACAGCTGCCGACATCTGTAAAAGCGCATGGTACAAACCTTTTAGGACACAGTTTTTTTTTGTTTGACTATAAATTTAATCTTGTGATAGTGAAATCATACCAGGAATATGCACTTGCTATAACACCAACTATCTACTTTGTTTTTTTGCTTTAAAACTAATAAATTGTATTTTAGAAAGTTGTTTCCTTGTTAAACTCGAGTGCCAACTGTTAACTGTAAATTAAATTATCACATGAATGAGTCAGAGTTGAGTTTTGTGCCCTGCCACTCCCATTATGCCAAAGGGTCTTAATGTTTTCTTGGCTTAGATAAATACATTTTTTCCCATGAACATGGTGTTTACATTGTCATGTTTCATAATTGTAAACAAAAACCCAGTCAGAAGTGAACTTTGATCTGCAGATAGATATCTGAGAATGACATGCAAAATTACAAATTGCTGAATGAAACACAATTTAAGTGCTACAAGAATTCCATAAATATTGGTAACATTTGTTTTCCTCACAATGTATTTATGACGCCTTCTATAACCAGGGACTTCTGGTAACAGTAAAGAATAATTAAGATATTCTTCTTCAAATCAATTTTTCAGGTTAAGTTGTGAAAAGCAATGAATAGGAACATTGATTCAAAGTTCACCCCACAGCTGTGAGTAGATTGTCATGCAGTATTTTTTCGCCACAGACTAGCAGGGACATTTCTGGTATTGTGGGTGTGATCAGTTACATCATAACGCATTTGGGTCACAACAGCTAACATTGTAATGAGCAAACACAAGAACAAGATTCTGCAAGTCTATAAGCTCAGCAGAAGGTTTGTATTAATTTTTTTTTTTTATCCTTTTCACCACTCAGGCAGAGGAATCTCTAGCTATGCAGGGCAACAAGGAGCAGCAGGGCGGAGCTTAGAGGCATGTCTGGACCAGGCAGTGAAGGACATCCCAACAGAAAGGCACAAGCTCACGCCTGTGTACCTGGGAGCCACAGCTGGCATGAGGCTTCTGCAGTGAGTCAGCGTGCGTCTGTGTGACCAGATTATCTCTTTCTGTGTTTGTTTGATTGGTTTCTATGTGACTTTGTTTTTCTTTCACATACAATGCTTCACCTCAGTTCTAGTCCTATTACTGTCTTACAGTATGTAAAAAAAAATAAAACGATAATCTTCATCTCCTCTTTGAAACATAATTATGTACCTTATGCAATATAAGATAGCATTAAAGCATGTAATAGATATAAAATGAATGAACACAGTGAATGAACACTGCCCTGTAATCATGTCAGAGACAGACAGATGAATTTACATGAATTATATTGTTGCCTGTGAGCACTTTCAGAGGGATAAAGACAAAGTGCATTCAAAATGGCATTTCTTGTGTTAACTACACTGAACAAAATTATATACGCAACACTTTGTTTTTTGCCCCATTCATCATGAGCTGAACTCAAAGATCTAAGACTTTCTCTATGTACACAAAAGGCCTATTTTGCTCAAATATTGTTCACAAATCTGTCAAAATCTGTGTTAGTGAGCACTTCTCCTTGGCCGAGATAATCCATCCACCTCACAGGTGTGGCATATCAAGATGCTGATCAGACAGCATGGGTATTGCACAGGTGTGCACTTAGACTGGCCATCTTGATAGCATCTTGCCATACCTATGAGGTGCATGAAGCTTTGAGTGCACAAAGTAGGTGAGGTTTGACTTTATGAAAATGCACAGCAGAAAACAGTTGCCCAATCATTTAGTTGGAAGTGAATATGTTAATCATTTGCTAGTGCAAACATGTCTAAATGCTACAATTTGAGTGAGAGGCAAGACTATTTTCTTTTATCTGTCTGTGCACTCAAAAAATCCCTTTGCACTTGTAACTCCATACAATGTACTTAAATTGATTGTTACCGCTTTCTCCATTACTTCCCCTCAGTGCTGGTTGCAGCTCAGGCTTTTTCTTTCACTGCTGCTCAGAGAAATCTTTGTTAATTGATCTGATAGATTAGTTGATAGGATTTGGGGGCTTGGCATGACAGAGTCTTAAAGGTATTGTTATGATAAACATGACTTGATGCATGCAAAGGATGTTTTGGATTAAACAATTCGAATGAAGAAAAGCAGGAATAAAATGTACTTGCATAATTACTAATATGTAATCGAGTAGAAATCCTGTCTTCAGATGTCTGTATGGAATGAATCCACTTGGGGACGGAGGGAGTAAGACTCTTGTTTCTCCCAACCAGAATGTCCAGCCCAGAGCAGACGGATCAGATTCTGCAGGAAGTGGGACACAAAATCCAGTCCTACCCTTTCAGCTACAAGGGGGCGGCCATACTAAGCGGTCAAGATGAGGGGGCATACGGCTGGGTCACAGTCAACTACCTCTTGGAGAACTTCATAAAGGTGCCATAACTTGTGTGTATATGCTCAGGTTTGGTCCCAACGTTGGTAGGGATGCAAAAATCCACCCCCTACCTTATGAACAAATCTTTGTCAAAATCAGCGGTGGGAGGCATGTCGAAACAGCTGTTTGCGGCTTAGCATAGTCACATGTGTCTCAGCCAGTAACTTGATGTAGCTTCTGGGTGGGCACATTGGAATGATCTAATATGACTTCACTCCAAAGGGAAAGGGAATAAGTTCGCTCAAATATTGGTAGTGACATTTCTGTCCTCCCAAATTTATGATGGGGACATGTCCCCACTGTCCATCTGCAAACCCAAACCTTGCCTACTTGTCAGTAGGCCTTAATCAGTAGGGATTTGTAAAAGTAGCTGCCAGTATTTTGATCTAAATCATCCATAGAGTCAAATACTGTGTCCCTAAGAGCTAAACGCATGGCAGCTTAAACACAGAAAACCCATGCAAACAGACAAAACACAAGCAAATCAAGGAAACATCATTTGGACAACACACACACAGCATTTACAAAAAAATGCTGCACACCCCTGGGGCACACTTGTTGTCCCAGCAAAGAAAAAACACAAAATTTTTTAGTTTAGTTTCCAAAACCACTTACGGATAGCCGCCATAAGTAACTCCATGAGTCACAAACCATGGCGACAACAATGTGTCCTAGCCATGTCCATCACTCTTTAGTGCTCCCTGCAAACAGTTTCCATTGTCATCTGCGCTGCTTTCGATGTTTCTTAATTTGCTTCAGTTTTGTATATTTGCATGTGTTTTCTTAATCTGCAGTACGTGGCGTTCTCAAGGCCACCGGAGTCAAAGGATGATTCATTTAGAAATGATCGATGTGCAGTGAACTAATGAGGGTAATTGTAAGGGTAATTGTACTTTTGTGAACCAGTATGGTGTTAAAAAGCACCATGCATTAGAATAAAGTCCCATTAGTTAGTTAATGTTAAAATATTTGCACTTAAATGTTGCAAAGATTAATTGACTGCGACTACAGGTTTGACACTTTTAAAGCTTATTTAGAGGGTGACTGATGACACCTAGTGGCATCTCCAACAATAATGATCACTATTCCCTCATGTCAGAGGTGGCTACTTGTCAGCTTGTCAGTGGGGATCAATCACTGTATATATTGTATTTATTTATTTTTATATGTTGAGTTCTGGGTGTGTAGCATGAAGGGACTACAAACTTTGTTTCGTTATACAACTTTGTGCTGCATAATGACAAATAAACAGCCTTGTACCTTGAAATTAACAAGACCCCCCCCCCTTTACCTTCTGTTCGGTTTCCATTATTATATCTTTGCAGTATGGTTTCGTGGGGCACTGGTTCAGCCCTGGCAGGCCCACAGTGGGAGCTCTTGATTGCGGCGGGGCGTCTACCCAGATAACATTTGCAACTCAGGAGAAAGTAGAGGACAAAAATGACATGATAAAGCTGCGTCTTTATGGCCAGGAGTACTCTCTGTACACACACAGCTTCCTGTGCTATGGACAGGACCAGGTCCTCAAGAGACTGCTGGCTCATATAGTGAAGGTAATGTAACACCCACACTCAAACTGAAGCAACCCAGAACAGTTTTAATGAATGCTTTGATATAAAGTATCAATGATCAGCTAAAATTTCCCAATAAAAGGTTCTAATTACTGTATAATGGAAGAGAAAATCATAGTAGTAGTCTACAAAGTACATAATTGTGGCACATTGGCCGTGGTGTGAAATAACTCATGTAGCATTGGGGTTCTTATTTATAGTTTGTTGTTTTTTTGTTTTTTAATCGATGTTTTTAGCTTTTAGTATTATTATAGGTTCTAGTATATTTTTACCTTATTTGTTTACTATTTATTTATTTTTAACTTAAGTCATGTAGGTAGATCGCTGTTGCAGTTGTGCAAGGACTGAATGTGGTAGCTGCTGTAACAAATCTAATAAGTATCTATGTGCATTTAAAAATTTATAATTAAAAGTAATAAAAGTATTTTAATGGGTTTGTTGTAATCACTATTTGTCTCTTTCTATCTCAGTCTCAGGGTTACTCTGAGTCAGTCACTCACCCCTGCTATCCTGCAGGCTACAACACAACTTTAAAGTTGAACAGTATATTCAACTCTCCGTGTACATCAAAGTACAAACCCAGCTCCTACAACTCCCAGGCCTTTCTGACAGTACAAGGAGGCGGACATTATGAACACTGTGTGGGCAACGTGTCTGAGATTTTCTCCTTCGACAGCTGCCCCTTCTCCAAATGCTCCTTTGACAAAGTCTTCCAGCCAAATGTCACCGGTAGCTTCATGGTAAGAAAGACAGAAGGGAGCAGATACAGAGGGCTTATACACACTGATAGCATCATAGACTAAATTGTTAGCGACTCTTACAAAGTTAGAATTAGTTCCCATTTTAGGAACCACAGACAGCCATGCTGTATTCTGTATGTCAAAGATTAGAAACATTGCAAACATGACTGTACAGCACACAAACAAAAATATAAAAGATGCTTGCATATTTTAAATGGAAACCTATGAACAGACTGGACTTGAGAGCACAAGATGTGACATTTCAGTAAAAGTAGCAACACCAAAATATAAAAATATTCTATTACAAGTAAATTGTAATAGCTATCAAATAATTATATGGAATGGTCTGTTTTTAATTTATTATAAGCATGTAAATCAGAGAGAGAGAGAGACGTAAGCACGCACGCACAAAAATGCAGTGTTGGTGTTAAAAGTGAAACTAATTAGTATCTTTATAAGTTCATCATATTTATAATGTAGCATGTCTTACATGCAAAGTAACTGTCAGATGATTCAGATTTTTGCTTATCTGAAATGTAGTGGAGGAATTGTAATAAAGTATGGTACTTGTACGCTTAAAGAATTGTGTTACCTAAAGAGCAGAGAATAACTGCACGGAAATCTGTGTTGTGACTTTGTACAGATGTACTGACAACGTACAGACTTTGACAGTAGGCGACACACTAGAAGAAGCACAACATGGCCTCAACTCAAAGTGCATAGAAAAATATAGGCTGTACACATTATTTGTGTCATTCTATTGCTATTAAAGCTAAATTATTTTCGGTGTAGTAATTGCCCCCAGTCTGAGTTTTGTATTGTCCTCTTTCTATGTTATCAGGCGTTCTCTGCATTCTTCTACATTCACTCCTTCCTGCAGCGGATCACCGGCATCAGTGTGCATACTCCTTCACAACTGCAGGAGGCAGCTGCAACTGTGTGCAGGATGACATTCGAACAAGTAATGTTCTTTTCTGTTTAGGTTCTGTTTAATTAGAATATCTCATTCAGTGTCGGGTCAAAGATGTCAAGATGAAATATGTTGTTCCACTTTCTACATTCATTGGATGATGAAGTCATCAATAGTAATACATTTGGCGATCCTTTAAATTTTTTATCCACTGCCATCAGGCCCATATTTGATTAATTACTAAATATCTAAACTAAGATAATGAACATGGTAAACATTATGCTGTTAGGGTCAGCAGCATAGCACTAGAGACAGGGACTTTAAGGCCCAGATGCAGACACTATGACGCAGAGGTGTAGTTGAGTGGTGTTAATTTACATGAAACATGAAAAACTTACATTTGAACTGTGGTTAATTGCCTGATGACAACAGAACATTAATTCATAGTGTGAACTGCTCCAAGAGTCCAATAGAAAGTAAAAATCCAAACAAACAGAGGAAACACGGGAGCCAACATACACAGTGCAGAACAATGAACACGCAACAAGTGAGAGGGTAAGACTAACTGAATACAGGAAGTAAAACAAGACAAGGACACTAGGGGCAGAAAAACTACAAAGTAAAACAGGAAACATGAAACGCACACACACACCACTCCAGAACCTTGACATATACATTTCACTAAATATCAGCATGTTAGCTTTGTCACTGTGAGCGTTTCCCCCAAAGCAGGACTCAACAGTGCGAGTATTTCACTCGCATTTGCCGCCATAAATAGATTTGTGCGAACCAGGAAAATGATTAGAGCACACAGTGTGCTAGTAAAGATAACATCCTTCCATAATCTGTGGAAATAGTCTGCAAGTACTCAACACATAATGAAATGATAAAACAAAACACTGACAAAATATATTGTACAATATGGACAGCATCTGGTTTCTTCTTTCACGGCATCTTCACGATTCTTTGTGGGGCCTCACTATATACATTCCAAGAGCAAGACGGACAAGACCACATGGACAGAGACTGTAATTCTCAGAGACCATACTAGAGAAAGAGCCCATGCCAGTTTCATGGTTAATGGAATGAATAAATGATAAAACTAAGGGTTCATACTATTTTACTTTCGCAGGAGTAGGCCATTATGCAAAAACATCCTCCTCCTGAAGATCCTCAATACAAGTCCAACTATTAGTCGAGGACATAAGGCAAAAGGGATAAGATAAGCAAGGATTGGGTTTTGCTAACTGACTATTTAGCTTTGTCAGGTGCGTTTTGTTAGATACTAGGGTCTTCACTTCTAAAGTCATCCACTGGTTTTCATATCATAATTGCACTCAAGGAGAGTGAGCATGCACACACACACACACAGTGTAAATATAAATGTAATTAAACTGTGTTTTTTAAATTACTAGCATAGCCGTAGACTCTTGCAATGCACTCACAAGTTAACCAATAACAATAATTATTCTAGAGGGGCACTCCACACCCCATATACATTTGGGCGGATGAGCGTAATTTTCAGTTTCATTTTAACACAGTGTTGGTTTTTGTTCCAGATGCTGTTTCTTGCTCCAGAGGAAAAGTCTCGTCTGCAGGACTACTGTGCTTCCTCGGTGTTCATTAAGATTCTCATGTTGAAAGGATACGGCTTCGATGAGCAGTCGTTCGCACGTATTTCCTTCCAGAAGAAGGTGATAATCTCATCATCATAAAGAAAAGAAAAAAAGTATATCCTCGATGCTCATTTGCAACACCATTTTTCCACTAACTTGCTGTTCTCATTCGTTGCTGTTGCTCCTCCAGGCAGGGGACACTTCGGTGGGTTGGGCTCTTGGCTATATGCTGAGTTTGAGCAATTTGCTGCCAGCAGAGAGTGTGGGGATGAGGAAGGCCCTGACCCCGGGAGCATGGGGAACGCTCATCTTTCTCTTTGTCCTCTTGGTGGTGGCAGTCCTTGTCTTCATCTTACTCCGAGCTCGTGATAGGAAGTCGAAAGGAGGCGGTGAAAGCACCATCTAGATACCGCAACAACATACAGGCCTGTCAGAAAACAGAAAGACACTCATAATGTTGTTTTTTTGTGTGTTGGCTCTGTAATTCTGCACACTTGACCTGAAGTTACCGTATGAGGTTAGAGAATGGAATTTGTGCTTTATTTAAGGGTGTTCGCATTAGCGATAGACCAATTATTCGGTCAGCCGATTAATCAGCAAAACTGGCATTTTGAGATAATTGGCATCGGCCGATACCTGCACTCATAAGCCCGATGTATCATCCTGAAAGACCTCAAATCTAATCTAAAACCACTGGCTAACGTTAATTGTTGTATTGACGAGAATAAGGCAGTTGAATGACTTCACTTCTTACAAACTGTACCCCACTCTCCCAGTCACATTCTGAAATCTACAGCATAATCCATGTATTTTTATATTTCGTGAATTAATACAAACTCCATCTGAAACAACACATTACTGGCTAAGATAACCTGTGGAATAGATTGTACTCTGCATGGATTAATGGAATTATACATGACTTTTCTTTGTTTTGATATCTGCATTATATATCAGCCATCGTCCGTCCTACTCTCTAAATATCGGCTTTGGGCTGTTGAAAAACCCATCAGTCGACCACTAGTTCAATTTTTAATGGATGTGTAAACATTGTAGAAATAGTTTCTCTTTTTATACAGAGCCCCATAATGTTGGGTTAACAGCAGGACAATGATTCTTAACATGGAGACTGATTCACTGCGAAGGGTTTGACTACTATTGCATAATTAGAATTTATTGGACTTTATTAGGAGTGATATTAACTTGTCCAGTTACTAAAACTATAGGAATGTGTATAAAAACAACTGCAAGTTCATCTGATGTGGATGCAAACACCCTCAAATTGAGCAGAAAGTCAGGACTTCATAATCTTTTTCTAAATAACATTTTCTAATGTGCTGGAATACAGAGCCAACAAAATGAAAATTGTGTCACTGACCAAACTGACCTGTAGGTTTAAGAACATAGTACTCCCCCAGTGGCATTGGCACTATGGGGGGAAGTCTGAATGTAATTTTTATTCATGAAAAGTCAAACCAATTTTAGGTTGTATGGAATATAAGAATTTCCAGCTTTTTGTTTTTGTAAAGGTGAGTGTAGTCGATAGCACTATCACAGTAACTTGAGGCACAGTATGGAAATAACTAGTTTAATATGTGAGGAATCACTATTTTTAAAGTTTTTGTATTTCAGGGGCAGTTTTTATTCACATTTTTTGTCTGCTTAAATTTAAATAATCATAGAGACAACATACAAACATGGTGAACAGCGGGTGTTTGCTTATTATACACATTTCTTGACAGAAAACCTCTCTAGGAAACGCTGTTTGGGTCAGTTTCTTTAAAAAAATCATTCAAAGTCATTTATAAAAACCTTGTATCACATGGAGGTTATGAACTAATTTCAGCAGACTTGAATCATTGCTCATGCTCTCTGTGTGTCAGTGTACACAAAAACCAATCACGGGGTCTTTCAACTGAGATTTAACAGTCAAACTTGTGCTTTTACAGAACAAGTAACACTTATTTATGTAATGAAATCTAATACATTGTCCCTGCAGCAAATAATCTGTTTAAAGTAGTGATCAGTTTTAGTTGACATTGTGTCATCTGTTTATTCAGCTCAATGGTCATTTTTTAATGTATTGCATTGTATCATATTGTAAGACCATGAACATTTTTATTATTATTACAAGTATTCAAGGCCTTCTGTATTTAATTGGATTACATATTACATGTATTGCTTTCATTATGCATTTACAGGCCTGAGGTGAAACATGAAAGCAACCTAACACTCCAAAAGTGATTTGCATGAAAACCTTGTCAACAAATGTGAATAATTTTCCATTCAAAGGCTCATCAGTGGTCTTAACCATTATCATTTTCTGCATTTCAAGAAGTTTATGCTGCAACATGAAGACATTCCGATATGTACCAGGCATGCTGGCATAAAAAGGCAAAGGCAACTCTTGATATGTAGCTCTGTGCTAACATCTGAGCCAGCTTTGAGATCCATTATAACTCCTTCATGTTGAAATCATATGTATATTGTTGCATCTTACTGTATTGTTGTGGTATAACATGTCATTGTTCAATCCTAGTGAAAGTTGATGTTGGTTTCATCTCATTTAATATGTTAGATGTGTATGACAATAGATAAAGCAAATTTTATAGTATATCAACATTTTTACTAGAATGTCACCATGAATTTTGAATTATAAGGACGTTACATTCCTCTCTATGTGGTCACATTGGTTTTACCCCAGATAACAATAATAAATATTTTGTCTTTGTAAAGAGGAGTCTATTGGATCCTTCAATTCAGTAAATCTGCTCTGGACTACAACTACCAGAATGCTTTGATTTACTGACGTATAGGGGTCCTTCTGATGACTTCCGCTATGGTTTCATTGCCCCCAAAATAAAAGCGCGGATTTTCTTTTTCAGATGGTTTTAGGTTAATGTGAATTTGCTGTTTAATTGTCCCCACCTATTCAGTGAATACACAAATCAGTATATATTAAGATGAAACAAATTAAGGAAATATGTAATAATAGTCTTAGTTTATTTGATGCATTAGCTTGCACAATGTAAATGGTAAAGGACATACAAGGATATGATAAAATGAATACCTGCAGGGGAGGAAGAGGGGCAAAGAGAAATTTCTCCACGCTAAAAATAAATAAAAGAATAAAAATAAAATAAGTAGGCTACATCTGAGAAGCTTCCTGTCAATTAGATGCTTTAAAAATGCATGGTGGAGACTTACACCAGGATACTTTAAAACTGTTGTGGTTTAAGAAAATAAAACTGTAAGCCCTCAAAGTCGGTATGGCAGGTTGAGGTCTGGACCTGCATGTTTCTCTCTTACAGAGTAACCTAATACACCCCCTGAAAATCTTGTCTTTGCTGACGTCCAGTGGTTTTTACACCTTGCTGCAGTGATGTGCAGGTGTACTCCACTTTCCAGGACCCCATGGCAATGCTGCTGGCATTTACAAGCCGAGAGGGTACAAAACACTGTCTTTCAGCCTGGTGATAAGGTATGTTTGCAGACCAGTGTCAGTCTGAATCTAACATGATTCAGTACGTGTTGTGCGGCTTTTATTTTGGCGGTGACCGGAAATCCTGTTGTGTTCGCTGAATGGCGGAAGTCTGAACTGTGGATGAACCGCTCTCAGTTGTTATGAGCTCCTGTTATTCCATTTACGTCCAGGTCTGAATAGAAACGGCCTACATAGTTGTAGGCTTGCCATAGAAGACAGACACGGCGTTTGTTAATAAAATACAAGCATTTTGCCTGTTTGCGTGTTTGCTAGTGTTGTCGCGAGGAAGGCTGGAGATGTGCACGCAGACGAAGGCTGCAGCTCTGATGGCAAACATACCGCAGGCAGACATCGACCCGTCCGGCGTCTTTAAGTACGTCCTGATCAGAGTTCACAGCAGAGAGGAGGGAGACGACTCGGAGGTAGATTATAGTCCGAGGATACGGCTGGGCTGAGTATCACGGTGAGTCAGCAGCACTTAAAACTAAAGAGGGCCAACAGGGGGTCCATCAAAGCCTCCCCGTAAAACCCGAGACCTGTAACAATTTAGTAGTTTATTAGGCCCACATGTGTTAGTGGGAAATTATCCACTGATCGATGAAAGTAACGTAAACCTACCATTAGCTAAAACTAATGCAGACTAATATAATATCTGTGGAGTATTCAGCCTAACGTTACCATGATGAAGAGGTGGCCAAAACAATAACACCTCTAAATCTAATTTACTGCCTCCAAAATCAACATAAAGTTAGATCAGCACCTTATATACAGTCTATGGTCTACGGTCAGACACAGGCCAGCCATTAGGAATTATGGACAGAGGGACAACATTTTCCAAACGTAGCCCCTCAGAGACACCCACTCCAGAACCAGAACCACTACCACCACCACCCACCCATCTAGGTCTGCCAGCAAGGGCAATTTCAAAGAAGCTCTTGGCCATTAGCCTTATGATGACACAGAAGGAGTCTCCAACAAGAAATTCCAAATTGGGTGTTATAGACCCATCCAGGCTCCATGCTCTGTTTTGCATAGACGTTTTTAATATTATTATAAAACACAAAAGGTCAGGTCAGTTTTATTTAAAAAAATGTTTCTTTCACTAGACTGTGACGGTTATGTTCATTTATACAAGGAGAGAAATAAAGCCCCTCCAATGATTGAGTGAATAAAGAAAAGTAAAATCAAACACTGAAGAAATTACTGCAAGGCATTCAATTATGTTCTAATTATGAGTGAACAAATAAATGTACTTCATCTCTCAAATTCAGTTTGAGGGCTTCATTTACTAAAGTGTTGGTCAAGTTGTGTGCATAATATGGCTGTGACAGCTGAAATGATATTAATTATAATCTCTATAGCTTATTATACTCTAACCATCTTTGCAGCTGTATCCTGTGCCTTGTGATGTGTTGCTACAAGTTGGAATATGTTTTAATAATAATCCATTTATTTATGTAAATACATATCAATTGTTTCAGTCAGTGATTTAAGACAGGGTCAATTTGCATGGGCCCCCCTATGGCCTTGGGCAGGGGTCATCTGTACCCTTTGACCCCCCCTGACGGCTGATTATGCCTTTAAGTGTGTTTAATATCAATGCACTATTATGGTTAGTTATGGTAAAATACAGATGAATAATTCACATACTAATGTGAATATATTCGTAATGACAGTGCTTTACATTTACTATAGGCAGGTCAGCGCTGCCCTCTGCTGGACAACACTGAAATGTAAATATATACACCACTTTTTCTGTGTTGTGATTTGATTGATTTGATGTGGCAATTTATGCAATTCTAAATCTTGCACTGCCCAGGCCTGCAGGAATTAAAAACTGTTTAGTGTATTCACTTCAACACAGAAGATTGTATCTTAATTACAGAACATGTCGAGTGACGAGTTATAAACCTTGATTAAAAACACCAGATGGAGGCAGCTAATATAAACAACAAGCAGCAGTCTGTGATGAATCATAAACATATTTTATGAACAGCTGGGAGCTCAAACACTAACGGATCATTCACAAGTTCATTAGAAACAAATGTAAATGTATCAAATGTTGGGATTAAGCCAAAAGCCAAAGGTTTTTTTCTAAAAAATTACATCATAACCCAAATAAGAAATACTGAGCATACTGTATTTTTAACTGTTATGCATAGTATTTAGAGATGAGATATAAAGCACAGTGTTAATGCACTGCCCACCTGTCGCATCCTTTCTCTTGCAGCTGATATCTATGACAAGGTTTCTGAGGAGCTGGAAAAGGGCGGCCTCCTGGACTGTGAGTGTATCGGAGGAGGGAGGATCAAACATGATTCCCAGGCCAAGAAGATACATGTCTATGGATACTCCATGGTGAGAGAGTCCTGCTGGATAAAAACTGAGATTATGCAGACAATAACAGTATATAGAGTAAATGTGCCATGAAACCAAAACTATGAGCTGAAAGAGGCTAAAAAGCTCCATAGTGCTGCCAAGTTAGCTGATTATTAATGATGGGGTTTTCACTACGAGGAAGGCAAGGCAAGTTTATTTGTATAGCACATCTCAACAACAAGGTAATTCAAAGTGCTTTACATAAAACATAAAAGCAACACACTACAACTCACATTTATAATTAAAATCAATGTGTAACATTAATCCCCCGCGACATTATGCCTGTACTCAGGATAAGCGGTTGACGATGGATGGTGTAACATTAATTATTTGAGCATAATTAAATGGTTATTTTCTAACTCTAATGGAACATTGATGTGGTACTTTTCATTACAGGGATTTGGGAGAGCAAACCACGCAGTAACTACTGAGAAACTGAAGGCTCGCTTTCCAGACTATGAGGTGACATGGGACAATGAAGGATACTGAACTGAACTAAGACCAGCCTCTGTTGGATGCCCTTTTTCCTGGACTGACATCGCACTTATCTAACACCCCTTGTAAAAATGCAGAGCATGCCATTTTAAACCATTCAGAGTCCGATAAGGAGCTTTTGATACCACATTAATCTAAGACTAAGACTGACCTACAGTGACAAGTCTGAGGAGAAAAGAACTCTTTTGGGGGGGTTATTTTTATGTTACAATTTGAGCAAAGAAATATCAAACAATGTTGTTTTTCACATTTGTACTCTGTTTGGATCTAAATGATTGTTTTGGAATTTCAATAGGGTGTAATAGCATCTACAATTATAAAATAAATAACTGCTCATGGCAATTTTGTAGAGTGACATACAGTCACTCTCTGACTTGTTTTAGAGTCACATGGCCTCATAAATCTGACCTAATCATGTTTGCATACTGTGTTTCTTCTGTAGCAGATCAGTTGTATTCATGTCAGCCATCAAACTGTAAATCAACGTTATAGCCTGTATGTCAGCGGGTAGATAAGACCAACTTGATGATCTTCGAGGATTACCAGTATTTTACTATCATGATATTCTGGTAATATTGCCAGTGAGAGGTCCTAGATATGCTGTTGGCTTAGTATCTAGATATTAAATCTGAATTCTTTTTGCATGTAGTGCAACAAGCTGCAAACACAACACTTACTTCATTTTATCACTTCATAAAGTTAGAATGGTTAATGTGTTAGCTATCAGTTGCAAGCAGACATCAAGCTATCTTAACTTTCATTTAAAGTCCAGTATTTACTCTTTTTAGCCATTTTATCACCCACTAGCACCCCTGAGAGAAATATCTGGCTCTTAAGCTGGTAAATGTTCCATTTTCTTCACCAGCTAGACGCCAACGTTGTCTGTATGCTGCTCGTGCTGGGTCGGTAACGTAACTTCCCATCACAGCTGCCTGCTATGACGTGAAAAAAACACTGTGAAGAGATACGAAACTGAATCAAGACTTGAGGCAGGGGGAAACTTTTTCTGTCATGTTCCCCCTCCAGAAGCCTAAAAAAGTTCCAAGTGCCCATCACACACAAACAGATTGAGTCATCAACAATATTGGGGCAGCAACAAATAAACAAGGAACCAAGTTGAATTCGATCGAAATAAAATAGCTGAACTGATTTCTCTTACGGCCCTTTACCTCTAGCTGCTCAGTGAACTCATAATGGGGTCAATCCTTCTGGATCACTTTCACCAACTGTGTCTACTTTGGTTTTTGTGGAATATAAGGATGTGTATAGTGCGGAAGACAGTAATTTGAAGGAAATTGTTATATGATGGTTTATTGCAGTTGTATACTGGGAGAATGTAAAGTCCAGGTGTTATCTCTCATGAACAGAGAGGAGGTCAGAGTCAACTAGCAAAGACTCTCCAGGTTGTGTTCAGACCTTCAGACGGATCCGTTGGAAGAGGGGGAAAAGAAGATGCTTCAATTGAGGAGCTCAGCCCTCATTCTGCTGTTGACTCTGCAGTTTGGTAAGTGCACAGTCAACCAGACTCCATTCAAACAGTGGGAGTTTTGCTGCTGGTGCTTAGCTTATCATATACAGATTGATAGAGAGAAGTAAACAGGACACCGCGGATAGTGTTGAAACATGTAAAAACAACAAAAAATAGTAATTTTACATCCACATTCTTCCAGAACTTTCAACCACTTATAAAAGTACTGAATCCACAGAAGAGTTTAAACATGTTTTTTCCCCCTGTTTGTTGTCTGTAGTCTTTCAGAACAGGGCAGTAGCTACTATAGGGGACACTGAGCTCATGTCTGTCTTTTCTGCGAGTATGTTTTTTTCTTTGTAACCTGAGAATAGTTAGCATTCTACAAAAAAAAAAACCCTTACATGTGGTGGTTATCTTATAATTCCAGTATTTCTAGACTCAATAGTTATATACAGCTGACTACATGGAAGCCAACAATAATTCTAGTATATATAATGTTTTAGTATTTTAAAACATAATAAAGACGTTTGTGTTTAGAAATAACGAAATACTGGACAGACAGCACATTTTTTATTTTTTTTTCCTGGAGTCTTATATACATACACACACACAAAAACATACCTGTATATACTTTGTTTCTAGAATATATCAAAATTACTAATGTGTTGCTGTATACTACAACAAATCTGTGTTTGTGTTGTTACTTGATAATTCTGTCTTTACATTCACTTTTAATTCACATTAGAAAGAAAGAAATAACTGAAACAATTTTAAAATAGGTTTTAAAAAGTTTTCTTTCATTTCATTGACGTCAGCCGAACTCAGTAAAAAGTTATCGGACATTTTATTCAGCTGTTATTGCAACATGCGCTGTGTGTGATAACTGAACATTTTCTCACTATGAAATGTGCAGCGATGCATGTTCCTACTCAGTCTGATTTTCAGCTGTCAGGTCATTGAAGCACTAAGCAAGTCTTGAGCCTTAATCAGAGACCTTTGGTTGCACCGATGGCATTTTGCTGCTGTTAACCTGATTACATCTCTCGGGCCTTTGGCATCAACTGTGCCATAAACGTTTGACAGTAACAGGTCCTGATAAGAGAGCTTGGGGTTGTGTCACCTGGGAGATTTTATACAGCCTTCAAACAGAAGCAAAGATGGGAAGTGGAAAGTAGGATAGGAGAAACTATTGTATTTTCCACCCCACTCCAGTCTGACAGTTCCTTTTCCACCTTTGAATCACAAATAAAAATCCCCCCTCAAGGTACTTACTTGCTTGTTTTCGGTCTGGACAGATGATTTTGATTTGTTTTGATTTTGTTTTTATTGTGATTTTAATACGGACTACTGGGAGACTAGCCGTTGAACTGAAAGAGAGCCAAATAAATAAATACATTGAGGAAAGGTATATCCAAATCCCTGGACTGGATTTTTCTATTGAAGGTGTTATCCAAAAGGCTTCTTTTTTTACTTCCATAAAATTTGTATTAAAGGACTACTTTTTCATTGTGGTATTGCAACTTTTTTTTTTTTTAAATTAAGGACTTATTAGGAATAATGTTGTTACTACTGTGGACATGAGCCTAACATTTGGATAAGACATTTCAGATAACAGTGCCAGATTTGAATCACTGTATGTTTATGTTCTAATATTCTGTATTAGTTTGAGTTAACTTTTATCTTTTTACACAGCGGCTGGTTCTTGGGCTCAAATATGTGAAGCTCCTGGGAAGAAATGTGACTTTGTGTGTGACTGTCCTAGCTGCAGCGATGAGCAAGACTGTGGTAAGTTTAAAAAACGTTATATAAATATGGTATCAGCTGCAAAGACACTGTTCTAAACTAAATACTAGTTCCATAAGTTATTCTCATCTTTGAGATGAGGGTGTTGTATCTAGAGAGGCAGACACCTGATCTAATGACAGACTCTTACATTATTTACATTTAATGAATAAAAAAAATGAACAATCGTGTGAATATAATGCAGGGCTCTCAAGTTTTATCGAAAGTTTGGAGTGAGATAAGGCATATTAGAGGAGGAGCCACTTAAATATTTGCAGCAGCGGCCCCTCTGCCCCAGCCAATTCTCTCAAGTTTTTACTAGCAGTTTAATTTTACTTATAGTTCATAATTAACCCGAACAAATAGAAAGTATAACAATAAGTTAATATGATAAAAGACTATTTATATATATACTTATATTTCAAAAATACAAATGTAGGCTATCAAACTAAAAATAAATTTGGCCCCAAACGAGCCCACTGAACAGCAGTGCTGTACACATAGGCCTACAGTAGGATGGCAGAACCTACGCATGTATGCCAAGCTGTGTGCCAAGCTTATGAAAGGTGTTTTGTGTTGTAATTGTATGTTGCACATTTTAATGCCTTGATGACAGGGGTAGGGGGCTCCCACTTAGAGCCCTGTGCCTCAAGGTCAGCTATTTACACCATCATGATGGATGATAGCTTTCTGTCCAGAGCCAAAATAGAAAAATATCTATTCCTTTCATTAGTTTAAGGTAGCCAAAGCTAAGCCCAGTGGTAGACAGTAACAAAGTAGTACTGTACTTAAGTACACATTAGAGGTACTGAACTTCATTATTTTCTTTTCATGCCACTTTCTACTTCTACTTCACCACATCTCAAAGGGAAATATTGTACTTTATATGAGAGCTTCAGTAAGTAGTTACTTTAAAAATAAGCTTTTTACACACAAAATGTATTTAGAGTTTAAACAATAGGATGTTTTGATGTGAATTAAATAACTTAACAGTTTACAGAAGTTCAGCTAGAACTACATCAGTTAGGCTAATTGACAGAAATTTGGGGTGGTGATGGTGCAATGGATAAGACTATGCCTTTGGTGTGAGAGACCCAGGTTCACTTCCCATTGTGACCCATCCACCATTGTGTCCCTGAGCAGGACACTTAACCCCTAATTGCTCCAGAGGCGTGCGACCTCTGACATGTATAGCAATTGTAAGTCGCTTTGGATAAAAGCATCAGATAAATGTAAATTTAATTGGCAACTGTTTTGTTATTAGTCATTTTTCATGTAAAAACATTTCATGGTTCCAGCTTCACAAATGTGAAGATTTGCTACTTTTACTTGATTATTTTAATGTGTTTTTAATCATTTTGAGGTTTGGACTGACAAAACAAGCATTATGAAGGTGTCACTTGGGCCCTGGGTAACTGTGACAACATTTCTCACTATTTTCAGAATGTATTACTATCAATTAATGGAGAAAATAATCAACTGATTAAAATAAAAACAATCATTAATTGCAGTCTGATACAAAATAGTTCAACCCCAACCAACTACATTAATGCATGAGGAATAATAATCAAGTGATATAATAAATACTAGTATACAGTCATATGGGACGTTTTTCTTTCTGCTTTGAGTAGGCTACTTTTATTTTAATTGGCTACTTCTACATTTTCCAGCTTATACTACTTACATACTTTTACTTAACTGTTCCAATGCAGTACTTGCATTATTTTTAAAGTGAGGTATTGGTACTGTTTATTTATTTATTTTTTTCTTTGATACACAGATAAATGAGATTTCGTCCAGGAATCATAAAATAAAAATGCTAAAAAAAACAACAACAACAACAAAAAAAACCTACAGTTACCGCATTCATCGGGTCTTGCGCTTCAAACTTCCACTCCCTGTGTGCACGCGCATCCATTTTGCCTGGTAACGAACGTGCTTTGCAGCGGCATCACGGAATTCACCCGGAAACAACGCATTTTAATTTCTGATCGGCTAAACGACTCTGGCATTTAGTAGATTACAGAGAAAGCTATGAACCCGGCACAAAATGATCGTCCAGTAATTTAATATAGCATAGCGGGACAACTTCGAGGACATTATCTCTTAACTTTCTTCTCAGCGTGAGAAATACAAGGTGTGGCGTGTGAGCGTGTGAACTGGCTGAAATGCGTGTCTCACGGTGAATGCGTGAGACTTGAGAGCCCTGTAATGTGTCAATACTGCAGGCATGCAAACTCCTCACCGTTCGGCGAAATTCGCCCTTGTGAGACCAAAATGTGTCACCGACGTGATTTGTGCAGATCCGATGAAAAAATATTTTGCGCAAGCCTGATGTAACGTTAAGACATAAGTAAGCTAGCTTACAATATTACCTGTCCTGTCAGATACAGAGTAATGTTGCCAATTTTATAACTTTGCCCGCTTTTATTAACCATGTTATTAACCAATAATATCAGCTAAACTGGTGGTGGTGATGGCGCAATGGTGGGAGACCAGTTCAATCCCCCACTGTGGCCCATTCATTGTGTCCCTGAACAAGACACTTAACCCCTAGTTGCTGCAGAAGCGTGCGACCTCTGACATGTATAGTATGCAGTTGTAAGTCGCTTTGGATAAAAGCGTCAGCTTAAATGAATAAATGTAAATGTAAACTAATATTCATGGAGACCAGTAGGGTGCATAAGGTAGGCTAAAGTCAACAGGATAAAAACTTGTCGGCATCGGTGTTATTAACACTGGGGACGCTGCTGTGTTGTTGTTGTCTCCACCACTTTTTGAAAGCATTTGTTAAATAACTTGCAACCAGAAATATTAGATTAGATATATTAGACAGTTAATTTGCACTTATTTATTTATTTAACTTAAGCGAAAAAACAATCAAGCTACAAATTATGAAATGACCCCAGAACTGCGCACACCAGTCAGTCAGTAATAGACACAGTGGCCTTTTTGGCCAGGTTTCCCATTCTCTTAAATTTTTAGATTTTCAATTGTCACCTGCCACCTCAATTTTGTTTTTCCTTTTTACATAAATAAAACATTTCCACCATGAATTATTGCAGGTAAGGAAATTGGTGCAGAAAATGTCTCCAGAATGCAGGAAATTAAATGTTTAATACTCAAACCCCACAAGTTATCTATACAAACATGTAAGCTTAAACAGACCCCTCTCACACTGTCTCTGATAAACATGCTTGCGTATCCATCTCCTCTGTTTTACCCCTGACCTGTTTGCATGCCTGAAAGTGAAATCTGGCAGGCAAAACGCGCACTGAAGAAGGAGTCTAAGCATTGTCTACTGAAATAAATTAAAAACGTCCTTTTTATAGTGTGTTACACATTGAGATAAACTACTCAAACACAACTTGTGTCACTCACTCACTGACAAAAATCTTTTAATTTTTCTTATCCGTTTTTACCACCTCAAGCCCTAATTCTTGCAGTCAGTGGAAAAACTCAATAATGCTTGCATCATTCCCCGAAAACTTAACTTAATCGGATCTGATCAGTTATTAGTTCGTAAAAATCTCCCAATGTTTGGATCTGCATGTGGTATTTTAGTAATACACTTAAAAACTGTTTCTTTTACACCTCTCAAGGCTACAGAGGAAAAGGGTTTGAGTGTGACTTTGAGGATGCAGGAATGTGTGGATGGACGGACCAGTCCATAAATACAGCATTGTACAGCTGGGAGAAACGTCAGAGAGGAGACACGCTGCCCGACAGCGGGCCATCTTCTGACTACACCACCGGGACAGCTACAGGTATTGTTTAATGCACCGTCACTATTTCCTTTGTTCCTAACCCTTTGTTGTTTTGTCCTCATGTTGTATATGCTACAAGTGTCAAGCGCTTTTTAGTTCAAATTAGGAATATATTACACACACATACAGTACATATATACAGCACCTAATTTAGACTGATGGTGCCATCAGTACAATAATATCAATGCATTTTAATGTTTAGTGTTTTTATGTCAGGCATAGCATAATTGTTTTACAAGTCAAATAGTCTAAAAAACAGTGAACTGAGGGCATGAAGTTCATTTTGAAGAGCTGTGTTTAAGTTCTTCTCTTCAAGAAAGTTCATATTGGAGTTAGTTTGAATTGCTTTAATTTGCTCTCTTCTGCTTGCATTTTTCATGTTCTGTAGATTATTATTATTTTTTTTATTATTTGTTTCTTTCTGTCTTATTTCTGCCAAATGTATTTGATTGCCATACTCAGATGTTTTTGCATGCATCGTAGTTGCATCCAGGTTCCTGCTGTGTTACAGGCTTAATGAAAAGTATTTGACTATGAACATCTGGCCACACATTTACAATCGTGCTGACTATAGTGACCTAGTTGTCCTGTTTCAAAGATTCTCTATCTATTTTATGATGATGGAAGAAAGGTCAAGGTGATATTTTATTTTATCATTAGCTTCAGAGGTAATTATAGTGAATAAAACAGGAGAGAGACAATATTAATGTAGTTGGTACAAACATTTAGGACACTGTAACTTAATCATACATTAATCATGTATCAAAGTTGATAAGTTGTGGACCAAGCTGGGGAGAGTAAAAAGTTAAGATGCTTTTGCTACATAATGTCTTTACAATGACTGGAATAATAATTTTGTTCCTGTTCTGTTCACTGAACAGTGCACATCCCAAATCCCAAACACTAATAATGAATGGAGAAAATATTTCTTACAAACAATTTTGAAAGATTTTCAGCTCTATCTGTCTAGCAACTAGCCCCCCTCCTCCTACAACCAAAGTGATACTATAAGTGAACACTAAAATTCAAGAGTGTTCATTTCTTTCATTCTTTAAATGGCAAAAGTTGGTCACTAAGGTTTTTGCAGAGGCTTCTAATGAAAGCATCATGTAAACATGAAATGTACTGATGAAGTATGTAATTAACAGATCATAATGTGATTTTCACAGCCAGCTTCAACAGACAATAATTTCTCTGCAGCTGTGGGTTCAACCACAATGATCTCCACCCGGCAGTTAAATTTGCATTCAGGTCAACATTTACAAGGTTTGGCTTGTCTTCCCAGCAATATAACATGTCAAAAAGAGAGCAGAGGGAGGGGGTGGTGTGAATTTATAATAGTATGGAGGGAATGTTAAGAAAAGCATCCTTGCTTATTTAAAAATAATAATGCTGGATTAAGGAGAGGATAACTAAATAACTAAATAATGATGCAAACACAGAATGTGATGTTGTGTATATGTGCATACATAATACTGGGAATGAGCTGAAATTTTTGATATAGTTCATAGTAGCTAGTAGTGACAAACCCACAAAAAAACACCTAACCTAACCAAATCACCTAACTGCAGATGCCCTCAGCTTTACGGACCTTTATAGTATATTTTAAGTCATTGTTAGGCGCACTGTACACTACCTGCTCAGACAGGCACAGTTTGCGACTAGCTTGTGAACATAGCGGAACATTTGGCAGCAAAAGAAACAAATATTTCCCTCACGAGTTGGTGGTGGAGATAAAAAAGAGAGTGAATTTTGGACTTACATTCATCAGGTGGACACAAACATGACTCCAAATGCTAATGTGGCCCACTATGGGGGTAACTTTGCAACTGTAAAGTTAAAAGTTAAAAGTGTTGCGTTTACAGCTTATTTCTACTGCCCCAAAGTGGCCAAAAACTTGGTTGAAAGACCAGTGTTTAGGAGAATCTACAGTGGCTGCTAAACATACAAAAACTAACATGAAAGGCCCCCTCTAGAGCTAGTGTTTGTCTGTTCTGGGCTACTGTAAAAACACGGCAGACTCTGTGGAGGAAGACCCGCTCCCTCTGTAGATTTAAAGGGCTCTAATTAAGGTAATGAAAACACAATGATTCTTATTTTCGGGTGATTACACACTAATGAAAATATGACTATTATATTCCATTTCATTGTACACACTGGTCCTAACCTCCCAATGTAAGTATTGTGTTAGTATGTATCCTCTTTTAATGCTGGTTTCATGTTATGCTATATACTCCAATGTGTATGGTTTTGTTTTGTCCTTCTTCTCATTAAAGTTGAATTAATTGGTATGTCTGTGAAGATTCTCAGTCATCCAGGTCATAGTTATTCAACGAAGGTTAAAGTCAAGGGCAACTGGACTTGGCTGAAGATACTGGAAGACGTTTCGTCCCTCATCCAGTTGCCCTTGACTTTAACCTTCCTTGGATAATCAATTGAGATGTTTATTGGCCACACGGGGGCAGTGGCAACAAGCTGTTCACACAACACTTAAGTAGCGCTTTATCACCTTTTGGTGGTGAGCAAGTAGCATAACAAAACCATGAGCCAAAAGAAGCTCTGTAGAGCTGCAGAGTTAGAGATAGTTCTCCGGGGTTGTCACTACAAAGCCACACCTTTCACATTACAGGCAATCATTTGATCTGTTATTAAAATATGTGAATGTCAAATTACCTGGGAAGATGTAACTGTTGTTGTAATAATGAGAAGATGCTTTAGATAAAAGTAGCTCTGAATCATCACCCTCATGTCCAATTTGAATCAGTAGCCTAATTCACCCTAAAAACTGTGCCCTGCACCAAACTGCGATGTTAACAACAAATAAAACACTAAATATTTCCCATCACACAGGTTCGTTTATGGGAGTGAGTGCAGTGAGGACAAAGGGTCTCAGTATTGCAGTTTTAATCTCTCCTGAGATGAAACAGTCTTCACCAACTTGTCGCCTTCGCCTCAGATATTTCCTGTGGGACTCAGGTAACGACCATTAATGGATACAGGTCATCCATTCAAACTGCCTGCTTTGGCCAGCTTATATCTTAAAACACAATGGTAAACGCAGGATTCCACATTATTTTGTACTACTTTTACTCGCAGTGTTTGCATGTAATTTATTTGTTTCCCTGTTTGTGATTTATGTTCTGTAATTATTTGTCATAACTCTAATTTCATTGATTACTTGTGTCTATTGGAAAACTAATAATTGGGTCATTCCTTGCTGTTGGTGACTTTCCAATGTGCTAAAAAAAATGGGAAATGGGGAAAAAAGAATACTTTTTGTAATCATATGTTTAACCTTCAGGAACATGTATTGGTAGAGCTCAAGCACTTAAATTATGATAATTACAGCTGGATTGTTCAGACATGGACTATGAGAGCATTCCACCCTGTTAGGGACATATAAACAGGTATTATAAAGTGTTAGTAATGCAAATATTCAACAATACTTCTCTTACACCTTATGTTTCCCTTATTTCATCACACATGTTTTATTTCTTTGAATATTAAAGAAACAAGAATTGTGGAGTAGAACATGTGTTCATTGTTTAGAAAAGTCACATTCTTGTACCGAATTTACCGAAAATGGAAAATTCTAATAGAAATTTGCACAAACAAACAAAATGCATGATGTGAAAAAAATGGTTGGAAAGTACCCTAACAGGGTGGAATGACACCCTGTTGGATAACAGTTTCTCAGTTGGTTTCAACAGTAATTTTGTCATTAACTCACACAACATTTTAATTAAGCACTTTTTTAAACATACAGGACATAAAAAAAATATACATCACTGCCTCCCCAAAGTGCTCGTGCTCCAATTGTTCCAACTGAGAGACAAACACTGTGTAAATGCATATTAACTGATTATACACCAGAGGGTGTGAAAAATATATTTGATGATGGCTGCGATGAGTTAGGACAGAGGTTAAGCCAAATAAATATAATATAACTGATTATAATTATAAAGTGTTTCCTTTTATACATATTGGTAAATTAGATGAACAGTTTATCAGCGTTTGTATGCATTTCCTGACATTTTGTAATAGATTTTAAACGCTGTTAGGTATATAAACCTACCAGGGTGGTCATTTGTAAACCAAATTAGCCATTGCTCTGAGAGACAGCAAACTTTAGTAAGAAAGTTCTCCACACATACACAGTACTTTAGTATATATAGCAAACATGTTTGTGATTTTTGAAACATTCGGTTCATTTTCTTCATAATTTAGCCTAACAGGGTAGGACGTACAGGTTAACATCATAAAACTTGCAAAAAAAGGCAGACAGAAAGTTGGGGCGTCCACCTCACTTTGCTCCTTTGAATTCCCCCTTAATAGGGTGATGTACTTCCTGAATGTGGATTTATAGGAAGTGTAGTTTTTTTGTTTGTAAGGCGAAAAAACGTAAACTAACAGTGTGAAACGCGACTTTGGAGACACAGTAAATTATAAAAGTAATAGTACTGTTTACATTGTAATATATTTATAATTAGATAGATTTTAACTTTCTATTTCTATTTTGAAGTTATAGGGTATTTCTATTTATTTAGAATTTTATTGCAAATGTGTCTCACAGAAATTGAAATTTTGCTTTGGGGACACTGTAAAAAGGAGTAAATGTGCCCCCCCCCAAAAAAGGTTATTTTACATACTTGATTTTGTGTTAATGTTATAAAGACCTAAATATATGATAATAGCCTTTTGTAATAACCATTTTGTTTATTTTAAGTAAAATATTAAGAGTAACTTCTTGGGGATGGAAAAGTCACCAATAGCTAGGAATGATCCAATTATTAGTAGATAATTCGTTGTTGTGTACACTGAGATGAGATTTAATTTCCCCTCCAGCTAATAAAGTAACGTTTCCTGTAGGTCACACAGGGCTGGGCTCCACACCCTTGTGGGCGTCCATCCTCCACCAGGACTCTCAAGAGGCCATTGTGTGGCGTCCTGAGGCCACCAGTGTCCGTGGTTGGAGAGAGGCTACCATCTTTCTGGGCCGTATTCCCACAACCTTCCGAATCCGTCTTCACTCGCAGCGCTCTGAAGGGCGAAGGGGCGATGTGGCGGTGGACCAGCTGGAGTTTCTGGACTGCGCTCTGCCCTGTAAGTTCCTCAAAATATCCTGTCCATGTGCAGAGTGAGACCATGATTTTCTATGGACTCAATTATCAATTAGCTGATCAATCAAAATTGCAGAGCCATGATGAGCATAATCATGGCGATTATTTTGATGTTGTTTTCGCTCATTGCATCATCAGTACCACTCCCTGGGAAAGAGTGTCCAGCAGGGATGAAGGAGTGTAGGCGTGGGGGCTGTGTGGAGCGCCGGCAGGTCTGCGATGGCAGCGACGACTGCGGTGACGGGACTGATGAGGAGGACTGTGGTGAGAAATCATCTGATAAACAGCAGCCAGCCACCCTGTGAAACAACAGTACAGTAAATACAGTATGTAGCCTATTAACCAGAGAATTTGGAATACACATTGCTGTATTTGGGTGGAGGCAGAAGTTTCAAAGCTGGATATCTGAAGTATCTGCATAGCCTAATGAGACAAAGCTGTGAGAGAGATGTTTTTTGTGATTGGAGTGAATCGACCCTTTAAACAGAGGTTTCACATTTAAGTGCATACACTTGTCCATGAATTTTCAGTACTGGGTCAGAGCATTTTCATGACCTAAATGATGGCAACAAGTCCTCATACCTACTGAAAATGGCAAAATAGATCGTTGGTCATTGCCTTCTAAAATGACACATACGACCAACAGTCTTCACATGAATTAAGCCTGAAAGTTCATTCCTGACCTTTCAAACAGCAGTTTGGCAAATAAATTCTTAACTCAAGGTCCACCTACTTGCTATTTCTGGAGCTTTCAGCTGCATCTCATGGTCTTCCTGTGCTACCTCCATGATGACCGAGCAAACCTTTCCACCAATGAAGACAGTGAGATGCGAATGAAAGCTCTGGGAAAGGCTATTAAATTGACCCTTTGCTTTGTTTTTTTATTTTATTTGTCAGTCTTTGTATTTTACAGTTTTCTGATTTGCCACTTCTGTGGTGAAGGTCAGGCAGTTAGTTAAATTAAGGCAAAGACTATGTTCATAGTTAAAGGAATAGTTAATGTAAGGAGCAGAGTTAAAATTATATGTTCTGGTTCTATTACTTGGCCAGTTTAAACTAATGAGATATATGAGAGGACATAACATCTTAATTAGTGAGCTTTAGAGGTGCTGGTAGGTGTCTTTTGATACTTTTGGACAGTGCCAGTTTTTATGCTAAGCTAACCATCACCTGGCTGCAGCGTCATTTTTAATGCACAGACATAGGGTACCTTTAGGTTCTCAGAAAGAAGTATGTATCTAACGTTACATCGCAATGCAGAGTTGCAAGTGAAAAGAAGACAGATGCATGCTGCGTTTAAGCGCAGTGAGAGTGTAAGGGAAGAGCGACTGATTTAAAAGCCGTCACTTTCAAGAGTGTCATTGAGTGAAACCCCGTAGCTGTGAACCGCTGCTTTAAAAGAAACATTGACTGTTGGTATGAGATGGGATGTGAACAAACCGTCACATGCCTGTACCACTGTTGCTTCTCAGAAAAAAATATTTCCAGAGGTTGCTTGTCAGGAAAACTAAACAAACGACCAATGCTGTAATGTCTCTGGCGAGGACAGCTTTGAAAATGCGCATCCTTATCCATTCCAAATTCCCTGCAAAATGTCTCTGCTGCCTGTACGGAACACACTCTTAAAAAATCCGAAATTCATTAAGAAGAGGTTCACACATTATATTTTACCACACAGATTACTGTTTATACTGTCCATCCAGTGGTCACCAGTTAATGTAAGTTGTATGTGTGTCTCCAGCAGGGTACCGGCGCTGTGACTTTGAGGAGGGTCTGTGTGATTGGGACCTGACGTCACTTTCCAAACTGAAATGGGTAAGGACGAATCAGAAGAACATCTCCATCACAGATCCTCTGAAAGGACCAGGCAGGGATCATTCTAACAACCGTGCGACAGGTATCTGATGAATCATTGTCAAAATCATTCTTTTTCACTTTGTGTTCAGTGTTACTCTTTTGACTTTTTAAATATTTTGAGTAACTTTGTTTCTAATAGTTGAGCATGCATAAAAAAATAATATAGAAATAAAGGACATTGTTCTTATTATTGCAGGTTACTTCCTTTATGTCACTGTCCCTGATGGTGGTCTCACAATGGACTGGGCCGCTTTCCAGAGTCCCCTCCTTGAACCCACCAATAGTTCGCATCCTTGCAAGGTTAGTCCTAAGCTGACTCCTTCTTCACTCAGAGAGGTTTTTACATTCTCAGGCTTCAATCACAGTAATTTACTTACAATCAGACTTAACGCTGGAGTGCTGAGCTTTAATATATAAATCAATATCCATTACATTCAAGCCCTCACCATACAAGTTCACACAGTGCTGATTAAGGCTGGTCTAGGCAATTTATTTCCGGTATTTGTGGCTTTGGCAGGACTGTAAAAAGCAGCTGGTCATTTAATTTGGTCTGAACAGCAGCATCTCAGTATGGCAGAGCCTTTGCAGACGATGTCATAAGCACGTGTTGACAGAGTAGTGTGATTACTCTCACTGTCAGAACAGGGAGACAAAAGCTTAGGTTTTAAGTTTTCTGTATCTTTCCACTGTAGATGGTGATGTACACTCACCAGTATGGGCCGAGGTCCGGCGGTCTGACGGTGCTGGTGGCAGATCGTAACATCTACCCGGTGTGGAAAAGGGGAGGAGCCCTGGGCGATGTTTGGGTGAAGGCAGAGGTGGAGATTGTCACCAACTCCACTTTCCAAGTGAGTACTTCACATAATGATGTAGCCTAAATGAAGATATTGATTCTTAAGATTCATAAGTGAAGGTAACTAACAGGAAAAGTATTAGACATGTTCAGAAAGTCCTTTAGTTATCCATCCATCCATCGTCAACCACTTATCCTGCTTACAGGATTGCGGGGTCCTTTAGTTATCACACGTTTAAATGTGGGTTTAATGTACACAAATTCTCACAAACTTATAGTACTAGAGCCTGACTGATGGTGAGTTTTTGAGGCCAATACTGATCTGATACTGAGTTGAGAGTTTTATCTGTTTTTCAAACAAACATGCAAGAAAAGTTATCTTTGCACACAGACAGGTGCAAAGTAGAATAAGTAATGAGCCAAAAAATAATCCATGTGCATTTTAATTGTGGGAACATCAAAAATAAAAATTTGAAATGTCACATAAAAGTTTTTACGCTTGGCTGAAGTGGAAAAGTCTGTGTATCGATAAAAGCAAAATGGGACAAAGGGCAATGGAAGCAGACTTCTTAATCATGTTGTTCATGAAGCACGTGACTTTGGGGGCTTTCACACCCGAAAGTCCGCACCAAGGTCCGAACCGGAGTTCATGTTTTGATACATTTTGATACATTCGCTTAGTTTTGGTTTGGTTTCACACTGCAGTTACCTATGCAGCGCACTAAAGGACTTTACATGACAGAACTTGTGTTATCATCCATGTGGGCTGCGTCTCCCTAAACCTACTTGACATTGATTGGTTGAACAGTTCCACTGGAGCTTTGACCAGAATGAATGAATGAGGAATGTACAGATGTCATTGCCACTATTGTGTTATTATTACGGCATTAGCCTACTACCTGCAGCACCAACTTAACTCGCAATACCTTCTCATCTCAGTGCGGCAATTACCGACGTTGTGTGAACATTAGGCCTATATCGTTGGTGGTGTTTTGGCATAACACCGGCAGGAAAGGGGGAGAAGACTGCAAGCAATCCTTGCATCCCTGCACCTCCATTTGAAGAGAGACCATAATTGTGTCCTTTTTCAATGCATTTCTCCGTGCATTTGTTTGTGGTTTACACGGGAACCACCAAACTTCCTGTAAATAGTCTGAAAGTCCGAACCATCCAAAAAATTATTTCATGCTAGAAACAGATCCGGACCGAGATTACCTCTTTTTGTCGGACCAAATTTCATCTGTTTGGTCTGGACCGTGGGGGAGATTTTATTTCATTTCATTTCATTTATTTATTTAAGGACAGTGCACATTAATAAACATTTCTGTAAATGTGCCAGTGTTAGCCAGCAGGCTAATTTTCAACTGTAGTCCATTGGCAAGATGTTATACTAGGCACATAATAGCTTAAAAGAAACAAAAAAAAAAAAAAGACAAAAATACACATTAAATCACACAGCAATTGATATACAACAATAAAACATAATGCCATAGCACTGGCTCCATTAAAACATAACATCATAAAACATATAACATATAACCATACAGCCATACAACTGTTAGGGCATTAATAAAGTTACCATCTAACCATCTATTTAGCATACATATACCAAAAGTTACAGGACAGCTAAAATATAGAGACAGACATACATTATTATTATGAGAGGTGTTCACATTTTTGTATGCTCAAAAGCCAGACCTTAAGATGTTGTGAGAATGTATGGTATGAGGTGGAATTTCTAATATCCACAGGCAATTGGTTCCATAGTTTAGAGGCTCTCACAGAAAAGCATAATTGGCCAAAGGAACTGGACCTACGAGGGACTACACAGTCCCCTCTTAAGGCAGACCTTGTGGTTCTGCTGCTAGATGACTTCTGCTGTATAAAAGTACAGAGTGGTGGGGGAGCCTTCCCATTAATGATTTTAAAGATTAGGCATGCATCACTGTGTTTTAAAATATTTTCCCAATTGAGTAGGTTATAAGTATTAAGAATGTTACAGTGATGGTAAAGTTGGGATTTTTTGTCCAATACTTTAAGTGCTTGTTTGTAAAGTGATAAAATAGGCCTTAGTGTTGTACTGCATACCTGGGTCCAGCTTGTCATACAATATGTTAGGTGAGGAATTATCATAGTTGTCATGTATAGCTTTGCTACAGGTGTTGTCAAACAGTTCCTTATATACTTAAAGTTCGCTAGGTTATATTTGGTTATTTGCACTACCTTTCTCACTTGATGTTGAAATGATAGAGTAGAGTCAAGAATAATGCCTAGATATTTGAACTGTGTAACTGTTTGAATGACCTCCCCAGACACACAGACATTGGGTTCACAATGAGATACAGTGTTGCTTTTACTAAAAAACATACATACTGTTTTCTTAACATTGAGATTCAGCTGTGAGCCAGTAAGCCATTTACGTACATGTACCATTGTATCGTTGAGCTTGGCAACAACTTGGGCTTTAGTTTTCGCATGAACATAAATGACTGTATCATCAGCATACATCTGCACCTCACATCCATTGCACACTAATGGCAGGTCATTTATGTAGATGCTGAACAAAATAGGGCTCAGGACAGATCCCTGGGGTACACCCAGTTCGTTCCTCAGGGGTGGTGATGTCTCATCATTAACTCTCACATACTGTACTCTATTTGACAGATAAGATCTCATCCAGTCAGTAACACTGGTTGACAAATTAAAATAAGACATTTTGTGGATGAGTATTTCATGGTTGACAGTGTCAAAAGCTTTTTTCAGATCTAAGAAAATTGCTCCAACTATGCCTCCTTTGTCCAATTTTGACTTGATGTTTTCCACAAAGAAACAATTTGCTGTCTCAGTGGAGTGATTGGCTCTAAAGCCAAATTGCATGGAGTGCAGTTTAAAAGGGCTTCTGTTAAGATGTTCAGTCAATTGCTCAGCCAGAAATTTCAGTCAGAGTGAAGACTGGCTGTAATACATCAATTGGTGAGGAGTGTTGTGGACCACTTATGGGACTATGCACAGTCAATCTCACAGAATTGACAAAATGATTATTGAAGATAGTCACAACTTCAGCTGGTTCAGACTGTAACTCTCCTCAAATTAATACATGAAACAAATAAACAGATATTTCCTTCACAGTTTCCCACCATTTGAAACCTCAGTGGCGCTTTTATACTTGAATCATCTAGTTGCACTCTGTTTCTCCGCATTGGTATGATTGCAACAGACTGGAGAATTGCACCACCAGCTGTTTATCTCTATGCACTCAACTCCTCACATTCGCATTACAGTAGTGGATGAAAATTCATATTCATAAAGATAAACTATGGAGAATGTTGATAATTCTTTAAAATAAATAAAAGATTCAAATATCATAAATAAACATGTTACAACAACTTACTCCATGAATGACAAATTCCTGATCACCATACAATTGTTTTTTCATAAAATGGGTATAAAGTGAAGCACCTTGAAAAATAAATGATTCTCAGCTTTAGTCTTTTGTGTTTGGATGAAATTGTATTACAGTAATAAATACCCATTTCCTCTTTTTCTTTGTCCCTTCCTCTGTCGAATTTTCTGTCATATTAGATTTTATTGATGGCAGCAATCAGGGACTTTACATATGGAGGTATCGCTGTCGACAGCATTGTTTTGTCTCCTGAATGCCGCTTATCATCTGGTAATCTTTTTAACTATAATTTTAAAAAATTATTATTCCACATCTGCAAAGGAGAGAGTGTAAATACCTTCTGTGGTTTGGTATACCTGCCATCTCACACTCTCTCTCTGAACAGAAAATAATACATGGGCAAAATTCCCTGAATCTCCTAAACACCCGTGTACTGAACCGGACAAGATGTGTGACTTTCATCCTGACTGTGCAGGAGCAGAGGATGAGGCCAAATGTGGTGAGTCTATTCACCCCGTTGACTCAGTTTTACTTTGATCAACAGTTTTGCAAAGGTTTCGAGGTTGAAAAGAATTTATCATAGCCAGTGGAGGCATAAGTGATGCACCTTAGGACCTCAGTGGCCATTAGGGGGCCCCCCAAATGCTGTTGTATATCTGTGTGTATATAAGTGTTGACGCTTTGGGAAAAGCAGACTTGTTTTAAAGGGGTTAAAAAGGGGTTCAATTTAAGGAGGAGCAAGACAGTCCAGGAAAAATGTCAAATACTTGAAAAAATATGCAGTCCTCTGTTCACTTCTTCTTTTTTGTCTCATTTTGAGTGCGCTGTCTCCATTTCTGCAGGGGATTTCTCTTACACCAACGGCAGCTCAGGCTGGACTGACACCAGCATTGGGAGTCAAGGTTGGGTGCTGTATGAAAATTCTACATCCAAAGGTACAGCTACTGCACTATCATCACAACACACAACTAACTTTATCTATTCATATTTAATGATTACGATAAGAACAAAATATTTGTTTCTTTCATATTTCGTAGAGGACTACCTATATGTAGCTGAGGCCCCAGGTCAGCAGTTGACTGAGGCCCAGACACGGACCCCCCTCTTGGGCCCCTCTGGCCCAGCCTGCACCCTCAGCTTTGAATTCGCACTAACTGGGAATCCAGATCACATCGGTAACTAAATGAACTTGTTATCCGACATGTCTTCTTTTTTTCTTACCTTTTCCACGACAGATGACCTCAATGTTTTAGTTTGTTTACCTCTCTCTGCTGCAGGTGAGCTGTCTGTCAGGGTGATTGACAGCTTGCTGGGCACGCAACCTAAACTGTGGGAGTTCAGTGAGAAGACAGGAACAGAGGAGGGGGCGTGGCAGCACGTTGACCTGCCTATCGGAGTCAGAAAACATCGCTTCCAGGTCAGCTTATTTTTATTAGGCCTGATAGACACTGATATAGTTATCATTTTTACATTGGAAATGTTTGCATTGATGACATATCTCAAAATAGAGGTCAAACTTGTCTGAAAGCATTTAGAGCTGAAGACATTTGATATATCTCCAAAGTCTTGACCTTCTATCCTTCCAGGACAAAACATGTTTTATCTGGTGGACAATAAAGTCAGTCCTTAATCTGTTCCATAAAGTGCTTTTTTTTAAGCCAAGCAAAGTTGGCAATTGGTGACTAATCATCATTTTGAAATGTTTGTTTTGATGAGAGACAGAATAAAATTGGAAGTCAAACTTTGAAACGTTGGCTGGCTGTTTCCAAAATTTAAAGACTTTAAGGCTCTTCCATCCTGCGGATCCCAACAGTAAAATCCATTTTAAGTGTGGCCACAAAAAGTGAAATAAATCGATTTTACTATTAAAGTAGTATTTGTTGATTTTTGTCAAAGTATTTTCACTGACAGTATTAAGGCTCTTCTGTATTCCTTCTTTTGTTTTTATCAGCTGGCGTTTGAAGCTCGTGCTGTGAAACTTTGTCCATGTTCCAAGATTAAAGTGAAAAACGTTCGCTTTGTCAGCTGTCATGCTGGCTATTTTCCATCTTCTCCAACAGGTAACTCTCATAACTATTGACAGTATACACACTTAATATTGCCTCATGCATACTCTCATATTTTACAAATGTCTCAGAGCTTAGATGAATTTTTATTTATTTATTCTTTACTATGTATTTATTTTTTTGGCCAGGACTGTCATGTAACTTTGAAACTGGACTGTGTGGATGGTATCAGGACAACAGTGACAACTTTGACTGGATGGAGCTTGATGGGATGGACCACACCATCGGGATCGGTAAGCTCATTTAAAAAACAAAAAACCCCAATGCAGTGTACATGGATATACAGCACATGAGTGTATTTTGTAGTAGGGAGTATCTCACACACACACACACACACACACACACATATACTTTGCTTCCATCTTTCCTTAGCTTCACTGGTAGAAAACATCAAATCTAAAATGAATCCATAGGAGGATATTAGCAATTTCTCAGGTGTTAATAGGCCATTACATCAATGCAATGAAGAGACAGCTCTCACTCACAATAATAATAACAACAACAACAATAATAATAATAATGTTCATAGTTTTGTATATATTTTTGTATTTTGCTGAATTTTCACCAGGAAATGTAACAATCACATCACTTCCATGTTCATCAGGGTGAGATTCTTAGATGTGACATTTGGGATGTTATTTTAGTCCCTACACAGCCTCAAGGCTGGAAGCTATTATTATCATCATCAGGGAACATAGAGTGAAATCACAGCGACAACAGTGTTCCATTCTGTTGAAGAAGCACTTTACAAGTTCTTTACTTTTAAATTTACAAAAGATTGAAGTTGTGTCACAAGAATAACACACCCATTAACACCTGATCTTCTGCTGTTGAGTAGTTTGTTGGAAAGTGACTTTGTGACTTCAAAGCCAAGACTTTCTTGTGACTTGCAAAACAAGAACTTTCTCACACCTCTGTTAGCAACTGAACTCAAACATGATTCACAACTTTTTGACCAGCGCGCTGCCCCAGAGACAAATGATGATTTTTTTCCCAGTTTGAAAATACAGGTGCATCTCAGAAAATTATTTCAAGCCTTTGATATAATTTCGATGATTATTGCGTACAGCTTATGAAAACCCCAAATTCAAAATCTCAGAAAATTAGAATATGACATGAAATCAATAAAAAAAGGATTTTAAATACAGAAATGTCAGCCCTCTGAAAAGTATAATCATTCTGCATGAATTACTGCCTCAGTGCGGCGCGGCATCATGGACGCTATCAGCCTGTGGCACTGCTGAGGTGTTATGGAAGACCAGGATGCTCCAATAGCGGCCTTCAGCTCTTCTGCATTGTTCGGTCTCATGTCTTTCATCTTCTCTTGGCAATGCCCGAAAGATTCTCTATGGAGTTCAGGTCAGGCGACTTTACTGGCCAATCAAGCACAGTAATCCCATGGTCATTGAACCAGGTTTTGGTACTTTTGGCAGTGTGGGCAGGTGCCAAGTCCTGCTGGAAAATGAAGTCAGCATCTCCATAAAGCTCGTCTGCTGAAGGAAGCATAAAGTGCTCTAAAATGTCCTGGTAGACGGCTGCGCTGACTCTGGACTTAATAAAGCACAGTGGACCAACACCAGCAGATGACATGGCTCCCCAAACCAACACAGACTGTGGAAACTTCACACTGGACTTCAAGCATCTTGGATTGTGTGCCTCTTCATTCTTCCTCCAGACTCTGGGACCTTGGATTCGAAATGAGATGCAAAATTTGCTCTCATCAGAAAAGAGGACTGAGAAACAGACCAGTTCTTTTTTCTTTAGCCCAGGTAAGACGCTTCTCATGTGGTTTGTTGTTCAGGAGCGGCTTGACAAGAGGAATACGACATTTGAAGCCACGTGTCCAGGACCCGTCTGTGTGTGGTGGCTCTTGATGCAGTAACTCCAGCCTCAGTCCACTCCTTGTGAAGCTCCTCCACACATTTGAATGGCCTTTTCCTGACAATCCTCTCCAGGCTACGGTCATCCCTGCTGCTTGTGCACCTTTTTCTTCCACACTTTTCCCTTTCACTTAACTACAGCACTTTGAGAACATCCAACTTCTTTTGCAGTTACCTTTGAGGCTTTCCCTCCTTGTGGAGTGTGTCAATGATGGTTTTCTGCACAACTGTCAGGTCAGCAGTCTTCCCCATGATTGTGAATTCCACTGAACCAGACTGAGAGACCAATTAAAGGCTCAGGAACCCTTTGCAGATGTTTTGGATTAATTAGCTGATTAGAGTGTGACACTTTGAGCCTACAATACTGAACCTTTTCACAATAATTTTAAACTTTAAACACAAATTTTCTGAAATTTTGAATTTGGGGTTTTCATAAGCTGTACGCAATAATCATCAAAATTATATCAAATAAAGGCTTGAAATATCTCACTTTGCATGTAATGAGTCTATATATATATTAGTTTCACCTTTTAAGTTGAATTACTGAAATAAATGAACTTTTGCACGATATGCTAATTTACCTGTAAATCAATTTAAATCTTCTGAATAATTTCTTTTAATGCTTGATATCAATGAATAATAAATTGTTGTATTTTTTATTGAGCTGAAGGGACAAAATATTTCATAGTCTACTTGCTGTAAATGTAGTATAGCTTATTAATTGGATCACTCATAATCACTATAACACATGAAGTATAATAAGACTGCACTGTGATGCCTTAAAAGTCACTTAAATTCCTGCCTGTTTTTCTGTTGACGTCTAGGCAGAAGCCTTGTTGTGGACATGTGGAGTCCTTCTCTGCGCGGTGTGTTCGGACGCTTAGTTTCATTCACACAGTTACCAGGTCCTACAGATTACTGCCTGTCCTTCTTCTACAAACTCTACGGGCCAAACACAGGTGAGGATGAGACTGAATGGAAAGCAGTTTAGAGTGAAATAATGATGAATCATCTGTTTCTTTAAGCTTGTGAAGATATATATAGATTTATTTTTTATTTAAATCCTTCTTTATGAGTAACTAATTTAAAGTGAATAATTTCTTGTCCTTCTCACTCTAACTGCCCCATCCTCACCCGGTGATCCCGTCCAGGTGCTCTGACTGTGAAGCTGTTAGATAACAGCGGTTCTGAGAGCGTCCTCTGGACCCGCAGTGGAGCTCATGGCAACATGTGGCACGAAGCGCAGTGCCCGGTACCACACCAGCTCACAAAGTTTCAGGTATGGAAGAACTGCAATTATTAAACAATATTTAAAAATTCATGCAGTGTCACAGAGCTTCATGTATCGTTCATAATTCAAAAATGAGTAACAACAAAGGGGGAAGGTACAGTGAAAGAGGGGTTCGGACTTTGTGAGCTTTAAGCAAGTACTTTTGGATAATCTTTGGCCCCACAGAAAGATAAGATAATCCAAAAATTATTGTTTTATTATCTTCCTTCCTTTCCAACTCTCCCTTTCTGACCTTTGATCTATCACCAGCTTATGTTTGAAGCGGTCCGCTCTGGTTTTGACGGACGCGTGGCTATTGACGATGTGGCGTTCATGAGCCATCCGTGCACCGTGCCAAGGATGTGTTCCTTTGAAGGCCAGCGGTGTGGGTACAGCAGCTCTGGTAAAGTTCACTGGCTCCACCGCAGTGGACACACAGCCACAACCACTGGACCCAAAACCGACCACACTCTGGAGACTGAACTGGGTGAGCAAGAATCCCATTAAGAAGTAATAATATATCATATCTATATTGTTACAGTTTCTGATGTTCATGTTAAATGTGGCCAAAGCTTCGAATAATGAGGTAAACATATTTAAAAGAAATCCCTGTGAGCAAAAACCTCAAATGTCCCACTGTTCTGAACCCTCTGGTTTCAACAGTTTTTTCTACTCTACCACGTATGGAGCCTGTTTTCTATATATGGTCATTTAAAGAGACAGGAGGGTCTCCAGCTTGTTTCAGACAGAGGCTTAAAAAGAGGGCCTGCATGAAGGGCCAGTACAAGATCCAACTTTGAATCATTCAAATCTACCATACAGGAGTCAGAAGTATATAGGGCTGAATAGCAGTATAATAGGTCACCTTTAATATATTGTAGCATGACTACTATGTTTTCATAAATTGATGAGAATTAATACCAAATTATGAATTTTAATATTCAGAAAATATAAATTCACAAAGCTTCTCGTTTCGCGGGGCACAACCAGAGATCCAATTCGCCCAGAGTCTCCGGACCTCTGAGTATGGTTAATAACTAGACAATTATTCACTAGTGATCAGTTAGTTAACAATCGCTCAATTATCTTAAATCAGTCAGTTAGTCTCATTTCGAAGGGGGAAATTCTCATGGCAAGGACTTGGAGACAGGTAATACACACAATTCCTTGATTACAGTGAGTTTATTAACTAACTAAGGTGATATAAAAATGCGGTTAAATACATCAAAGAAATAAACAATGGCTAAACAATGAGAAGGGGTTCTATTGTGGGGAGCATTTGACTCATACAGGCAGCTAATAAACGCGAGCTATGAGTTTTAAGAGTTAAAGATAATCTCTTAACAGGTTTTGGTCTTACTGCGTGTCGCTTCTCCCAGCCGGGTGCTGGTCAACAGCCTCACCCGGCTGAGATCTGTGCGTTCTCAGTTAGGACAGCTTAAAGCCGTCGGCCAGTCGCTTTCTCTGCCAGGGAATTGCTCCGGAGGTCCATCTTTTGTCGGCTTACTGAAGAAACCGCAGTGGGGCCTTTTAACCCTGGTTAGGGTCAGAGGTTTGGTCGTCCTTTGTTACTGCTGCGGGACCACATGGCTGGGTGCTACCGCAATGAGATTAGCTCAACGAATCAAGCTTAAAAAGAAAATAACTTTGTCGTTCTTCAATTAAAATAGTGTAACTTAACGGATTGATAACTTTTAACAAAACAAAACCAAAGAAAATAAAACACAAGTAAGCTGCTGAAACGAGGGAAAGCTGAGGTCGCGGCACTTCGTGAGCATGGCTTGAAACGAACAAGCCGGGTCGAATCTTAGGGTGTTGCCGGGAGAGGGGCACGCTGGGCGCGTGCCGAAGCGCGCTTGAAGAGCCAGGGCGTGGTTCCCAAAGGGCAGTCCTTTGTTCCCTTGAGGGAGGACTTGTCTTTTCTTTAACTCTAATACAAAAATCCAAATCTTAATCCAAAAAAAAGAATATCTATTTGCGCGTATTGTAATCAAATATTTTCCCACAATCAAACCTTAATTGTCAACGGTTGTACCGTTCTTAGTTTAAGCACTTGATAAAAGGAAAACAAATGTCAGTAGTTCAACTTTAAAAGGTTAGCATTTCAAAGGAATCACATCAGATGAGGAACTTAACTAGCTTTCTGGATATATTGGCTCCACATTCTTAGAGAATATAAGCAAGATACACGAATGGCATCAGATTATTGGACATGAAAAATACAGAGTGAGATTTATACATTAACACATTTCAGACGATAGCCTGTAATACTTATTTTGTCCACTTGGGGGAGCTCGGGATACATAACGATAGCTCTGATTAATCCTAAAACAATCTTCTCAGGAGCTGGGGAATTTAGTCATTTTTAACCTTAAATTTATGCTGGAAAATTAATCGAGTATAGGATGACATTTCTTTATCATAATTTCTAAAGGAAGTGTCAGAAGGTATTGTGAACAAAGCATTGGTTACAAATAAAATGAATAAAGTCAGGTGACTATGCTGAAAATGACAACACAGCAAAATTAACTTATTTAGATTCTTTTCAAAAAATAGCAACAACAACAATAACATGGTAACATAACTACTAAAATGGAATGGGGAGACCTAGTTGAGTGGCTGAAAAATTTAATTAAACAAGGAAATTTTTGAGTCTTGAGGAGACAGTACTCTGTTTACACAAAGGAATGTGGACTGTCCCTGGATGTCCAGGAGTTCCTCAAATTTGCATCTGGCTGTGAAAAGGAGAATATCCTTTGATGTGAGGTAATCAAAGAAAGAGGAAGGTCAGTTGCCACGGTTACGTGTGTGTGGGGGGGGGGGGGTTTAGGTTTTCCTGCTCTCTCTTACGAAGAGAAGAGTTCAGGAGAAAGCTAGTCTCTGGTGAGTGTTTCTTTTGTCATTTTAACAGTCAGGCACCGCGTTATCTGGCTGCGGTATAGAGGTGGCAAGTTTTACGATCAGACTGCCCAGAACAGCACTTAGGGAGAGAAACCTTTCACCTCTTCCTTGGAGTCACTTCGGCTGTCTGTAGAGGGTTGATAATCCAAACCCCTCCTCCTTCTCTCAGGGAGAGAGAAAGAATTTGGAGTAGTCCAAACTTATTTGATATAAAATGCACAAATCCACACTGTTGGTTCACAACAATGGTTGGTTGCCCAGGTTTCTACATGATGGCTAACACCGGAGCGAACATCCTTCCTTCTGGTGGTACGGCAGTCCTCACCTCCCCTGTTCGCCAAGGGACCGCCAAGACTGAGTGCGTCCATTTCTGGTATCACATGGGAGGAGTGAATCCTGGTGAGACACCTTCACACGCTGAAAAAAAGTACACAAAAAAGTGACCAAAAAACACACAATTGAACTGTGTGTACTTTGCAGGTTCTCTGACATTGTATATGAAGCCAGTGAAGGGAGAAAGGGTGAAGATTTTCTCCGACAGTCTGAACCAAGGAGATGTCTGGCGCCATGGCAACGGCAACATCTCAAGTGCCCTCGTGGACTGGCAGGTACAGTACGGTGGACGGAGGGCTGCTGGAACAATTATACTTATACTATTAAGACATTTTTTTATGAATGAAATTAATGAATTATATGAATTGATAATGTGCAAAATATTATCAAATTAATAATTATTATTATTATTATTATTATTATTATATTAACTGTATTTTAGTATTTGATGTTAATTTGATTCCTTGAGTTTGTACCAGCCTGTTATATTGCCTTCCTGTCCCCAAGTTTCTGATTTGTCCACACTTAGATTGTAGTTACTAAGGAAAAGCAGCATTTTAAAGATTAAATTTCTCCAGTAGAATTTGATCCAGCAACTAGAGAGTGGTCATTAGTGGACCTTTACGTAAGTAGGATCTCGTGTTTGACGTTTAAAACCAAGATGATGGTGCTTTATTCTCCTCTGCAGTTGGAGTTTGAAGTGGTTGGAGCCGGAGGCAAAAACACTCACATTGCAGTTGATGACATCTTCCTTTCAGCTCACCCATGTGAAGATCAAGGTTTGTATCAGTCTCAGCAAAATTTAAAGAGAAACACACAAACACACACACGCAGACTTTTAGACTAGTGTGAACGTTCATCTACAAAATATCGTACGATTTTAGACCAGTGTGAGTGTGAGTGCTCATTTTGTTTTAGTAAGTTATTACAATAAAGTTTTGTTCCTCCTGGTCCCCCTGCAGCTTTTTAAAGGAGCACTCCCCTGATTTTACATTTCATGTTTGGTTTACTTATCACAGGGAGCATTATTCTAACCTCTGAAAACAGTTCTATGATTTCTTCTGTGGATCTAGAGGGAGATTTATAAAGTGTGAAAAAATAACCTTGACAATGTCATCATGGTTTTCTCGGCTTGGGCTTGAAGACTACAAATTTATAAAAGAAAGTCCGTGTTACAGATTTGCTTTCTGGGGGGTTTAAAAACCATGGGCACTTACCAGACAGGGATTGTAAAATGAAAAATCCTTTAGAGTTGCATTTAGGGAAATATAGGATGCTTTGCCCATGTATTTTGGAGGCTCAGCCTATACTGGAGATTAATTATTAATGTCAGAATATCTTCTCTCTTCTAAGTCCAACAACTTTATGAAAGTGCAATGCTAAATCAATGAAGTACCTTTTCAAAGATTTTACTCACCCATTCTTATCTTCCTGCTACCTTTAGTTGAACCTTTACCTTGGTGAAATTCTCTAGAAAATATTTTCATACCTTAGCTCTTATACCTCCAATTAATTTTGTTCCTCTTTTGTGTAATTTAACAATTTTACTCACTCTGACATTGTTGCACTGGCTTTAAGTCATATAAATACAGTGTATAATTAATAATACAATGAGAAATGAAATGCTCAGCATAATCAAAAAGTATACTAATGGGTAATTGGTAGAACAGCCCGGATTTGAGTCAAGCCTGCGGCCTTTTGCTGCGTGTCGCTCCCCTATCTCTCTTCGTCTTTTCTCACTCTATCCACTGTCCTGTCAAAATAAAGGCTAAAAAATGCCCCAGAAATATTAACAAAAAAAGTATACAAATTATCAAGACAATTTGCATGTATTAACCCAAGATCAAATTACACAAAGCAACGCATATAGAAGGCTGTACCAATACAATTAGCATTTTGTGAAACAACAGTACAGTGGTATCCTCTGTGTGTTAGTGTCCATTTTTGTTCTGTTAAATATCTCCAGTGAATAAGACACGTGCATTTTTTGTGAGGGACCCGTGTTCAAATCCCCACTGTGTGACCATCCACCATTGTGTCCCTGAGCAAGACACTTAACCCCTAGTTGCTCCAGAGGCGTGCAACCTCTGACATATATAGCAATTGCAAGTCGCTTTGGATAAAAGCATCTGCTAAATGAATAAAATGTAATGTAAATCTCAGGTTCTAGGTGCAATCTGGAGAGAGGGATGTGTAGCTGGAGCAACACTCAAAATGTAACAGTGGACAAACTGGACTGGGAACTGACAAGTCAGGAGGCAGAGAAGCACTACTCCACCCCACCTGAAGATCACACCCTAGGCACGGAAAGAGGTAAATCAACAAGATCTTCGCACTGAGTCAGGAAGCAGAGAGAACAGTACTTCATATTTTCATACAACAACATGTCCCAAAAAATGTACTGAAGTGCCAAATAGACTACCTTCCCTTTGCTTTTTGCCAGGTCACTTCCTGTTCTTTCCAAGCAGCAACCGGACGGCAGCCAATCAAAACGCTAAATTGCTGAGCCCTCACCTGCCCCCGACCAAAGGCACCTGCCTGAAATTCTGGGCCTACAAGCCGTACTCATGTAAGGATCACTGTGCTCTCTGTGCTTGGTCGATCTGTGGTCAGGCAGATACAATTCTCAAGTTTCTATATCCACATATTAATCTCTGGATGTGTATGATCCATTTCTCTTTGGATATGTACCACAATCCTTTTTTTTTTATGTATGCAGCGGACAGCGAGTTGAGGGTGTGGAGGCTGTCTGAAGGTCGTCTCAATCAACTGCTGGTGGTGAGTGAACTGGGAGGGCCGTGGAAACGCTTTGATGTCAACATCACATCGACTGAGGACTACCAGGTCAGACTCTCACTTTATTACATACAGTATATGACTAACTAATACTAACAGTGTTGGGCAAGTTACTCAGAAATTGTAATATTACTAGTTACTTATTACTCCTTAAAAAGTAATATTATTACTTTACTTATTATTGGTGATAAAAGTAACTTGTTACGTTACTATATTACTTTGCAGTGTTTCCCACAGAATGACAGGGGGAGGGCCTTTGGACACGTTTGTGCAGCGGTGTTCATGAGAAAGAGGGAGCGAGTGAGGAGGTGCTGCATGAATATATGCTCCTCAATACAGCCCCTCAATCAAAAATGATTTTAAATACACCTAGTAAAAAACATTAACTCAATATGTGGAGGTCCGCATTGATAATTATCCAAATTATAGGCTAATTATGGGAAACACTGCTTTCACTACCCCCCAAACAAAGCCTCTCTCACAACCTTTTAACTAATGTCATCTTCATAACAGCAGAAAGGAGTGTGGTTTTTACAAAGCATGTAGCCTAGGCCTAACATTTCTTAACACCACCGGCAGAAATTAAAAAATAAAGCAGTAAATCCTTTTAAACAGCTGTTTTCCTGAACATGTAGCCTGTTTTTAAGAGTAGTCTTCAGTAGTTACAAACGTTGCGTTAACGCCACTCTCTGCCGACGAGTCCAAGCATCAGTGACAGCAGCTTCCGGAGTTTTTTCTGTAAATTTCACGCTGTGTGCTGCTTCTGCAGACGCTTCAATAAATCAGATGTACAATTATTCCCTCTGAAAGATTTTTGCTGGTCGTACAGAGTTCACAATAGACGACAATGTTCTTTGCATCTTAGACTGGGACAGAATAATGGCAGCAGCTACTTAGAAAAGAAAGAACGCCTCTCTCCCTCGTTCTACATTCTTCATTTAGCTTTTTTTGCTAACAGCTGACTTGCCCTGACCTGCAGCACGTCCTTTACATCAGGAATGGTGCGTTCAGTAACACAGCGTTACTTGCCTTAGTAACTAGTAGTAATATTACTGTTTTAGAAAAGTATTTAGTTACACTACTAGTTACTGGGAAAAGTAATATTATTACAGTAACGCGTTACTGCCCAACACTGAATACCAATGTAGTACTTCTAACACTTGAACACTCTGTAGTGTTCCTTATGTAAGCCTTTTCTCCAGCACAAGAAGTGATACATCTACATAGGCTATAGCTTAATGTTTTAGTTTGAACAGTAAGGACGAAAGTAAAGTCCCTGTGTTTGTGCTTTTTTTCAGACAAATAACTTGCAAATTCAACATTCAAGTTTCTTTCAAAACTTCTGTCTCTACTGTCGTCTTATTTTTGTTGTTAACAGATTGTGTTTGAAGGACTCAAAGGCACATCAGGTGTTGTAGCTCTGGATGACATTGAGTACACCGTCGGAGTCAACTGTGCTAACAAAGTCACAGATGTGCTGACAAGTAAGATGGGCCAGTGATTTACATTTTTTTCATCCTATTTACTGCTAACTGCATAGATGTTCAGCTTATTTTTCAGTTTTGACAGGTTTTTTAAAGCAGTAGTTTCACATTTTCGGAAATATGTTAATAAAATACAATTATGACACCACTTTCATGTCTGTACATTAAATGTAAAGATACATCCAGCAGCAGGTTAGCCCGGCTAAAGACTGGGAGCAAGGGTAAATTATCATAGTAACTTCACTTATTTGTTAAATCCGTACAAAAGCCGGGACAGGCTAGAACTATTTCCCTCCAGGGATTTTGCAGTAATTTACTTCACTACACTATAAATCATCACAGTCACCTTTATTTTAGTTATGTTCATATCATCACATGATATTGCAGCTGCAAGGATGGGTTTCTAGTTGATATTCATAGCATACTAAAATAAATCAAAACTAATGGCTGCCGAAAATGTATGATATATTGTAGTAGTAGCAGTTAAGGAATGTCATAATTGTCACCGGCCTTACTGTAATGTCCTGTGATCTGTAATGTCTAGTAGAACTGGAAAATAATTGTTTTCCGTCTTCCCTGTAGCCTCACCAATGCGAGACAACGCAGGAGGGATTGCGGCGTCCGTCATCGTGGTCCTGCTGCTGATCGGCACATTAATTGCCCTGCTGATTTACTACCTGCGAACCCGAAGAGTCAAGCCTGTGGTCGGTCAATCACCAAGCTCATCTGTCTCAGCCAGTGTCGGTTTCCATAATGAAACATATGAACCAGAACGTGCAGTGAGTTAATATGCCATCCAAACATTTGAAAACACATTTAAAAATCCAGTTACAATTGTGCCACGAGTATAAAAGGATCGTACTCACCAGGTTAACTACTGAGATCCGTCGTCAGTTTTATTTATGCCAAACACAGCTAATTATATCTCAAGGGGATTTACATCCTGTGTCCTGTAAATCACCCTCCGTCTTAGACCCTCAGTTCAGATAAGGAAAAACTCCCTTTAGTGCCTTAAAAGGTTCAGTGTGTTAGTTATAGTGACATCTAGTGGTGAGAGTTGTGAATTGAAGTGAGTTGTATAGCTATGGTGCCTGAGACAGGAGAGAGAGTTGCCAGTCAAGAAATTAGGTTTCTTTAGATAGATATGTTAAGAAATTATATTACTTAATTATTCAGTAAAAACATATGTTTTTACGAATAATATTGTTATTTGTTCATTAATAAACAACAGCCACATCAAGAAATTAAGTGCTTCATGATGTCTCATTCTCCTGTACTGGAGTATTTTACAACTTGGGAGGGTTGGCTCATCTGGACTAACATACTAAAGAAAATGACATCTCACATCTCAGAAACACTATAAAAACTAGATCACATCTAGTGCATCAAGTATGACCACTGACAGATACCAGAACAATGTAAGCCTCACTGTTTCTGCACCACAGTCCATTATAAACCACATAATACATGAAGTTTACAAAGGCATTGGCTGGTGAGGATCAAGGCACCTCTCGCTTTGTTTAATTTATTAGATAAGCAATCTGCAAATCTTACCAAAATGTTTTATCTTTAATTAAGTAGTACTGGCAGCCATAATTTCAGCTTGGGGTAAAATGGTTAAACGTTTTTAATGGGCATTTAGCATGTGACCACAGCGCTGGAGAATAAATAGGCTACATGAAATTAATCCAACAAGATGAGACACTGACTGGGGAAACACACCACAGCTCTCTGTGATTATGGCCAGTTATCAAACAACAACTTTCATTTGCATCGCTAAAGTCAAACTTAAGATAATTACCTGTCCAGCAGAAAACAGACAACTTCAGCACCGCTTTGAAAACATCTGTCCCACATTATAGCCTTCCATCTCAATAGTAAGCTGCAGTTTCAGGACCCCCGCAATCCTGCAACCGCAGTTCTAGGACCCTAGTTCTTTTGCGACAGCGCCATCTAGTGGAGTGGTGGTGGTAATACACAGCAAAACCACATCGTGATTTCTGCCGTCAGCTGTTTGTATCTGTCCCGACTCCGTCTGGCTTCATGGTATAAAGATCCACAGGCTGTCGGCTCTTGTGCTAAATAACACGTGCGCTTGTTCATTTGTCCAAATGTCACTTCTCTTCTTACTTCTAATAAACCACAAGACTACTCAGAGACTGTATATTATTGTTATTATTATTATTTCTTCTTCTTCTTCTTCTATGGACGCATTTAATGTAGTGACACCGTCTACACTGCCAGAATTATACAAGCAGGAGAAGAAGCCATGATGATGAAACGCGCTCCTTAGCGCTGTTTGTCCGTTGTCAGCTATTGTAGAAATATGACGACAAAATACGGCGACCCCTATAGAAGGGGGTGCCCGCGGTTATGTAGATAAAAATGTCTCATTCTAAGGTAAAAAAATGTTCATTATGTAAGGACTTTGTACACCACTGAAAACATAGTTATAGATATTATATTGCATTTCTGTCAATGAATCCTCAGAAATATTACACACTGAACCTTTAACATGTATAGCTTTTCTACTTCACAGACATATCTCTAGAAGAGATACTGATAACAAAACCATTGTCATATACACCGATCAGCCGTAACATTATGACCACCTGCCTAATATTGTGTAATGTCACCCTTTTGCCGCCAAAACAGACCTAACGCGTCAAGGCATGGACTCCACTAGACCTCAGAAGGTGTACTGTGGGATCTGGCAACAAGACTTTAGCAGCAGATCCTTTGGGTCTTGTAAGTTGTGAAATGGGGCCTCCATGGATCGGTCTTGTGTGTCTAGCACATTCACAGATGCTCGATTGGATTGCTATCTGGGGAATTTGAAGTTCAAGTCAACACCGTGAATCAATTACAAGCTTGACTCTTGTGGTGTTCCTCAAACCATTCCTGAACAATTTTTGCTTTGTGGCAGGGCACATTATCCCGCTGAAAGAAGCCACTGCCTTCAGCGAATACCGTTTCCATGAAAAGGTGTAAGCCTACATGGTCTGCAACAATGCTAGTTAGGTGGTACGTTTCAAAGTAGCGTACATATAAAGGGCAGGCCCCAAGGTTTCCCAGCAGAACATTGCCCAAAGCATCGCGCTGCCTCCATCCGGCTTGCCTTCTTCCTATAATGCATCCTGTTGCAGTGCGTTCACTGGGTAAGCGACCATCCATGTGATCTATAAGAAAATGTC